AGAAGAGTGTAAAAACAAGTGAGATATAACGCTGATTGCAAATCATGTACTCTTGAATGGCAGGTTCTTTTCTACCTAGGTATGTAAACTCGGATCGATGATTATGATTTTCAGACCTGGTGGACAACCACAATAATAACTGAGCTTCTGGAATTCTAGAATTGATTGAGGGGACATTTTCTGCCGGTAGGGCGGTCAGCGGATAAACATCGGGAACTGTGTGAGTTGACACCTCGAATTCCCATCATACATATGTTTGTTCGGATTCATGATGATTCACATTGCACATCCATCAGGAGAAGAGACAGTCTTCCAATGAATCAACTACGTACGCACTTGGTTTGAAAGAAGCTCTTATTTTCACTCTTTCAATACATCGACTTTGTATTGTACCCTTCACTCAATCTGGTGAGGTAAAAGAGCTCCAATCAACACCCCTGACTTACCCCTCTATTTCCCCTCCAAAAACAGTGCGATAAGATAAGCATTGGGAAGAAAATTTTATTTCACACATGTTTCAGTAAAACTTCTCCCCTGATTTGTTACCTTCCAGAAGAGGATTTTCCTATCAACAACCCAAGTATACACGAGACCCTTGTTGGAGCACTGTGATTCTATCGAAAATCGTGCCACGATTCTCTTCAAAATCCTTCGCTGCAAGTCATTCCAAATCTAGTCGAAAATGTCCTCTTCTCCTGTCCCAGCGACCTGCAAGGTTATCTTGGCTCAAGGAATTGCTAAAAAGTTACTTGGAGAGGTTGCGACGGATCTAGAGAAGTTAACCTTCAAGCCTAAGCTTGTGGGATTGTTGGCAAATGAGGATCCTGCCGCTCAGCAGTATGCCGACTGGTCAATGGCCACATGCATTGAGAAGTGAGTATTCTTCCATTCGTTTTCCATTTGCTATACACCAGATAATCTGCAACCAAATATTTGCTATACTTGATCACATCTCCCTTCAAAGATGGGAGTAATTTAACGATTCACAAATCAGAAGATCTAAAAAGCACAGAGAAATTGGAGATTAGATTACAAGCCATTGCAATGGATATCATTTGCGCCCACGAACTATCAATCTTCTAGTTCAAGACTTGGGAATTCTCACGATGTTGTCGAACACTGCAAGTAGTTGGACTTCGATAGTTCCACGAACTGACTTCTTTTATCCAGTGGTTTCGATTTCGAACTCCGCAAGTTTACCAAAGAAGAGATCGAAGATGAGATTCTCAAAGCGAACAACGACGATTCCATCCACGGTATCATTGTATACTACCCAATCTTCCCTGCCCCTTCTCTACAAGATGGGTATATCCAACAAATAGTCGCTCTCAACAAAGATGTAGAAGGATTGGCGCATACCTACCGTTTCAACATGTACCAAAACATTCGATTCCTTGACGCTCCTCACAATACCCAAAAATCGATTTTACCTTGCACACCTTTAGCAGTTGTTAAGGTTCTCGAACACCTACAGATCTACAACTCAGTTCTCCCATATGGCAACCGTCTGTACGGAAAGACGATCACAGTATTCAACCGCTCAGAAGTTGTGGGTCGTCCATTGGCTGCTTTACTTGCCAATGATGGTGCTACAGTCTACTCTTGCGATCTCGACGGCGTAAAGCTCTTTACCCGTGGCAAGGGTATCAAGAAGATCCATCACGAGGTACATGATATGGAAGGAATGAAGAATGATGAATGTTTGCCCAAGAGTGATGTGGTCATCTCCGGTGTTCCAGGAGAGAAGTTCAAGATCAACACTGAATTGATCAGGGATGGCGCTGTCTGTATCAATTTCTCATCTCAAAAGAATTTTGATGGTCCTGCTGTGAAGGAGAAGGCTTCGATTTATGTACCTTCCATTGGAAAAGTTACAATTGCTGTTTTGTTGAGAAATCTTTTAGTTAGTTCTCCCGTGTCTCGATATATAAAGACGTTTACTGACGAATTCACAGAGATTAGTAGGAAACCAAGGAAAGGGAGCTGCAAAGCCAGTGGAAGAGTTAAACTAAAATGGAATTGGGCTATTAAGGAGGAACCGAAAAATAGAATGGCGTTTTTGGAATATTTATACCAAAGAGGAGTTGAAAATGATAAAGGATAGGATAAAAGTGATAGAGAAGTCTTCATAGTTGAATTGGATTTGGTATTTTACTTCAGCCTGTCTAACAATGTTTTGGGGTTAGCGGAAGTGAATCGAAAATGTCTCGTTTACCTGTGCACTTTTGATTGTAGAATTGAGATCTAGGTCGGCAGTTTGAATGGTAGTCTAGCAGAAATTCACAGAAGGTGAAAGAGTACATTGATATTCACGTGTAGGAAACTCTTGAGTTGATGCAATGGAAATGGCAAATAGAATGTGGATAGTCTATGTCCTCGTCGTAACATCTCTCTAATTGAAACTCGAATTATGTACCTATCTTCTGTTGTATATTATGCATTTCATCCATTTTCATTTTTATAGAATTTAAAAGATGATGAGTATTGAATATTGAATGAATCTCCGTTTGAGTTTTGAGTTTCGAGTTTGATTTTAAATTCGGATTTAAGCGTGGGTTGTATTGTGAGATTTGGGGGAAGAAAAGTGTGGGGGAGGGGGGGGAAAGAGAGAGAGAGAGATCAGAAAAATAACCGAGGGATTTCTAGACGATTAGGGGGTACATTGGGGTTTGGGGTTTGGGGCTAGGGTTGGGGTTCAGGTGCCGAGGAGAGCGAATGTGAATGCGGATTGTGGGGGAGAGGAGGGATAGATAGAACTTTTGAATTTTTGGAATGATAGAGGTTTGGTTGTATGGATTGAGATTTCTGGAATCTGGATTGATAGTTCGGTTTTGGTGATGTGGAAGTAGATAACTACCTGAGTGGGTAGGGGGGAGGAAGGGAGGGAGGAAAAGAGAGAGGGAAGGATATGGATCTGATAATCTAGTGATTTCACCCGTCCACCCACCTAGGTATCTATCTGCATATACATACATATATACATATACATACCTAGTAATATATATAAATAACAAACTCCCAAACACAAACCCCCGACCCGAGATCCTCGAAAAATTCCGTTGCACATCTAATCCCATGCCCATCATAGCGTGATACCAAGAGTCATGTGTGTGGTACTCTGTATCTAGGTGATACTACCTACTCCTTTCTCATGCTTGTGTGCGTGTGTATTGCTTGGAAAAGGGGGATTTTTGTTTTGTTGCGTATCTGGATTTGCGCTTAGGGAATTTGGGGGAGTGTTGGGATTTTGAGGTATGAGGTGTGGAGTGTGGAGGCTGGAGTGTAAGGGAGTGGTTTGCAGATGTATGTGTGGATAGATGGATAGATGGATAGGTACTTTTGTTGCATATCGCTTTTCGTGCCCAGTATATGCAGTGGACTGGGCAGAATGTGGTATCATCACTTGGGTCTCTTGGTATTGTGTGAAGGGTGTGCAGAATGCAGATAGATGGTTTTGTTGCATGTCTGTTTTTGAGCCCAGAAATTTGGGGGGATACTAGGGGTATGGTGATTCTGGGTATGTGTGTTTGGAGGACATTTGTTGCATATCGGTATTCGCGCCCAGAGACTTGGACGTGATACTGAAAGTAGGACTCGAGTACGAGATTTTGCCTAGAGGATTTGGTGTTATGGTTAGAGTTTTGAGGACTTTTGTTGCGTATCGTATCTCATGCCCAGAGGAGCCATGTCTTGATCCGTACACCGGAAATTTGTTTTTGCATGAAGTTTAATCTTATTCTTACACAGCATAGTCCTGATGATACTCTAGCATGATAAGTCTCTCGATTTAAAGTCTTGTTGTTGCATATCGTCAATCTTGCCCAGAAAATCAGCCATGCTATCACTGGTTCATCCGTCCCTCAAAAGAAAGGTTGCATATCTTTCTCCTCGCCCAGATTCTTGGTCTACGTATTCGCCAATATCGTGGTGTCATACCAAACCCCTCTCTGTATACCGCGGATATCGCGGGTACTATTTGAGAACTGAATCACATTGTTGCACATCTGAATTCTTGCCCAGGAACCCAAGAGACTTTGGTGACCTCGCTAATTTCTTGGTGTGCGACCAAGATCCTCGGATATAAGTTTTCGGGAATAATCAGGGTGAGAATCGGCGTTGGAAGTCCTTTTGTTGCATGTCTGTTTTCTTGCCCAGAGAGCCTAAGATGCTAGTCTGTGTCTGGGTGTTGTATGGAAAAACTTTTGGAAAACTTTAGAAACCCGAGTTGGACGAGCTGCTTGGCTATTTTTCCATCCTCGGCACCGAGATGATCCCAAGAGAATGGAGAATTTTGAAAGAAGAGATAAGATTTTTGGGAACGGGGCATGGGAAATTGCTGGACTAACTTTAGATCTGGTGGTTGATAATATAGAGTATATTGACTAGTATATAGATATGATCATACATATATATGTCTACTCCCCATCCATTGTATCTCAATAATCAAAATCCGATGAAGAAAACAACAATACACCTTCAACACCAACGCCAAGATTACCCCTTGACGATCAAGAAAAAGCAAAAAAAGAAAAAGAAAAAATCTTCAATGCTCTGAAATGACCGGCAAATAAGATAACTCCAAGACGCCGGCCGAGTATCCAAGATCAAAACGCAAACACATCGAAAGACTTGGTAAAAGCTGGGCAAAAAGACAGACATGCAACAAAAGCGACAAAACCCAGACGAAAAAATCCCGAGAAAGAGGAGGTGAAGGTGGACGCAAAAATACGACTTGGTAACCTTACTAGCCTCTCGGTTTGTGTTTCAAACGGTTGGAAGAAAAAGCTTGGGGTCTGTCGTATATCAAACGTGCCCAGATTTCGACGCCAACGCCGATTGCCCGAGAAATGGGATTTGTGCGATGCAGAGTCTTGAATCAACTTTGTTGACTATCGAGCATTTTCTTGGCGCATATTAAGTTATTGCCAATTGGTTTCAGGACATTACTCGTGTTTGGATTGTAAATTATTGTGACTTTTCTATCATATAATGTGTCTCTCTCGAGCTCTGTTTTTACCACGTGTGTATGGAGTAGGTAGGTGTGGGTGGGTGTACTATCAGATAAGATCAGGATTAAGGTAAGCGGATGGATAGATGGACGGTGGAGAGTCCAAGCCAAGCAAGCAACAGTTGAAAAATATCAAAAGAAGGTTGGGGGGAACGATGCACCGAAATTACTCTACGGAAAATCGACGAGTGGAAGTCGAACAACGTTTTGTTCAAGAGCACAGGGGATGTATCTGTATGGATTCATTCCTGCATTGGTGGGCGGAAATTGAAAGTTCTAAAGTAAATGGATGTACAGTGTACAGACTATTGCTAATGAATTTCCGGGGTATGAAGGATCTTCTTAAGTGTCTGCTTCCCCGAGATTTTAAGGTGATCTTTTGATTCTTTCGAGATTCTTACATCATATTCAAATCGTCATTTTGATTTGTCGTCTTCAACATCAACATCACCAGTATCAACATAACTCTCATCCACAATCCCTCCACAACCCCTCCATCAAAACCCCCACACCCAAATACCTCAATCTCAACCCAACCCCGATCCCAACTACAGCCATGGTTTCCCCCATCCCCACCATCCTAACCACCCAATTCCTCTTCTCCCACCTCCTCCAATCCGCGCGTCTCCCCCGGCGCATCCTCCACAAAACCTCCAACGCCGCCCCGCGACAAGATCTCGCCAAATTCCCCCCCAAAGATCTCTCTCCCTCCACCGTTAACATGCTACTCCGCTGGGAAGCCGCCCAACAAAACGCTCTAGATAATTTCCCCCTCTTCGCTGCAGCAATCCTCTATGCTTCTTTCAGAGGCGTCTCCGAAGACACGATTTCGCGCGTGGGTTGGTCCTATGTGGGTGTCCGATTGGCGTATTGGCTTGCGTATGTGGGAATCGAGAGTGTGAAGTGGAGTTATTTGAGAAGTAACATTTGGTGGGTGGGAAATGGACTTTGTTTTTGGTTGTTGAGGGAGGGGGGTCGGGTTTGAGTTCTTATGGAGTGGGGTTCCGAGGGGCGAAAATGAGATTGAAAAGGGTATTGATGATGGCTGAGAAATAAGAGGATCAAAGTTGTAACTTGTGAAGATGCAGGGAAATGCTCTGTAGAGATACGGAAAAATTGTCTATAGCATACATTTTTTCGTCTTTTGTATATTTCTTCATATTGTAGCAATTTCGAATTTCAAAACCATTTCTTTTACGTCCTGAAATATCGAATGTTCAGAAATTTACAAATGCAAGGCTATCAATGTGATCAAATATCTACCAATGCCTAGGTAGGTATGCGTATATTTATATCCCATAGTGAACCAGAGGACACTATTATACATAGAAAGTATCCCAATAAACCAACCCAGGGTATCATTACAAAAAAACCACGGTATCTAGAAACACCAAAAGAAAAAGTTAGAAAAACCTGCTACTTCCACTGTCCACGCTTACTTATGTCAGGTCCTCTCCTTTCCGCGTTGATATACAGTATAAGCATTCACCCAGCCCCCCTGGCAACACCCCCTACCTTCCAATCCACACCTCGTTAAACCTCATAGTAATAATCTTCATCTAGCCCCTCCCGACTCGGCACTTTACCCTGTCCCACCTGAGGACCTCCATACCCATTTCCTTCATCTAACCTAACATTCAAAAGTCTAATCTTCAATCCGTACTCACTAACCAAGCTCACAAGTTTATTGGTTTCACTAGTAATCGGCGCCTGGTTTAACAACATCAACAAACCATCCAACCATTCTGAAGCGAGACTATGCGTAGGAGGCATGAGTGTAAGAATAGCTTTCTCAGCAGGGTCTGTATCATCTTGTTGTGCTTTAGTCTCTGTGACGTAGCTATTGATAGTAATTTTGGTGGTGGTATTTGCTTTTGATGGATTTGTATCTTTGAGGGTCGAGGAGCTTGAAATACTTGAACCGTCATCATGAGACGCGGAGACATTGGAAACGACTGAACTGATAGTACTCAAGTCAATCTTTTCGAGCAATTGATCTAGTGTCGGCTCTTTACTCAATTGATGATCAAAATCGAAATAATGAAGATAACGCCGATTGTGTGAAAGTTTGACATAACGCCAACTCGTTGTTGGTATTCTTCTTCCTAGACTTTTGGTAGAAGATGATCCTTCTTCGCTAACGGTTTTCGGTTGAATGATTCTTGGAAACCATGCTCCTTCGAGCAGACATCTTATTCTCTGTTCCTTAACAAACAAAAGAGCTTCATGTTTAAGCTCATCTCGCACTTGCTGTAAATGTTGACCCCATTCGTCTTCGAAAGTCAATTCCAACAATTCCATTTGTAGCTTTCGTAATCTCGAATATTCGAATTCTGCCAATTCTTCTTCTACCTCCAGAACATCTTTTGTTCTTGAAGCCTGACCGACCACTTGCTCAACCAAAATGCGTACAAGTTCCGCAACTTTTATGAAATCATCCTGCTCGGCACCAGTAGCTTTCCATAACCTAAAAAAAGCTTGCAAACTAGCTGAGTGTAGCCTTGACCACTGGAGTAGTAGAGGCCGGAATATCTTATCATAATTCTTTACTCCATCCAATACCAAATAAGTTTTCGCATCCTCTGCATCTGATCTGTCGACCTCAAAATGGTCATATAAGATAGATGTGACTATTAGACTAGCTCTTGCAATAGGACATCTCTCATTTAGTGGCTTTGAAGATTGCTCTAACAATAACTTTTGAAACCTGTCTTCATTTTTCCTGACGTAATCGGTCAAATCCATCATACCAAGAAATCCAGTCGCTTCGAACTCCCAAGCAGGACTTTCGGTCTCGAAGCCCAATCTTCTCCACTTTTCAGGATTGTGTTTCCGACTCCCCTTTTTATCACCATTCTCCAAAGTATCTGCCTTCACTGAAGCGCCATTGCTAAGATCTTTCTTTTCGGGTGCGCTGGCTAGATGTAGTCCCTTCAGTGCTCGTCGATGTTCTGGTCTTTCCAAATCCACCTTCACCTCCTTCCATTTACCTAGTAAAACCTTGGTCAAACTTTGAAATTCCAATAGCGGATGCGACAAATCTTGTAATGCCGAGCTTTGCATCAAATTATATGCAGCTTTAATAACCCCCAAATCTTGTAAACGTTTGATGAATTTCGGCCACTCCTCTCCAGTCCCACTACTTTTACTAATATTGTCCTTTCCCTGTCCGTTATCATTTGTAATCGAATCCCGCATTAATGCATTCAGCAGCATCAGTGCATTTGCACAAAGTAAATGATCCGCAGAATTGAGTTGCGAGACTACCATTTCGAAGAACTGAGGATAAACCGCGACGGCAGGTTTTAGAGCTCGAAATCCAAATGCGCCAGGTATTTTTATACGCCCCCCTGAAGTTTGTGGGTGGCTCACAATAGCAACCAATATCGACATGGCTCCTCGCAGAATGTTAACCAGTGGATGTGTAACAATCAATTCGACAACACGTTCGACCAATTCCCCGGCGCCTGGTGACTCGAATATTTCCCAACCCATATCGACTTCCAGTAAACGGCTCAGACTTTGTAGGGAGTATGCAAGAGTATTCGCATTGGTCGTCATGATCAGTCGACGTAGGATAGTGAGGCCCCCTGAGGAAATGAACACATCTGCGAATGATGGATCATTAATGGAAGATTGTAGCTTGAATACTGCCATTTTACGCATAGCATCTTCATCGCTATTGAGCCTCGAGAGCAACGAAGGTATATCTGCTTGATCCATTTTAATTGTTTTGTGCTTGTCCTTTCGAGGTCGAAGAAGCTGGGGAAATCTGGAGAGTTTAGTCAAGGCGCAATTGGCTTTTGATATCCCCCGATTTTCAGTTATTCGATAGTCACATTTGCTTAAAACCTTTCCCAAAATTTACTATAGATTCTAGGTGTTCGTGTCTTTTCCCTTGAGGGAAGGGGTCACAATAGTGTGAGGAGATTAAAAAATTAAGGGTGCATTAAAAGTATAAAAGTACAAAGGTACCAAGGATCCGAATCATTAGAGAAAGTCGGGTTTCGTCTGTGCTTCAATGGCTTTTGAGAGTTGATAACGGCAGGTGCTCTCGGTGCCGGAAAACTTAAAGTCCCAAAGCCGCCTTATCATTCACCAATGAACTACCTACGATATACGAAGTACCAGTATATTTTGGTGCATATAACAAGTGAGAGGTGGGTAAAGAATGGGACAATTTGGATGATCATGCGAGTATATGGGATAGCCATATATAATACAATCTTTGAACAATCAATCTGAACAATCAACACGTAGGTACTTATGTGCGCAATATGCGATTTCTTGCCAATTTTCTCATTCATAGCTACAGATTCCCTTACTTGATATGCTCCACAAGTATCCCAGATATTTCACGCTGCACAGTAAAGATGCCAAAACTCCATCGCTGATGTCAATATGCCACTACATCCATAATTTGGAGCAAACATTCTCACTGATCATCCTCGTCCTCATCCATCAAACTCAAGCAATCCAACTCTGTTCTAATCAATCTGTCAAATTCGGCCCTCTCAATCCCTGCTACTTTCGCCAATCTGTACAGACTCTTCACACTTGTCGAAATATGTTGTTTGATGCCAACCTCGCTCTGTTCCCGAGCGTGTGCTCTCTTCTCGAGCTTTGCCACTGTCTCACTCCCACTTGAGCTAGTTCTACTTCCTGGTCGTGGTTGTACAACTTCGACATAATCCCCTCCATTGATGATCCCACTACTAGACTCTGACCATGGTTTTGCCTCATGATATGATGTGTGATGTTGTAGATTTTGTTGTAGCGTGGAAGTAATTTGATTATCTTGACCAAGGGACGTTTCGACGGTACCGTTTTGTGCTGCCTCGTCTGGATCATGGCTATCCATGGCAGGTTGTACATCCGCATATTGTGCGTAGTATGAATCCTCATCATCTGCACTCCTCGAGGCGGTTTGCATAGACTGGGGTGCCGGAGAATGTTTTGGTGCGGGCGTACGAGCGGGCGTGTTGTCGTACTGAGCCCAGTAATCATCATCATCGTCATTCTCCGCCTCGGTATCCTTTGTTGCATTCGACACAACTGAGAGACTGCCATTTGTCTGTGTAGATATTTTTGAAGCCCCCGATGTAAAGGCGGTTTCCGCAGAAGCTATATCTTTCTTTCCCCATTCTTCTTGGGTTTCAGATTCGTATGCTCCCACTTCTCCAATTCTCCATCCATCACCACCGCCGAGTTCATCACCAACACACCATACAAGTCGTGCACTTAAAGAAAGATCTTTAAGTACGACTAGAGCTTGTAAGGTCTCTTCATCGAGTCGCCGATATTGGATTTCCACCTCACTCTCCCAATCAACCTCAACCTCACCAGAGACAGGATGTGCTTCTAACCTGTCATTTTTAATAACTTGTTGTAATTTCGAGATATTCGAATCATCGTAGCAGAGTAATGGCAGCCATGGCTCGTTCGAAGTCGAAGATAATATTTGGACTCTCTGACGTAAAATCGGCGAAAGTAAAGGAAGCAGCGCCGTTGGGGGTTGAGGAGATACAGAAGCCGCAGGCAGAGATGCCAATAGGGGCGCTAATAATTGCTCTACTCTGGGAGCTGAAATAATTGTCGACATTCTGACAAGATTGATATTAATGTGTTGCTAAATTGACTATCACATGCAAATGAAGTTACTTTGAAGAGGGGTTTTGAGGGCAATTGTAAGAGTTTTGACTGGGTGGAAAGAGAGTTAAAAACACTTGGAGATTTTGAATAACGACAACAACAACAACACAGAAGAACTCAGATTGATGAAATAAATAAAAACAAACTTAATTTCATTAACTAAGATATACCTCTAGAAGTTCTGTGGAGAACAGCTGCGGTGTTGATAGCCATGACGAACTGTGATACGGCGAGGATAAACTGACTGAATCAGTTTCCTTCCGCCCGAGAAAGAGAGAGATTGGTACCGCAAAATCTGGCATACGCACGTGAATTCTGAGGCTTGTTCAGTCGCGATGCATTGATGTCGTTTCATCCATCCATTTCTGTCCATTTATCCTTTTTATCATTTCTCTAATTATTTTACCCCCTTGGAGTAATTTCTTTTACGGAGTAGAATGTGGCAGGCTCGAGGTAGGTAAGATTGGAATCATGGGTAATCCACGGTACTTATTGTGTACCTATTCTATGTCTATTTCTGCCAATTCATGGTTGTCTAAAAATCTATTGTACCTTTCATAATTACTACAATAGTCCACCCCTCTACAGACTCTACTGCTCCTATGTACTCTAAAACACCCTTAAATCACTTTGAAATTTCCTGGGATTTCTCCCATTTCAGTAAAATTCCAAGAACTCGTTCGTATGTCCACATAGTAACCGCACTTGCTGGAGCAGACTTGAAAAGACTATTGATATTAGCATCAGAAGATCCTGAACTGTCCTTTCACATACCTGACCGTCAATCCTCGATAGAGTCCTCGATAGCCTTCATTGTGTAATATGTGTCGCATTGTTTGAAACACACCGTTGTAAACTGGGATATTCTTGTGAACGTATCTTTCTCTTGTCGGTCCCTGTACTTGCAACCTCTTCCGAATCAAATCAAAAGGAAATATACCAGTTTTTGCTATAACTGAAGCTATAACCCCGGCACTCGCATCCGCGGATCCAAATGGCATATTTAGAGTTCCCATCGGAAGACGGAGACTCTCGTATGTGGCGAAAAAAATACCCATATATGGTATGATTTGCCCAACGCCAGCACCAAGTCCTTGAAAGAAGCCTCTCGGTCCTTCATTAATGGCGATATCACGGATCGACGATCGGAGAGAAGTATACACCCTCTCAACACCTTGTGCAGCGAATCGTGTGCGGAGTAAATCAAGAGGATAAGTTGCGGTCGTAGCAACAGCTCCTGCAGATGCTCCAGCAATAAAGCTTTCAGCAGCAGCTGGCAGTCGGTGTTCCCCAAAAGCGTCATGTAGGCCCAGCGTAACAGATCTATATGTCGTGAATTGAATCGCACTGTACGAAACGTACATCAACTCTGCTGGAACATTGCCCTTCCATAATGCTGACAACCCTTCCTCTCGAAAGATGCGTTTGATCGTCGGAATCGTCCCTTTATAGATTGGAGATCCTCGCAGGTCCCGATGTGAAAGAGGGTCGGATGCAGAGTGCGATTGCAATTGAAGGCGAATTTTGACAACGTCCAAAGGGGCAATCACGAATCTGAGTGAAAGATATGAGCGCAAATAGTTCCAACCTCGACCAATTGTAAATTTACCTAGCGATCAAACCAGCTGTCGCACCAGCTATCATTGATTGGGTCTTGGAGCCCTAGATAAGTATCAGCTTCTTGATTCTTTAAGACGCAAGTGACAATTATAAAAGCTGAAACCCTACCTCATCCTTCAGATGCTCGGCGCTTTCAGACATACATCTGACGTTCTCGAGATAGTATTATTAGAGTTTGAGGTTTGAAAATAAATATCGATCCACACGCCTATTTGCATGACCTAGGGGGGCATAGAAGTAGAAAAGCAACGAATAATTAAAGCACACTATTTCAAAAGAAGGTTAGCAGAAGCTACCTTGGTATGGATGGTCGATTACATAATTAAACTTTATCAAAATCGTCCAAGCTCCAAGCTCCATTTGATCAATCATGTAGCTGGGTGGAGGGGCTCACGTGGTATTGATACTTCGGTAAAGGCTGATTGATATATGATTCCTCGGTGAAGAGTAAGTTCACATATCAGTATTTCTCAATTCTCATTCACCAGGCGGATCAGTCTCTCACTCGCGCCGTGAAAGAACGAAATTCCAAACATGTGTGCCTTGCGTCTTGGTCTGAACTGTGGTCACCGAGCTGCCAGATCATGTTACTTTTTAGCTGCCCCGCGCATCTTTCAAATTAGTCGAAGGCTATTTTCAGCCCAACCAGGTCTCCGAATCACATCTCCCATATCCAAGCAGACACGTGTTCCACAGGTATTATTGAGCACTCCTGGCGATCGACGAAGATTTATGTTAACCCGAGTCAGGATGTAAAATCCCCTTCCAGCCCTGAGATTATATCTCATGACACTCAGGCCATAAAGGTCAACGGTGTATCTTATCCTTCATTGTTTCTCCGCGATTCTTGTACCTGCCATACATGCGTTGACCCTTCCACAAAGCAAAAGAACTTTCAAACATCTGATATTCCACCTAATATCAAAGCTACCGCTACCGCAAAGGGTGAAAACGGGGATTTAACGATTTCATGGGAAGACGATATTCCAGGCTATGGACCAGATCATGTCTCGTCGTTCTCTAAAAAGTTCTTTGAGACACATTCTTCACTCAAGGCTTATCATTCAGATCGTCACAATGATGTGAAACCTATCAGATGGGATTCGAAAACCATTGCTCAGAAGTTGCAATATGTAACTTTTGATGACTACGTAAACAGTGAGGAAGGTTTATTCAGAGCTTTGATCATGCTTCGGGATTATGGGCTACTCATACTTAGAGATGTGCCAGAGTCAGAAACGTCAGTTGTTGATATTGCAAAGCGAATCGGAAATCTTCGGGACACTTTCTATGGAGTTACCTGGGATGTCAAGTCTGTTCCTCAACCTAGAAATGTAGCATATACTTCTCAATATCTGGGTTTACACATGGATCTTCTCTATATGGCTAATCCCCCGGGATTTCAATTTCTACATTGCCTGCGGAATACCTGCTCAGGTGGCTCATCCATATTCTCTGATGCTTTCCACGCTGCCAGACAGCTCGATAAAGATAATTACATTCAATTGAGTACTAAGAAGGTTGGCTACCATTATCGCAATGCTGGGGAGCATTATCACTATCAACATCCTGTAATATCGAAACACTCTGAGAAGGGCGGGAATGCTTCATCCCCCAATGACAACAACATCCAATACATCAATTATTCGCCGCCATTTCAAGCGACATTTGACGAGCCATTTGGCTCCCTATCAATAGCTAAAGCACTGAGGCAATTTGCATCCCGAGTAGAAGCACCTGAGAATATGTTTGAATACAGACTACAAGAGGGGGAATGTGTTATTTTCAACAACCGGAGGGTACTTCATGGCAGAAAAGAATTCGATACATCAGCTGGGGAGAGATGGTTTAAAGGAGCTTATATCGACACCGACGTCTTCAGGAGTCGTTATCGAGTTTTAGCCGAAAAGTACCAGAATAAGGATCAGGCGTTCCTACGTACTCATGCTAGGCACATTTGCTGGGATATCAAGAATCCCGAGACTGGCAGAATGGAAAGCGATCCACACAAAGTTTGGGAGAGAAGTAGAGATCTTCCACAAGCTGAGGCGTACGCAAATATTATCTAGGGACAACCGAAATTTCTGGGGACACCCAGAAAATCCTGCAGTGCAGTCGCTCAATGAAGAGTATTCGCCGTTCGAGTTATATGTTCATGTTGCATATATCTTTTGGAAGAAATTTGGAATGTGGAGTTCACTTGGGACTTTAGATAATACCCAGAAATTCCGGGTTTCCCCAAAGGTAAAAAAACTATACAGATTTGGAATGCGGTTCGGACTGCTCAAAACCCTGATTGGGGTTTGAAATTATCGGTTTATCGAGTTGTATGTCGCATGTCTGCATTTGCATTCCGTCGAGTCTTTGGTATACCCCTCCCTGAATCTAAAAGCTGTGCTTTGGCCATGCACGCTTTTAAAGCTTTGTGAATTCATATTCTACTGCATTATGGCATGGAAATTTTTACCAGCCTGCTTCCAGCAAATTACACCACATTGTTGGTCAAGCCTTACAATTTGTTGATCTTATGAGTTTTGTATATGTAGTGTCTCCTTGTGCCCAAATTGATTGTATCGTCTCCTTTTGATGCACTACCTTCCTTCAGCATCCCGCCTTTCTCCATGAAGCACCCGCATCTTTCCCCTATTCTACCTGTTTTTAGTATGTTATCTCTTTGCATGTTCTACATTGTTTGTCGAAATGCAGTTTGCATTTTGTTTTGCGGTACCATGTTGCAAATTTGGCTTTCATAGTTTGAGGATTGTATGTTTTGATGCGGACACTCTCTTGATCAAATCGTTAAATTTAATTAGATGCTTAAGCTCTATTATAAAAGACGACTCCTGGTTGACTGTCACCAAATCGCTTACAGCTAGGAGAGTGAATAGCTTAGGAGTTCTGCGGGATGGTGTACCTCAAGAGTCATGTCGATTAGAACGCCGGGCCTACCCGCCGAAGTAATTACGGTAGTATTTGATTTTGGAAAGTTGCCTTGGAGCTCAACAGATATTTGTCATGAAATAAAATACGGTAGCAATCAGAATTCGAGCTGAATCTCGGTGATCACGGCAACATCTCACAGCAATTAGACCGACCAAGGAATCGTCAATTGGATAAAGAATGAAGGGCAAAAATGATGACTCGTTCTAAACATTGAGAACCACCAACGAACCGACGACCACTAGCCTCGTCAAATTCGTCTTTGTATTTCTCGTGTCAGTCTTGACTATCTATTTGGCTTCGAGTGAAAATCAGACTAGCATCACTGCAGCCACAAAAACTGTGAGTATTGCAACCCCCCCCCCCCCCCCAAGAAAAACTATCACGGGATGAATGAGAATCTTACTCAAAAAAGGATTAGACCGAGAACTCTAGACTCGGATATAGACGAAAAGACCGAAGATGCTATGTCTAAGCATGTTCTGGAAGTGAACTCGGCGAGTTTGCGTTCTCGTCTGGCAATATCCTAAGTAATGAATATCCCATAAGTTTAGATGAACGATATTTGTTTTACCCACAACCAAACAGTTCCATATGAATGTGAATCCGAGCGGTTGGTAAAGTGGAGAGCTAACCAAGGTGACGGAGGCGAAAGTTCATGAGAGTAATAAAGCGTGTAGAAGTGAAGGGGACGGTATGCAGAAGGCGCAGATTAGATGTTAGCTGGTGGTCTAGAGCATTTCGTATTTGATTTGGCAGCTCAGATTTTATGGATGCATGAATAATTTTGGAAAATGTAGGCTGGATCAAGGATGATGGTTGGTAGTTGTCTGGATATTAGTCAGCCGGTACAATCTTGCTGAGGACCTCTTATACATAGTGAGTTTGTAAATTGGTTTGTTGTTGGAATATGGTTCATCAGTATTAGCTCTGTCATTGACTAGGTTTTGCGTTCACTTCTAGACTATTTTTACACAAATTTTGGTAGAGATCGGAAATGCATCAAGAAGCAGTCATAGGTTGCAAATTATTTTACGTCTCTCTCTGACTTTTGAAAGCAAGAGGTGCTATCTAGGCTTACGGCAAAATATGTATGTCTTGGCACTCAGGAAGTTAAATATCTACTTTGTCGTTACTCATTTGGTCTTCCCAACGCCATGAGATCACCCGTATGATATATCACCTCCGGCTTAATAACCGAAATCCTCCACTGCCCCTCTACCTTCACAAATGTCTGTTGCATATACGATCTCCCATCCGATGTTTCCCCAATCTTACAATGCGGGTGATTGTAATCCTCGCCTACTTCTCTCCGCGCATGACTCGCTAGTTGCTGCCATACTACAATAATTTCTGAGTCGGTAACACTCTTGAAATAGGGCGCTCCTAACAGATGTTGGGTTGCGAGAGCTTTCACTCCGAGTTTCTTAGGGCCGAGCCATTCTTCTACGAAAGCGTCTGCAGTGAAAGTTTGTTGACCCCATTCAGGAACGACGAGTGTATAGTCTGCAATGATGTTTGGTGCGAGAGATGCCCGAAGGCGCTCTTTGTCCTGGGTATTTTTATTAATAGGAAAAGCTTTGATGTCTTGATCGCGCTTCATACTTTTTGATCATAACCATCAGCTAGAGCTCTACTGCATTGTGTGATAGCAATGTAGTCTTGAAATGTGAGATTTGAAGGATATAGATTTCGAAAGTCATGGTCGTCTTACTTCAATCCTTTCATGTATGTCAAATGTCAATGGCAATGTGGGATCTCTATCAATACTATATATAGAAGGGAATATCTTTAGCAACGAACTTTAATACACAGGCTTTTGATCGAAACTCTAGTCAACGATAGAATTAGCACTTGCCGATACTAAGTGCCGAAAATTGGAGTCCGTTGTGAGGCGGAGTGAAGAAGACTAAACCTCCACATTCCACCCCCGCTTACCCCAAATTGTATCTTCACGAAAGCGGACTGCCGACGAATCCCTTCTGCATTATTGTTTCCATGGTGCTATTACTCAGTCGCACGCATTTTGTAGAGTAACCTCCGGAGAATGTTACACGAAAATAAAAGATGTCAAAACCGGAGTTTTCCCTGAGAACCTCAATATATCCTTCAATTGAACCTAAGCAATTTGAACAGCCCTTGAATGGCAAAGTTGCGCTAGTTACAGGCTCAGGTAGAGGTATTGGGAAACATATCGCATATGCTCTTGCAAAATCCGGGGCTTCTGTCGCCGTAACTGGGAGGACCGAAAGTCAGGTAGATGAAACCACTCAAGAACTCTCGAAAACTTTCCCAGATGTGAAAGTAATCGGAGTTGTCGGAGATGTCTGTAAAAGATCTGATCTGGAACGTTTGGTTGAAGAGGTATGAATGAGATTTTGTTTCGTCCGTTATTGGAACACATACTGATGAAATGACCTATTAGGCTACTAGCAAACTTGGTCCCATCGATATTCTTATCAACAATGCTGGCACAAATACTTTTATGCCCTTTCATATCACAGACGCAGACGAATGGTGGAAACAAATGGAAATAAACGTTAAAGCGCCAACAGAATTAACAAGAATCGTTCTTCCCTCAATGCAGAAACGCAATTCCGGTACAATAATTTTCACGAGTTCTCGAGCAGCAGGTGCGGACTTGCCTTGGGCTTCAGGGTATTCGTGTGCGAAGACAGCCATTACAAGATTTGGAGGTGTTTTGCAAAGAGAATTGAATATGCTTCAAAAAGATACTTTCGGGTTCGAGGAAAACGGCATCTCAGTATTCTCGATTCATCCTGGTGAGATCAAGACCGAGTTACATCAGACCGCTTATCCGGAGAAGACGAAGGTTGAGGCACCATATGTTATTGAAATGATGGCCAAGTTACATAAATCACACCCAGAGTTCAGTATTGATTTACCAGCTTGGACGTGTGTTTATTTGGCTGCTGGAAAAGGGTCAGCTTTAAGAGGCCGATTGGTAGATTGCACCAGGGACTTGGAAGAAGTAACAAATTTTGTGACGTCTTCGCCTAAGCCGAAGATCACAAATGCTTGTAGCTGAAGATTAGAGATGACTTCTCCATAATAAACTTTATTACTATGATACCAAACCCATATGCGCATCGCGGTGTAATGAATTGGCTTTTGATACGGAGCTACTCTGAAATGCTTGATTTGAGATCTTTGATACTTTGAGAGTCTCAATTTGTTTCGTTCTTCAGCCTTCAGAAATTGAGGCCTTTGCCCTGGCAGGCTAATCTTCGTTAGTTACTTCGTCATAACAAGCTATGCCCCACACTGATAGAGAATATATTGACCCTAATGTAAGATGCTGACCACTAGTAAAAAGTGTATTGTTAGTTTGATGGTTTTTTATGTTCCTATTTGTCGGGTATTCTACAAACAAAAGTCTACGGAATGGATCTAGTACGCGCGTGCGGGGTACCCCGTACACCAATACCAAATGGTAAACTTTTCCGATGAATATGGAGAGAAATCGTAGTGGGCCATCCACTTCCCGACGGGATTATCATTTTGAACATCATGAATTTGCCCATTCTTAAGACTCTGCAAGTATACGGAATCTGGGAAAACGCGCAAATATCATACGTTTTTAATTCCATTCTTCATCCATCATGTTAAATCTAAAACCCGAAGTCGATACCGTGGAGTATAGCGAGAGAGGGACGATTCAACAGAACCACGGACGTCATCATCATGCTGTTGTGGTGCAAGGCAATGAGGATGAGCCGGGAAGTGTTTATCAACTGAGTTGGAAGACAATTATAGCTTTTATCTCTCTCTCAATGGCAAATTCTTGTGCTGCTCTGGCCAACACCGTAGATACCTTCCACGATCTTAGCTGATCAACGAATAATAACACCTTTGCGCAGGCCAACACCGTCATAAAGTTTCAGGTCGCCTCTGTTGCTAAAAGTCCAGCAGATGCAGCTCTCGCATCATGGATTGCCAACGGAAGTTTTCTCGTCGTTGTCGCTCTTGGTCCGATTTTTGGTAGTCTGAGCGACAGAGTGGGAAAGAAATGGTTTATGGTTTGCGGTGCCATTCTTGGCTTGATTGGAAGTATAATTGCAGGAAAAGCAGACAATATTCTCCAGATCATCGGAGGCAACATCTTGAATGGAGCTGCTAATGCTGGATGTGTGAGTTAAATTACACACTTCCTGCCACTCCTTGGACTAACGATTACATAGATTGTATCAATCTCAGCAATCCAGGAGATCATTCCGAACAAACTTCGTCCCTGGGCTATGGGAGCCTCACAAGCCATGGCTAGCGCTTTCGTTGTTCTTGACACTTTTCTTGCTGCCGCTTTTGTCAAGATGAATGCCGGAGGAGCTGATGGATGGAGATGAGCGTATTATTTTAACAGCATCATCTATGGAATAACAGCTATTATGATTGCCTTCTCATACTTTCCACCTCGTCCTAGACTTGGTCGACACAAGATGCTCAGTTCTATCACAAAAGAAATCGATAATATTGAAATTCTCCTCATGTCAGGGTCGTTCGCTTACCTTGTCGTTGGCCTTACCTGGGGTGGAACTACTCATCCATGGAGATCAGGACAGTGCATCGGAACGCTTACTGCGGGGTGTATTGGCCTCGTGATCTTCGGAATTTATGAGGCTTTCGTCGTCACCGAAGGAATCTTTGATCATCGACTTTTCGAAACCATGAACTTTCCCATTTTGCTTTTCGTTTGCATAATAGATGGCATGCTTCTTCTTGGCGTCAATGTCTTGTATTCACAAGAGATCTTCGATCTTTTTACAGCCGATGCTGTTAGTATTGCTGTCATTCTCTCTCCATTTTTGATTACATCAGCATTTGGGTGTATTCCAGCTGGATGGGTAATGGCTTCAACGAAATCATATCGTTGGATGCTGGTCGGATCTTTATTTTGGTGTGCTTCATTTACAGGCCTTATGGCCATGGTAAATTCAACCAGACTCCCTATGGCACTTGCTTTCACCACTCTCTTCGGCCTCGGAACTGCTGTGACTACCACCATTCCATCTGTGGCGTTGGGGTTGTCAGTTCCAGCATTCATAATCGGAACAGGGGCCACAGTCAGTAGCAGTTGTCGTGCTTTGGGAGGTGTTATCGGCATCACTGTTTTCACTGTTATATACAATAACAAATATGCAGAGCTGGTAGGACCAGAAATTGCTGCCAATACCAATGCACCTGTTCTTGTTAATGAGAGTGTGGAGGCGTGGAAATATGTCTGGGTCGCAGTGGCTTCTCTTCTTGCAGCGAGCGGTGTAGCTGCATGCTTCTTGAAGAGCGTTGCACCGATGATGAACCACCACGTAGAATCTGCGCTGGAGCCATCGAAACTTCGTGAAGCTCAACTTTCTTAATCTCTTTCTGGTTCACTTTTAGTCTAGCGCGGCGCCTTGCCTGCATGTTATTATGCCCTTGATGATCTGGTTATCGATAAATGAAATGAATATTCCGCACACCTACTTCATCCATTCTTGTGACCTGTGACCGTGAAGCTTTTGCTGTATATCAAGGATGAAATGGAAAGCTCGTGAGCGATGAGCATTGAAGATTTTCTTCAGATTGGGTCCGTGTAAATCAATCACATGACCGTCCATCATTACTAGCCATTCTCTGTTTGTGTCTTTGCATGATTGATTGTTTTGTATCTGTCTGCGCCTTTTCTGTCATCTCGCTGGTTTCGGATTCACAAACTGATAATGAAATCTGCATCAAGCCTGGAAATGTTCTACTCGCTAAGTGGTGAGAAAACGTGCGCTAGAACTTCATTTGCCTCTTATCTCATCTACGGCCAAGACATTTTGCGGCACTGTATTGCAACAGTTGTAAAATCGGGGTTTGAAGCTATGATCTTATGGTCAAACAGAAGTTCCTGTGTGCCAAAGAATGCCCAAGCTGTGTAAGAAGGCGACCAACTGTTGGTGGAAAATCATATTGATCACAGCTTTTCCTATTATCAGTACTCTCCATACATGCCTCTCATTCTAGTTGTTAAATATGACGCAAATGATAAGTCTCACGTCGTTTTCTTTAATTGTCTCGATAGTCTACTTTCTATTCAAAATTTTACACCTTTGGAGAAAGCGCCAGCAAATCAAAAGCGAACATGGTTGTCAACGTCCCCCCAATTATCCGCATACGGAGCGAATATTTGGCTATAATCTCTTTCGCGACAACATGGAGCATGCAAAACAGTCCAAACTACTAGAGAGATGGGCCAATAGATTTGAACAATTTGGAGACACATTTGCCGCAGTTCTACTTGGTAATCCCATGATTGCCACTATTGACCAGTTAAATGTGCAGACAATGCTTGGTTCAAACTTCAAAGATTATGGAGTACAACCTCTGAGGAGATCTGCCACCCTTCCCTTCTTAGGCGAAGGTGTATTTACAATGGTGATCATAGTTCCACTTCATTCTTATGATTTTTATTAGCAATCTCGATTCGGCGACGTATCCCGTAGACCCACAACGTTTTTCAACACAATCACATTGCCTACATTCATAGAAAATGTCATTTTAAGAGTTACTACTGACGGTGAGTAATAGGATGGTTCATTTTGGCAGCACCCGCGTACTCTGATGCGTCCTACTTTCACCAGAGCTAATGTTGCCAATCTACCTTCATTCGAAAAGAATCTGCAAAAGTTCTTCAAACTGTTACCGGAAGATGGGTCCACTGTTGATTTGAAACCACTGTTATGCAAACTAGTATGTTGAAGTTCAAGAACTTTGGAGATTTAGCTCCTTCCGTGTGATTGCCAATGCTAATACTTCGACGTAACTAGTTCATCGATACATCTACTGAATTTCTCTTCGGCGAATCCATGGACATGCTTTCTCCAGAGCAACCTGTTCGATCCCAGGAGTTTCTCGACGCTTTCCACTACGGCCAATTTGGCACTGGACGACGCCTTCAGCTAGGGAAACTGGCGTTTCTGTATCGTGATAAAAAATACTATGATTCTATCAAATTAGCACATGCATTCGCCGACTTTTACGTTGACAAAGCAATAGAATACCGTGCCGATCGTCTGTCAAAAATAAAACTTTCCGAAAAAGATGGATCTGGACATAAGTATGTTCTACTACTTGATATGGCTATGCAGACCGACAATCGGAACGAACTTCGAAGTCAAATTCTGCATGTGTTTCTTGCGGGACACGAATCGAGCGCTATCACTATCGGGAATGCACTATTCCAACTTTCTCAAAACCCAAGCGTGTGGGGAAAGCTTCGTCAGGAAGTAATCGAAGCTCATGGTACCTCGATCGGGAGCTTTACACATGATAATGCTTTACACATGATAATCTGAGGAAATTGAAATGCCTGCAGAATGTCATCAAAGAAAGTGAGTAACTCCGGTCAATCTCAACCGGAAGCCGCTGAATAGATACTCCCAAGCACTTCGTCTTTATCCCGTAGCTAGCATTGCTTCAAGAAAAGCATACAAGGATGGAATTCTTCCGAGAGGCGGCGGTCCCGATGGCAAATCTCCCATCTTTGTTCGAAAAGGCACCGTGATTATCACTCCTCTGTATAGTCTTCACAGACTAGTAGATTGTTTCCAGCCAGATGGAGATAAATTCTTCCCTGTAAGTCGAGCAAATTTTTCATTCCGATTGCCGCACTCCGTCTCCCCATATGAAGTAAATCTCCGAAACATTTCATCGAGTCCACAAAGTCCACCAGTTGGTCCACTGCTTGATGGGTAAATTCCCAAGATTTCAATTTTCTTGATGGATCCAACGTCCAACTGATAAGTCTCTCATTCTGTAATCTCATCCTTTCTCTTGAATGAATTTCTTTTCACTTTCCGAACCCTGAGAGGTTCGAATCAACATTCAAGAAGGCACTCCCGATTTCAAATCTCCCAGTCCTATATCTTCCATTTAATCATAAATGACCTCCCTCCGCTCGCACGTCATCCTATACCCCTAAATAAACTAACAACCCCTCCAGTTCCTCTGGGAAGACCCATCTCTCCGTCCGGGAGAAGCCTACATACCTTTTGGTTGGGGCATCCGTACATGTCCTGCCCAACACCTCGCAGAAATAGGAATTGCATATACATTAGCACGTATGGCACAGAAATGGAAGTATCTGGAGTGTAGAGATGAGGTGGAAGAATAGGTGGAAGAGTTGAGGGTTTCAAAAAGTAGTCGGAATGGTGTTAAGGTTGCTCTCATTGCTGAGTAGAGTCTATAGTCGTATGTCTCGAGCTCCGATTTTCTGCGGAATGGTTTAGGCGGTGATGCTGCAACTTTGGAATAGGTTAATTATATGTAGCTTCTCGCTACTGGTATAGGTGAAACTCATGCCATTATGGAATTTGGTGCTAGTGGTATAAATCCCTCGAATCATTCTGTTGAGATCATGGGTATTATACATTGCACACATGAGAATACACCATTGCTACAGTCACAATCATCAAGTTTGGGAGACGAAGTAATTACATATCGTATCATTTTACTATATTAGTGGACAGCTGTCTAACTAATTTCCGGATACTGTAACAGGATGTACCCGAAAACTCTAGTATCTATGGTCTGCATCTATCGCAGATAATCAAGAACCCCATCGAGTCATTATCTATCCCTTTGAAGCTCCTAGTTAAATTGAAAAGCACAATTGTAACCACCATCCAGGAAACAACATTCAGGATCGGTACCTGCGCATTCACCATCAGGTCTACAGTTGCAAAGTGGCCACACAGGTCCGCACGAATTGTCGGCACAGCAAGGGGGATGTCCAGGACTCGCAGCTCGCTCTTTACATACATCCCCAGAACAAGTTCCGCAATCATGGTCTGTGACAAAGTATCGCTTTTCCAGATAGTTACCTGTGGGAGCCAAACGTGTAGCTCCGATAATGGGAGGAATAATGCGGACGGTAGGATATGCCGGCAAGAAGCTGCGGTATACTGCGGTGGTGACTGTGCCAGGCGACAACATCTCAGGAGGTAGTCCGACCGACGTGAGACTAGCAGGATACCACCAATACCATCCATATGGGCTAGTTGGGGCATAGTAGATAGGATGGCGGTCGCCTCCCACGCCTCCCACGATGACGACACCATTTTGGGGCATACCGGCAATTTCTTTACCGTAGACGACAGGAGCGTTGTCTAAATTGTCTGTGTCTTCCTCTTGCTCACCAGGAACACCAGTTGGACACCAAGGTACTTGCTACAACAGAGAAAAATTAGTCGCTGTCTGCTATAAAATGTTTGTTGTGAAAGGAGGGCGTTGAACACAAAAAATCATTGTACTTACGGTAGTAGTTGTTGTTGCCAACACAGTACATCCTGAGGCCAAAGATGTCTTAGTAGTTGTACATGAGCCAGTTTTGCATGAGACTATGGGAGCGAAAAAGTTAGTGACTGCCCAGGTAAAAGTACACGATAACCTGAAAGATTTAAAGCTGTCTCTGCCTTGAGAAGAAAAGCGGAGACAAGTAAAGCAACAATAAATATGAAGGAGACTTACCAAATATATCTGTAACAGTCGAAGTCTCACACTCAGTCTCAGTCTCGGATTCACTACTGGGCTGACCGGCGGTATCGCAGTTTACAGTGCAGATAGTACCGCAATGTTGTGTGCAAGTGGACTTCGGTGGACCGTGGCTGAATCTGGTTGTGGGATGTTTCTTATCTGGGGGGCAGTTAATCTTGACGATTCCAAGGTTTATACAAGGTAACTTTGGTACTGGAGGCCATGGAAGTGGAGGGAAGGTTGGGAAAGGAATTTTAGGGTCAACAGGGTTGGGTTTACTAGAGAATAATGAGTTAGTAATTGCTCTTTGAACTTTCTGCACCTGAAAGTGAAAACTGTGAGGCTATAACTTGAAGTGAGCATTATGACTTACGGGCGCCAATAGTAACCATACGATTGTACCGGTACTGTAACTACAATAATCGGAGAAGTAGTCTGTCCCGAGGTACTCGGTACCGGAATGGATATGATGGCTGTTGTGCGGCTAGGATCATTGGTGAGACTTGTAAGCTGATCTATCGAGAAAGTTTGACAGATAACATCGGAGCAATAAGTGGTCTCCGATAGACCCGGCCATTCAACAGGAGGGAAAAGGACAACGCCATTTGATGTAGTTGTGATAGTTGCTGACGCATCACCACCAATTTGCCATTTGGATGGCGAAGTGACAGGATTGAACCACAATTGAGTTGTGTATACAATCGAGATCATATTGACTGTAATAACCACAGGAGATGGCTTGAACATCGATGTCATAGAAAATGAGAAATCGGAAGAATCACCGACGGTCATGTCAAAGAAACTAACCGTTGATCCTGTACTTGGTTTGGGGGTAATAACAGTGGTGAGAACAGTAGCGTCATTGCCTTTGCCGAGAACCAAAGTAGTCTTGACTGGTGGAAAAGAGAAGACAGTTTCACCATGATATGTACTGGGTGGGAATACCTGCATGGTGAGGGAGAGTTAGTGGATGGATCTCACGATTGTTTTCTGTATTAATGGAAAGTATGGAACAATGAATTCGATGTATAACTTACAAATGTACAAGGAGGATTGCAATCGACTTCAGGGTCTTGAGCTGTAAATATGGCTGGGTCAATATACACTGGACCTGAACCATCTTCAAGTTTTGTCTAGGGGATGTTAGTGATGGAACTTCCAAAATGGAACAGAAGATAGAAGCTAACTCAAGCAGTAAGTGCAGACAGAGAAGCTTGCATGAGATTATGTGCTCAAGTGATCCATCAAATTGATCGATTAAAACCACCATGAGCGTTCATGCAAGTTCAACAGCAAGTCTAACAGCAAATCCAACGTGAGGTATAAAGAATGGAATCAACTTACGCAAACATCGCTCGGACACCATCCATGCCAGCAAGTAAATTGGCAGAGTGGCCCAAAAGTAGCATGATCGAGACCAGCTGCAGGCACGCCCACAATATCGGGATTTGCTTTCGGTGGTACATTAAGTGGACCTTGTGCAATGCAAGTCTGTAGATGGAAGATTTAGTAAATTTTCACCAAAGTTGAGGGGAAACAAAACATAGTTTATCTACTTACGCAAGCGTTCAACGGGCAAAATCCAAAGTTGCATGCAAAGCTGCAAAGGCCTTCGAGTAAACCAGCACCACTACCAAGGACACAAGCTGGAGGCGTAAAGGGCGAGACTGTTGGTGTGGCCATTGGCAGACCGGACACAGTACCACACTATAAAATGTTGGCGTGGGTAATTCCGCATCAAGAGAAAGATTGAAGCATAGCTAGCCTGCTCAGGAGAACAGGATATGAAAGCAGAGTTTCGCGTGAGACACTGAGAAGGGAGATTTTCTTACATGTTCTGAAGGACAGTAGCCATAAACACAAGCAAAGTTGCATAAACCCTCGTAATTTGCATCGGCTCCAGCGATAGGATAGCCAACTGGTCCCGAGACCTTTGGAAGCTTTGCCTTTCCCATACCGGTGCAGTAACAAGCGCCTTTGGGACAGTAACCAATTGCACAAGTATATGCACAGAGCTTTTGAAAGTCCCCAGCGCCAGAACCACTGGTACAGTTCAAGTTACAGATACTGGCGTTAGGCAACGCAGGGGATGAATCACCCGTTGCACCCATGACATATGCGTTATAGTTTGCGATTCCTAGTTGGCAGTCATTTGAGATGTGGACGTCACCAATAGCTGAGCATATGACTGTGCCGCCTCTGCTGATGACGATGATCACAGGTCCAGTACCCTTGATGTCAACATTTCCGTGATAGATACCTACACCTGAATATGGTTTCTTCAACCATTTAGCGCCAGTATCAACACCACCGATGGTAACGAAGACATCTGCTTCGGAAGAGAGAAGTGCAGAGTAGAAGATTTTGTCTTGTGCCACCTTAGATGGAGGAAACTCAATCAATAGTCTAAATGCATTCAATGTTAGCAACCGTGTGTTGACAATGAGAAATGGAAGGAGGGGTTTGCTTTATACTGACTGAGAAGCAGTGTTCCCTGTTGTGCCATTCGTACCGCAACCTGCAGAATTTGGATTGGGACGATACCAAGCTTGGACTCCTTCTTGGCCTATACTTGAGTAGCCAGTCTTGTAGGTTTCAATGATGTAAGGGAGGAACAAAAGCCAGGCGTCGTGGGGCATTCCCAAAGCATAACTGTTAAAAACATGATGTTAGCATTTTCTATCAAGGACGGAGTTGTGGTAGGCAAGAGAAGAGATATGTTTGGAGAGGAGAAATGTGCTCGAGATCGGGGGAGTAAAGGTGGGCGCGAAAGCCGGCAAAAGTTGTGGAAAGGTGTTCATACTTGAAAGGAGCAGAGCGCATTGCACCCATGGTTGTTTCATCAATAGGCCCAACTGTCACATGATATGATTAGCAAAATGCAGTAAAACGCATGAACCACAAAGGAGAAAATTGAGACTTACCATAATGAGATTCTCCGTAGTCGTTCCATGATATGATTTCAACGAGATCAGGTTGCCAAAACATAACCTCTTCCCATCTGTCATACCATAAATCGTCACCTCGCCAAAGCCAATTCTTGTTGAACTGTGGCAGATTGGTGTAGAACCAAGGGCTTACAGGCATCATGTAAGGCATTCCATCAAGAAATTGGTGGTATGAGGCGTCAACATATGTATTCATGTCTGTGTTGCCCCAAGGCCAAGCTATTTTTGTGTTAGAAGAGGAAACAAAATGGGGAGTCATTACTTACCAGCCCAACTAAAGAGACCATCTGCAACACCAAGCTTCATAGCAGCTTGTGCACCTAGAGAAGACCAATCTGGAATGAAGACAATGCCAGTCTGTGCCTTGATTTGACGCCAAGCATCAGCGTTTCCTGCTCCTTCAAAAGTAGAAACCAAAGGCTTTCCTTTATAGATGTAGTATGCATCGTTCCCAATATATTGATTGAGGTAACCCATGATGGCGTCATATGACCAGTCACTGGTTTCGTCAAATGAGAAAAGACACTTGAAACCGACTTTCTTGGCAGCAGAAAAAGCATAAGCTACTTGGGTCAGTAAGTTCTGATCGGTGCTAGCCATGTTCAAGACAAAGCCATCAATGTGAGCCTGCTTTGCTCTCTGTAAAAACAAGTCAGCGCTGTCCAAAGATATCATGAGTTAATGTTTTAAAGGGCGAAGAACTTACGGTCATATCTCGAGTCCATTCTGGAACTCCCCAAAAGGGAACGTTGCCGACCTAGTTCAAATGGTTAACATTCAACAGTAAAGCTACGTGCAAGCAGATTTGAGTTTTTAACTAACCATGAAATGAGCAAAAACGGCTTTGCCATCAACAGTACATATTCCTGAATCGGCAGCAACAATGCGTCGAAAGTGATTGAGATCAGTATAACCGGGAAGGGAGACTGCAGTCTGCAACTGGAGTGAGATAGCTAAAAGCCAGCTGAGCAGGTGAGGAATCTTCATGTTGGCAGTTTGAAGACTCTGGAAAGAGTGAAATGATTTATGAAAGGTAAACAGTCTCTATCATTAATTGGAGTTCCAATAGATGTAGGACTGGGTGTTGTTGTTAAGACAAATCAGAAAGTAAAGGAATGTAAAGAATTAAAGAGTAAGGGAAGGTAAAGAGAGAATTGGGAGGAAAGATGAAGGAAAACGTGGGAGAAGAGGTTGAAGATTTTGAAGCTCGAAAGGAATAGTATATAGGTATCAAGATACACTAGTTCTCATGGCTCTCAACAATATTTACAAGCTAGACCCGATATGATTGCTACTCAAGATGCGAAACTAAAGAAAAACGAGCTTAATCCAAGGTTGATCTTCGGGAAAGGAAGTAGATCGAGTTCGGATATCAGTATAGATGGCTGCCCTGGAAACCGATGAAAGAAACAAGAGAATGGTACGAGCGTCTCGGCTTCGGTATTGACATTCACTTCTGGACTTATAAAATCCACTAGTCCTTAGCAGAGAAATACTTGCCTATCTATCCAGGTAGATATGCTACTTTCCCCATGAGAGGAAGGCATCTAGATAATTAGAATATGAGAAATGCCAGTAGACTAGTAGCCAATAGTTTAGTTTTTGTCTAGTCAGTTTTAATAAAATCCAAATATAATGGTTCATCTAGGTAGTTACTTATAGAAAGCCCTTTTCTTGACTGATGAGGCTAAATTAGGAATATTCGACTTTCAAATTGTTTACATGTCAGATGAATAGTTCACCAACAGTAAAACAAACTTATTAAACACATCATTCTGTTGTATTTTGCTCTGATAAATTGATCATGGGTCTTGCCTATGTCGATAATGAGCAATATTGTTCACTAGCCAAATAAAATTGACATACAGAAATTTTCAATATTAAAATCGAAACGTAATACTTCATCTGGACTTGAGGAAAGAAAGATTTCTTCGTAGTTTTTGTCTAAAAAAATGATGTATGCCGTGTCCCGGGTGGTCTACATCCCCTCTAGTGTCAAGTTGACAGACAAAGAAATGAGGATCTAAATGATATCATTGGACTCACAAAATCTCATTTCCCAACAAGCACCATCAAGGTCCCCCAAGTTGCTTGAAGAGGAGGTACAGCCACATATTCACTTCTGAAAATCTTTTCAAAAGAGAAATTGTAAAATGAAGTTTCTCGGGTACCCAGATCTTGCCGTATGTGACCTCAACAAAGGGTACTTTTGTAGTTTCTCCAAACAAGGCTCGACGTTCTCCAACAGAGATTCCCTTCCTTCCTGTCCTTTCTTGATTTCAACACAACACATACAGACAAAAACCTTTGTACGAAAAACCTCAATTACCATTGACAAAAGCCAAGATGCCCTCTCTGTTTGGTATTGTCATTTCTAAGAGTTTAATGCTCTTATTTGTTTACACCATCCTACTTGCTCCACTCCTCAGTCTCACAAGCGCTGAAGTCAATCATAATGCAGCAGCTCTCCCAATTGATCAACTTGTTTCTCAAGCTGCTCAGACTGCTCAGACTAAGGTTGACAATTTCACACAAGCAATGACTTCACTCGTCCATCACCAGCACAGCCGCCGCTACAACAATGACCATCATAACCATGCCTTCAACATTAGTACACGTGCAGATCCAGCACTCTATGCTGCACGAGTTCTGAAGGGCAGACAATTGTATTGTACCATGCAGGACAGTCTTGCTCTGACAACTCAGAAGAATGGTGGTGTATCTCAAGAGGCATTGATCTACGATCCGGCAAATCTCTACACTGAGGGATTTAGGACTTATGTCATGAAAGAAAATGATGAGGAAGGACCTGTCTTTGGAGAAGCTTTGGATGAACCACTAAATTTCCTTGGATCAGATGTTTGGGAAGCAGATGAGCCCATGCCTGTCTTGGTTCGCGAAGCACACACTGCAAAAGGATTCTCTCAGATCGACACACTTGATCATGAGTTATGGCACGATAGTTCTCGTCTTGTAGAAGTAAGTACCATCAATGACCACATCTTTCTGATATGAACTAACATATAAATTTCAGCCAACAGGAGCAGAATGGGAAACCTTGATCAACTGTGATCCTGGAATCCTTGTAGCGGACAAGAACGTTAGTCCAGCCTCGCAGGGTTTCAACAAGAATGCCGACAACTCCCCCCGGATATGGAGTTGGTCTGATACAGTTTTCCTGTACTACAAGAGAGTCTGTGGTTTGTTATCCCATGAAACCCCTTGCTTGACAAACAATCACTGATTTCTTATTGTAGGTGCCGCCGCTGTCAAAAACCTAGAATGGGTAATCCGGGCAGGAATTGTCAACGAAGATACCAACATTATGACTAAGATGGCCTTGAGAGCAAGTGGACACAACACTATACCACTTTGGGGAGATAGGATAACTTTACATCCAACTGATGATCCCTTCTTTGCTATTCTTGGAAGCAAGAATGGTGCTGGTATCGGCTTTCTACTCAATCAACACAAGGATGTAGTAACTGGCCTGGGTGTCAAAAAGGTCAACAGTATAACCATTTGGTCCTACGGAGAGTCGAATCTCGATATCAGCAGTACAAACACAGACGATTTTCCTGATCACACACTTTGTTTACTCTTTGAGATTGTTCCTGTTGCTTCACCAAATCAGATCCCTCCACCAACCGTCTGAGAAGAACAAACAAGAAAGCATCCAGAGCATTGGAATCTTCACATATGAAGGGAATGATGTTCAAAAAAGTTTGCTAAGTTAGACGCAAGGATAAAGTTCATGGAGAACAGCTATCAGAAAGACACTCTGAATAGAATTAGTTTAATGAAACAAGAACATGAAACCCCTTCTCGAGATTACTCCACGAGTGACATGTAAATGTGCGTGGATTTGAAAAGCTGCCGGCTTTACATATGATCGTAATGAAAGTGATGTTGAAATAAACATTTTGATGCTCCAGCATCCCTGATTGTGGGTTGATTAGTCATCAGATCCTTACCAGAAACAGTGGGTGCAGGTGAAACATTTCCCAGAGTTCAAAACCCCATAATCAATCCAAGTACCTATCATTTGATTTTGATGTTGATAGAAACATACAGTCTGATTGTTTGAGTAATGAGACCTTCTGTGAAGTTTCGAATCCCTCAAAGTGATGAATCAAAAGCTTTCGTCAGATTGAAGTTTCTCACCAAATTATGAATCTGCTAGGCATTTCGATAATATTGGTTGATGAGACTCCAACACCTTACTTCTTTGATTCTCGGTACTGAGTTACTCCCAGAACTTTTAGTAAGATACTTAACTTATCGTACTATGGCAAAAGGCTTGTGAATGAGGTAACTTCTCAGGCATCATTTCAAGCCGATGAATGATCACCAGGTCATGAACCGACAGCCAGCAAGGAAATATCACTGGACCCTTCATTCAACAAACGGTAGAAGGAAATTTTCTTCCCCATCATGAATGATTGTTCACCGGAGGATTTGTCTTACAGTTCTGATGGATATTGTCCACAAAATGCTGAGGAAGAGGCCAAACACCAGAAAAGAGACGACTAGTCCAAAAGCTGCTGCGGGGGCAAGCTTGTGAGAATTTATCTCCAGAACTATCTCGAAGTTCGGCGAGCTTTCCAATGTCCTAAAAAGTAGTTACCAGATCCAAGAGGTGCTGTGTGAAAATATACGCGGCGATGCAGCAATTCAAAATCAGCAGTGACTGAGCTATAAAAAGGCGGCAGTGTGGTTAAGATCCCAACAAATCTAGCCGTACCGACTTCTAAGCAGAGCGCCTGACTTTCCGAAGAGTGCGGGCATCTTTTTTCTATCTAAATAAATTATAGAAGAGAGAAAATAGGTTTTCAGGGAGTTCAGGATGTCGTACGAGGAAATAGCCCAACAGACATGCTCCGGCAAACCACAGGGAACGTCAAAAATGCCTTTCCTCCCCAAAAGAGTAAAACAGGCCGACTGATAAAGAAGAACAGCAAAATATCCAACGACGAGACCTTTACCTGATCAAAAGAGAGAGATTACCACTTACCGAAGCAATTACCCATAACTACGCCTCCGCACCTACGGAGATTCAATTTCCGGAACGCCAAAACCAACAGCAACCACCCTGATCAACCAACCAACTAACCAATCAACTAACTGACAAATGATATCCAAGATTCCCTAACTACATTCACCGTCCACTACTCACCACAATCCGCTCTTCCACCAAGCACAAACACAATACCAATATTCCTACGTATCATCTATTTCTCATTTACCCATCAACATCCACACGTCCCAAACACAACGCAGCACGCGTAACACAACATCAACTAAAACATCCACAACCGCTATATCCGCAGAATACCGTATGATTACTCGTGAAAACTCGTTTTCTGTGTAATCAGCGCACGACATGAAACACACAATAGATTTGTGTAATCTTTAGCATTATGCTGAGACGCTGCGCTGCAGTTTAGAGCCTCGTGGAGAGATTTGCTATTAAGCTGAGCAATCAGGAGAAGTATGGGAGCTTGAAATGAACAGAGTGACTAATCTAGGTGGAATAATTGAACAGATGATGGAGAATGAGGATCAAAAATAAAACATACCATTTATTGCATTGCCGTGCCGGTTTGAGAGAAATTCATGAATTAATTTAATCAAGCCTCCTTCCATTCTGTATACATCTAACTAAGTACGTACATTAATTTCCAATGAGTGTGGTATCAAATCCAATCCAATCAAACAAAATCATGAATAAAACTCAGGCGGCTCGCCCCGAGCACGAGCACGAGCGCACCAAGCTTTTCCTCCCTCCTATACCTAATCCTGCGAAGTAAATTGACAATACCTTTCCTCCATTAAACTCCATCCTTATTACCCGTCAAAGGTCCTCATCGGTAGCCTTTACCCACTTCATTTCTCATCATTCCTGCATACCCACTCTCGCTATCTGTATACGAAAACGGCCTTTCTCTTTCCGGGGAAGGCGCGCCTGCGGTCATACTCGCGCTTCTGCTTGGAGCCGGGAGCTCGATCGGGCCCTGTCCTTGGTTTGCCTTTCTTTTTCTTGTAATCTGCAATGGATTGATCAGCATACGCGCTTTTTACAATGTTTCCAAACGTGAATTGAAGAAAAAAACAACAGTGGAAAAAAACATACCTCAAAGCGTCTTGTGCACTCCTATCATCCATCTCACTCAATGTTTGTCCTCCATACCCCTGAGAACTTAAATGCGACTCGTGATTATGAGCCGGGCTAGGGAATCCAGGACTTCCCATCGGACTTCCAACCGATACACTCTGATACTGGCCATTTCTAACTGTCTGCATACCCACTTAATCAATCGGCGGACTTCGGCTTCTAAAACTATTCGTGTCGGGATCCGTGTAAGCACCGTGGTGAGGCGAAAAGCGTCCAGATGCAGTATCTAAGCCTGAAAGACCAGATGCGAACTTGGAAATATTTGGATAATTGGCTTCGGACACTGTACGGCCGCCTTGCGACATATAAGAATTATGAGTATCATCGTAAGGGTTGCTGCTAGCTGGAGGCCCGGTCGATGGTCCATTGTGAAATACTTCTTTCATGGTTCGGTGGCGACCGCACATGTAGAATAGAGCGCCTGCTAGAGCTATCACAGCGACTGCACCAACGACGATACCGGCAATGGCGCCAGCCGGTAATGATTTATGGGAGGAGCCAGAAGCAACGGCTTTTGCGGTTTCTAAGGGAAAATATTCATTGGGAGAGAACTCCATCGTTGCATTTTCAGCATACGCAAACTGAACATCGAAGGTTTGCGTAGCATTGGCATTTATAACCCCGACCATACCCTCTTGACATGCACCAGGAGCCGAACAATAGAAGAATATAGGTTCTGTATCGTTAATACGTAAGTTAAATATAGGCGGCTAGTTAAGACTTGTCAGCATCATTTCATCGATCTCAAGGAAATAGAGAGTGTCTAACATTATTGGAGACAATAGCAGTAGGTTCGAAACCACTCCAGAATCCAATCTTTCCTGCCCCAGTGTCTTCGTATGGTATACATGGTTCTGTAAGATTGAAATTAAATATTGCCTATGAACAAAAGATTCGGAGTAAAATACGTTTGTATTCTGCTCTCGCCACAGAATGATTTAATGGATAAAAGCAAAATTCTACAGACCCGTTAGTCAAACATAAATGCGATGTTGAACATAATGACCTACCAATAATATCTCCAACATCCGCCGTCAATTCTTTAGGATCGTAGTTGAGGCCATCCTGATAGTCATTAATATTCAGTTGTAGCACAATTACATTCGCAAGATCAACTTACTGCACCAACCGATACAACATGCGTCGTAGCAGCAGTCTTCGAAGCGCTTATCGATGAACTTGTGGATGAACTTGTGGTGATGAAACAAAGCTTGTTTTTGATGCTGAAGCCGTGGAAGAACTATCCGCAATTGAGCTCTCCGTACTAGAACTTTCAGCCCGGACCGAAGCAAGGATTGATAGCCCTAACAGAGCGAATAGCCTCGACAGCATCTTTTTGAACGTTGAGTCGTCAATTAATTAATACGATTTGTAAAGAACGAACCTTATCATGCAGCAAGAAAAACAAAACAAAGAATAAAGAATGTGAAAAAGGTGTACCAGTACAGAAATCAGGTGGAAATCTTACTTACATGCGGGGTGGTTGTCCATATCAAGAACCGACCAGCGAAGCCAGCCCCCATGAAAAGATAACTTGGGACAGTATTGTAAGAGCAGTAATAGTGTGCGGCTGAGTAAGAGAACAGCCTGGCAAATCTTGCAAATCTTTCTAAATTTTCACGTAGTATTGACTGAGTGAACTTGGCAAAGAGTACAGCGGTGTATTACCCGGTAGCTATGGGAGATTTTGGGCATAATATTCCACGTTTATCTTGGGTCATCCATAGCAAGTGCTTCAAAAAGTGCGGAAGTTCTGAGGCGTTTGTGTCGGTTGCATTCATCCATCACGTAAATAATCCCCAAGGAAAAAAGAGGACCCGATGTTAGCAATGTAGCATGTATGTAATTTATCCACAAGAAGTTCATATCTTTAGAAATACCATTCCTAACTAGGGAAAATCAGAAAAAATCGATATCGGACACAGCCTCCACTTGTAGGATTCTGCAGGGAAAGAATGGGGGCTGGAATCATTGATTGACGGAATCCAGGCTTATGGCCGATGCTTGTCGGTAACCGTGCCAATGGTAACCGAACTTCCAGAAGCCTTACGCATTGACCGAATTGACCCCTGAGGGGCCCCTTGCCTGCTTACATCTCTCGTGTTGCCTCATTTCTTGATTGAGATTCGCGTGGAAAACGTGGTGGAAGTAGTGTGACTGCGTACTCTTTGACCAATGAAGTACATAACATGTTTATAAAACTGACAAAAATCTAATGTTGTATATGGGTATATGGCACACCTTTAAAACCGATCACTGAACCTTCTTCGCTTTCGCCTTTATCTTTTCCATCTTCGAGGACTGTAGAAGACCACTTTCGACAGCCAAGGACCATAGACACCATAGATAACATATGCCAAACCCAGAAACTCCAACTGCGACATTCATGACAACCCAGAAATCAGGGAAAGGAGCAGGTGGCGTCCAGAAAATCTCTCCCAAATGCCAAGCAACCATTGCCTGATAAAAGAGCGTATGTATCAATGTAGTTCCGAATCCTATCCAATTGCCATCATTATGCTGCGCATACACTTCAAAAGAAAAGGGTGGAAGCCCAAGAAGGTATAGCCACAAGAGAACCAGAACGAAGTAAGGAACACGCAACTCTACTCTTTGCAATAATGGAAACATTGTAAAAGCACCAAGAACATTGGCAAATGCTATCCATGATCGAGTTCCTTTGCTAAGTCCTCCTCGACCAGCCAGCATCACAGTCATTGGCATTAGAGGTAACAAGACGCTTTTCTCATGTACCTGGAAACTGAAAAGGAAGAATCCCCACGCTGATGTTGCCAAGGCCAAGGGCAATAGATCCTTTCGTGGTTTGAAGAAGATAATCAAGCATGGAGGAGTGATGGATGCTAAAGTGATAAGTAGTGAAGCTTTCTGAAGAAGACCCTGATCAAAGTTTCGGAGCTTGATAGCGACATTTAACGCGCACCAGAAGTTGGCCACCTTGTCTTCAAAAAGGCCTCGCGCAAAAGGGAACACTCGGTATATGACCTGTGCACTTTGCTCCATGATGGGATAATACCAAGCGCGATAATCAAGTTTGTCTGCAAGATGACTAAGAATGGGTAATGGTGCTGCAAAACCATCAAGCTCTGGTCGGGCACTGATACCTTGACTTTTCTCGTAGAGAGCACCCAACAACAGGGGCAGAAACAGGGCCACAAATGATACCAAAGTAACAATCGCGATGCCTAAAAACCTAGGAATATTGATGGGAAATATGCAGACTCCCAGTAGGTATGCAAACATAGCAGGAGCATAATACAGGGCCATCTGCTTGAATCCCAATGCCATGACAAAAAACACACAGCTCCACATGTATCTGCCAGCTAGTACACTAGACATGCTAGCCAGAACCAATCCAAGCATTACTGTATTGTATTGAAAATGTGCGTGGTCGATGAGGATCGATCCAGGTTGCATAAGTATAGCTGTCAGAGCAATTGATGCTGTCCATATATTTACAGCTTGAAGCTTGCTTAATCGTCGAACGAAGATGACCGCTGCAGGTACGAACACTAAGTATTCGGAAATGATAACTGTAGCTCTCATAAAAACCTTCATTGTTGGATCATCGAGTCCTCGCGACGTATATAAGGCGAACCACGAGGGGTTTATGAATCCTCCAATCTTTCCAAGAACCCAGCTGTGATATGCGGTTAAGGGTGGATAGTCCAATCCCCACCATTCGAGATCATGGAAGTACCATTGTGAAATCGGAAGTTGCGTTGTAATCTCCATCCAGTGTCTCTGAGCTTCGTAATCGCCATGCATCGGTGGACTTTGAAAGCCTGCCATAAAGAGTCAGTGGCAGAACTCACAGTGATGGGCAGAATCTACAAACGTACCAGAATATCCCCAAAGTCCAGCAGCCCACCTAAACAGACCTACGGCCATCAATATTAGAGGCAGTACCACCCATTGCGATGTCGAACTACGCGCAGACCAAAGTAGAGAGGCCAATGGATACGTAGGTTGATTTCCACTCATACGCCTGGCTGTTGGCGTGGTAGGAGTAGCTATTGAATCACTCTCAGACATAGCTTTTTTGGATCGTTGACCTCGCGATCGAGTTTTGTATGGTGAGGGAGAAGGTCCAGCCATTGTCACCGAAAGATTGAAGCCGAATAATGAACTATTATCATTGCTTGAAGTAAATTACAAGATTGAGTCCAAATTATGTTGGGTCAGTCATGTACTGTAATAAATTTGTGGGGTGGTGCGCGATGAATACCACTATATTTATTTTATCCTTGCGCTTATTAGCCATGATGACACGCTTCATTTTTTACATCTGTGTACCAACAACTTCTACGCCAACTCCCAATTGAATTTTTTATTTATGCGCCTCATATCCTCCTATTTTCCATATCCTTCTTCAGAATCAGAAAATTCGTTGTAAAAATTACTTGAGTAGGTAGTTGTAGCTAACCGCTTAAAAAACTCTATAACAACCAATATACGTAGATGAGTAGGAAACGTTCACTTCCAAATTTCTCGAGTATGACCATGTTGTGATGGTGAAGCCGCTTACAGCTTTCGAGTGAAAGAAGCAGCTTAAAACAATACAGCCGACATCATTAAAATCGCTATGCACTTCATAGCTCTTGAGTTAGACACAGCGGATAACTATGAATTTTCTTCTCATCAGCTCCCCATCTCCAAATTCTAGCATTGAATTAACCTTAATACTTGCCGCCCATCTGGCCAGAGACAACTGCATACGCAATCGAAGCGATACGATAAGCGTTATCAGGGAGGATCGCGATTCCATTAATATCTAGCCTGTAGATCCTGCACAGTATCAGGAAAGCACAGCTGTTTGGGAAACTGCCTTCAAATGAGTGGTCTAAGTCGGCGCTTGGATCCTGACATTAGCAAACGATGTTCATCGAGTAGGTATCGATGACACTGCTATAGCACTTTACGATTTGCTAGCGCGGACTTCAAAATGTCTGATGATATTCATTGGCAAAACAGTAATGCAACTACAAGAAAAGACATCACGTATAACACTACAGTACATACGAATCGGTTCCAGCGACTGATATTCCATTCGAGCTCTGAAGCTCCCAAATTCCCATGAGACCGGCATGCCATGGGCGACCAAACCAGCAATCTTCTGCGTTTACACCCTGCCTTAAAAATGGCGGCATAAATATCCCGAACTTGATTCGTATAAGAATTCCAGAAACCCCTTGAAGCGCCCTATACTCCCAGTCACACGCCATATGAAATCCATCTTCCAGAAAACGTGATAGTTCACGTACAATTTCGACAACAATTCGAGTGTTCGAGTATTCTAAGCTCAAAAATAGACTCGTGTTCCCTTCCTTTTTTCGAAACGCAAAATGTCATCCAGTAAGTTGCATCATCTAACATGCAACCCAAGAATATGATGGTTCTTCGTCCTCTGTGTTGCCAAATATCCTGGAGACTTTTGCAATTCTGAGATTTGATAGTCAGCGGCCATTCTTAGACATTTCTGATCAGCCTTACCATTGAAGCGCTTTTCTGTCTCTAATTCTGTTTTTATAAATTTGGCACTCTTGGGTTCAACAGTGAGAAGTAATGGTTCCTTGGCTACATGCTTCGTGTATACTTGACGGCAGCATGCTCCGACGAAAGCTAATATCAAGACCAATAAACCCATGCCAAGGTTCACAATGACCGTTGGCTCAAGATTGGCCTTGAGTGCTATTAACATTGTGGCTAGACACATATTGATAGTTGGTAGTTGAATGATGTGATGGATACGTATATTTCAGAGAGTACAATTGGTATCTGATGGTTAAAGAAACGATGTGTGATGCAAGAATTTTCGCAAGAATACAATGGGCAAAGGAGTCTCAAGAACATGATTGAGTGTAGGAATTTAAACATTGGAACTGTTGGTTAGTCGTTCGAGACTTCCCCATTGTTCAAGACACACATCTCAGAAGCGCTTCCCAAGAATCTCTAGGATATTGCCGCCGATAACCTGAATCCTTCCTAAATCCTAAAGCTTGGGCCAACTCGACAATGTGGATGCTCTTCGCAGCCAGCAAGGTACGCAATACTCGATACCTCTATAGAAAAATGCTTCGGATATTGTTGGTTAACGTTTCATGTAGGAAATCGCACGAAGTGGATGTGTGATCAGCAACTCGAGGACGGTAGATCTTAATTTAACATTAAAGTCACGTGCCGACCCTTCCATCTCGTACATCGTACCTATCTTTCCACAAACGTGAGTTGAACAAACAAAATTTTAAAACATTTTCAGTCTGATTTAAGTATATGACAGGAAAAATCCATGATACGAAGTGGGTGTAGCGGCTGGCCACCTGTAGCTCTGTCGCTTTTGTATGTTTGCTTTTCGATAAGCCATGTCCTCTGCATCTCAGCGCAGTATAACTACACAAAAGTTCCTGATGCCATTGTGCATTATCTGAGGTGTTCCTTGATTTCTCTAACCTACTTAGTTGGAGGAGTATTTGAGCGGCAACCTACATAATCTTGATTGCCTGCTAGCGAAGGGACATACTTTTATTTCACGACCCAACCAATTTCACGATTATCCTTTCTAAAGTTAAAGCTAATTGATTACATGCATTTGAGACCAATGTCTTGCAACGGCATTTGGCAATTCTTTGAAAGAGAATGCTCGAGTCTCTCTGGCTTTGATCATAGCTACATGAAGTCATGAATAAATGGTTTATATGTTCATTTACGAGGAATATATATTCCGATTTTTATTCTCGAGTTTCTGGGAATTTTTTCCATAATCAAAGCGTCTTGTCCCTATTTGGCTTTTGACAACTTCAAACACTGCAGCGATTTCTCTCTTATTTTGTCACGACAATCATCAAAGTAACATTATCACATTTGCACAGCACGGGTAAATTTATATTTAAAGTTTAATAAAATGTATTATTTTTTGGGTTGAGCTTTTGGATCGAATCGATCTAATGAAATATCAAATTAGCCAAGTGGAGTCGTAGGAAGAGGTAATGAAAGTGAATGAAAAACGATTTCTCCCCCTCTTCTTTAAAACTTCTTCTTGATTGATCCCCAGAGCGACTTACCGATCTTCTTGGCCTTCTCCCTTTTGCTGTCTCTTCTTGAAGAGGTGGGGGGAGAATCGAATGTGGCGCGAGCCTCTCTTTGTCTTGTCTGCCTGGCCAGAGTTGCCATGTCCATGTTGTCGGCGATCTCCAGGTCGGGTCCGTCGAATGGAACGAATGGTGTTTCCTCTGGTTGGCTTCTGGTGCTGCTCTGCTCGTCTGAGGAGCTTTCTTCGATTCCGTGCGCGAAGCACCGGGGGCACCTATGTTTTGATTGAATCAACAAGAATCCGAGCTTGTCGACTCCAAGAACGATGCCCACGTCTGCTACTGCGGATACTTTGTGATGCCCGCAACGGTACTCTGTGAGGACACCTCGCCTGTCTTTGAGATTGGCTGGCGCAGTGAGCAAAGGACTGATTGGACGAGAAAGGATGACTGGGCTCGTGGGAGGTATTTGGTTTCTGCAATCAGGGCACTCCCTGTCGTGTTTGATCCAGGTCGTGTCGGGCCCGGTGATGCATCTCCAGTCTTCCTCGTCCCCAGCTTGGTGCAGAGTGAGATTGGCGAAGTACTGGTGGTCGCAAGTGAAAGTTGTTACGGCGCCAACTAACCAAAGCATGATTGGGTTTGGTTTGGGGTTGGATTTGGTGTTGGTCTTGAGAATGAAGATTATTTCAAGGTCAAAAAGTCTTGGTAGAGAAGATTTGTTTTGGTTGTCTAGCTCTAGAACCGAGTGGATGGAGAATAAATAAGTTACTTTGAGAGGATGATGGAAGTTTATATAAGTTATCTACAGTAATTGTTCTGAACTTATTCAGACATTGTAGCTGTAGTTTACATTGTTTCTCTCCAGTTCGGTTCGTGATCTCGCCTCGAATCCGCAGGATATAGCATTTTACTCGGTATTGAACAATGCTGCTGATTCTCTGAGATACAGCTCCGACCAATAAGAGTTATAGGGATCTCCATTCTGTTTTTCACAATATTGTTGTGTTATAAGTTCGCCATTGAGGTGAGGATGGGAATTCGAATTCATATCCATCACGTGATATCCGATCCCGCGCAAAGGTATTTATCGTTGGCTCCAGTTATCACTTCGTCAATCATTTTGTGTGAATTTTCGTCCGAAATTCTTGCTTTCATTGTGGTTAAAGTTTTGTTAAGATGTTTATTTGCTTCCTTATGCTAGAATGAGCACATGCTTGACCACAGGGATGTCTCTGATACTCACGTACTTTGCAATGCTCAGGGAGTAGTACTCGAGAGCACTGTAAAACATACACAAATAAGTCGAAATTTGATATCTTTGGAGAAAATATTTTTCAATTAACTATGCCGTAGAGTCTGTATCTGATATTGGTTGGGTAACAGCATACGGAGGCAACGTCAACGAGAGAGGCATATTAGTCACATTTGCAAGTAAATTTTGGTACATTTTGAGTTTAGTTAATTTTGTTATTATTCTGCAATCTTACAATTCATTCGTATAGTGGATATTTTCAGAATCTTCAGTTAGCTCGCCCCGTCTCCTCATAGCTCCTCAGTCCGCTGATTCTCCGAAATCATCTCGATGACTTCGCAGCTCGACGGACATCATCTGTAGAGGAGTCGATCGGAACTAGTGGCCGGCGGCAAACTTTCCTATCTACATCATCTGGGCTCTTTCGCGTGAAGTCATGTGCGCCATATTTGGGGAGTTCAGCCAACTCATTGGCATATGGGTTTACATCACCTCCGTCAGGTTGTCTCGGTTCTCGGGGATTGATGATGACAACCGGGTGAGATCTGAGTGGTTCTGGATGTGGCTTTTCCCGACATGTTGTACACAAAAGTGCCGAATTCGCAATCACAGCTCCAGATGGGCTCTTACAGCTCATTCGTCGAATGATTCCCATCACACCAGGCTCTTGTTCCTCGCCGATTCGAGTGGCGGAACGTTCTTCGTGTCCGCAAGCGAAAGTGGTGAGGAGTGTCGTGGACATGATTGCGATTTTCTTGTTCTTCTGTGTGTTAGAAAGTTTATGTGTAATTGTATGGGCGTGAGTCGAGATGGAGAGAAAAATTCATCGACTTCAGGGTGAGAATCTAGCCACTTATGAACAGCGTAGAGACTTGTTCAGGCGCTGTTCTGGGATTGTCCATTTCGGGCTAATTTGAACCACTAGAAAATAGGGAGAGTTCTAGAAATCACTTATTGAATATCAAACTGCCTCGGGAGACGCCTTCATTGAAACAAAAGTTTTTACATCCATGCAATAGCTCGTTATCCTTGGTCACGTGATTATTCTCGAAATGTCTAGGGGATCCAAGCGATATTTGATTCAACTCTCAATTGAGTTTCACAAGTCCTCGATAAAAAACAAAAACCAATATTGCATGTTCGTTGCACACAGAGCCTGAAGCAGGGTAGCAAATGTACTGAAAGATACTCGGATGTGAAAAGGCGTGCTTCATGCACCGCCTCTCCCCCTTGCGAGAGTATAATCATAGCCAATCATCACTTCTAGCTATTATCAATCAAATTATTCCAATCGTCAATTGTTAAGGCTTTTGAGCTTGTTTTGAAACTGTTTCTTGTCATCGGAATTCAGCCAAATTGTTGATGGTTGTGGATTGTACTCTGAAATCCTTTCACTGCTATTTACAGTACTTTGTAATGACATGATAGTTTCAGGAAAATTCTCTCTTTTGAAGGAACTTTATATAGAAAAATTAATACCACAAATAATCCATCAAAAGTCTGAAGAAGCAATATTATTCCAGTCTGGGAATTGCCTGAATCTAATTCTCCAATTCACAGGTAGTCATAGGTTGTGGTGTCTAATTGTTGTATGAATATCAAGTCACTTTCGTTAAGTTGGCGTAGCACATGGGTAGCATTGTGTCTCACATTGATGGTCGTAGTTTTTTGTATGGAATCGATTGATATTTTAAAGAAACGCCTTTATCCGGGTGTCAATTTAGTTATTTTTTTGTGTTTTTTTTCCCTTTTCGGTTCCCTGCTGGTCCCTTGATCCCGCGGTCGAGGTCTGTCCGGCTCGCTCTAGCTACTCAGCGTGTGAGTTAGCTATCTGCGATGACTGCCTATTCTTCTGGATCCTTGGCGAGGAGCCATGCGGTGTCGTCGTCTTCGTCGCTGAAGAGTTTGGCGTCTGCGGATCCCGGGATGGGCTTGCGCTGGAGGTGACGTTGGGGTGTTGGGTGGTGGAGTGTGAGTGTCGTCTCTTCCTCCTCCTTGGCTGCTCCCCTGGCTGCCTCTCCGGCTGCCTTCTTGGCGAGCGCGATGGTTTCCCTGACGCGCTCGTCTCGGAGCTCTGTGAAGGTTTTGTTGACGTTTTCGGCTTGGATTCCTGCGGCGAGGAAGTCCTGAGCCGAAAATTCAACGCAAACTTCGCAGAGGCCTTCTCGTGCGATGTCCTTGGGGACCTTTGCTTTCGTGCTGAAAGCTCTGCGAATGCTCATGGCTCTCTTGAGCTTCTTGAGCTTGGAGGGAAACTCGGGGAAGCGGTGGCCGCATTCGAAGACGAAGTGATTCACCATGATGTTTGTTTGTGGGTGAGTGGTTTGTTTGGTTTGGTTTCTTTGCTTTTCTGTTGGTTAGACTGAGAAGCTCTGAGGATGAGGAAAGAAAATTAAGAGAAAGATTTCTGAAGCTTTATATAGTATTTAGACGGAGTTGTTCTGATAATCTCTGGCATTTTTCAATTGACTGTGTGATAATGGAGTCCAAGGTGAACAGCTGGTCAAGTGAAGGTTTTTCTGCTCAAGTTCACCCTTTCTAAGCGTTATCGTGCTCGAATTACTGTAATCAGCTTGTACAACGGCGCATTAGACCTGTTTTCTCATTGTAGATTATCTGTTCACACACTGTTCAGCTTCTGTGCCCGAAACAGTAGACTTCGATGTCATCATACCGCGTGGAACCTGGGTTCATTTGTCCAGCAAATTACTACGAACTAGTTCCCAGCTAGTCAAAGCTTATAATCCAGGTACAGAATAGATGTCGTTATTTTGATGCCATTCAGCCTTTGTTCGAAATGCGTATTGTGCAATCCATTCTCCAGCCAAACACATATTTCTCACATTTGCATATTGGTTGATTTCAGGGGGTGGGTTACGTGGTCAATTTTTCACTTTTTTTTATAGGGATGCTTTCTTTGCAAATTTAGCTGCTATTGATGTTATTTTTCATTGACGATAAAATCTTATATATCGTGATGAAAACATGGTATCATATGCTTGCCGATAGGCCGTTGAGTAATTTTCATCATAATTCTATGTATCTAACCACACATATTCTGGGTACACCACGAATCACTCAACGATTATGTAGTCGAATAGAGACGCTAGATTTTCGACTTGCTCAGTTGATCTTTCATGAATCCAATATCTAAGATATTGAACAATATGATACCATTGATAGTCGGCGCAATGGTACATACACTGTCGTGCAGTCGTGTATACAACGATATGCAGCATTGGACAAAGCTTTTATAGCTCCATCCGGCAATGGCTCAGCAACATATGCAATTTATTGAAGTTCATAACACTATTCATCACATTATTCATCAAGTTTTCTCAAAATCACTTTTTTATAAGGTACTACAAGATACTGATCAAGTTTATTTAATTGTTTCTATCTCTTTTAAATTTGAACCGTGTTATAAACAGTAAAACAAGATTCTATTTGTCTTATAGACAAACTCCGGAATCCGATTAAGAGTATATTGGTCCTGCGTCTATGGCTCTTTTCTATCGTAAGTCGGATTCTAGCCTCACCACCCCCCCACCCCCGCCTTCACCGGCCCCTCAAACCCAGTCTGGAAACCTCATCCTCGGATCGAGTGGTAGAAGGAGTCAAAGTGAGAGGATCGGGGATTAAGATGAGCAGAGAACTCGGTCTGGATTCTGAAGACTGGAATTCGAGTGGCTGGGTGATTCGGTCGTGGTGCTTCTTGAGCGTCTCGGAGGTCTGTTGTCTGACCCAGGCGTTCACACGGGGGTGAACACCGTGGTCCTTTGGTGGAGGCGAAGGTGGGGATGGGGATGATCTGCGTGGGCCGTCTGTTACACTCCTCTGAAGCTCTTGTCCTGCAAGATTTCGTTGGCCTGCACCTCGACGTCTCATCGCGTCCCATCCACGCGTGAGTACGTCTGTGCCTGGCAAGCCGGTGTAACTCCCTGGGAGATTCCATGGCTGTGCGTCGGTCTGTGGCTGAGACGTGGTGGTGCTGGGGAATTGAAGAACTGGCAGGTCCGGTGGACCTTCCGCCATGTTCGACAACTGTGCGTTGGCCTGTGGTGAGGGAGTGACTGGGTGTCGAGGTGGAAGGAGAACCGGGAGATCAGGCGGACCCTCGGCCATGTTCCACGGTTGTGGAACTTGGGGTTGGGAGCCGGCTGAGTCTGGTGAGTCGCGTGCTGGGGCTGGGAGTCTTACCTGGGGTGCGTGAACCGGATGTGGGCGATCCTGTAAAGTCTGTCCGCGAGGACGTGGGCTGGGTTGCGCTTGCTGTGCTGGCCGAGAACGCTGGCGGTTCTTTGCCTGGCATACAGGGCAAAGATCCATGCTCGGTCTTCTGATAAATTCGTTTAAGGTGAAGGCTCTTCTTAAGCGGTTGACGATCGGGTGTCGGTATTGATAGGGTGTGGCCTGGGCCCGCTCTATGTATGCCTGGGTGTCTGGGAGCTCGTGTGTACAGCTGTACACGACGATCCGTGTGGCTGTCATGGAGGCGGTAGACTGTTGGCTTGTTGAGATAGTAATGTGGGTAGCTACTCTGATTGATTGGATTTGAATACTGGAGTTTCGATCCGATTGTTTGTGTAAAGGAGGGAAGTGGTATTCAAATCTAGTCTGACTGGGAGAAGAAAATGTAATGTTTGACCGAGGATATCATTCCTCTTATAGTTCCCGCCTGGAATTGTTCTTCTATAGTTATGTAGCTAATATAAAGAGACTCTGAGCTTTGTTGGTGACTCGAGAAGTAAAGCTAATCCATTGACGATTTGGCAGCAAATTCCTCCAATTTCACTTATTCCTGACCGTTGAGGAGAGTAGATTACACTACACGCAATTGTTCCACCACTGTTCCCTCACTATTCAGGTGTTATTTAGCAGTTGTTGTTAGCAATTTAAACTCCAACTGTGAACGTGCAGTCAATTTCAACGGAACCTGTCTATTCAAAACCATGGCCTTCCAATTTCAACCTACTCATTCCAAAGCTCACCATTGTTTCATACCTGTTAACTACTTGTTCCAATGCTATTTTTGAACTGTTTCAGTTCTGTTGGCTTCTACTCTCCCGAAAAATAGTTGATGCTAGTTTTCACTTTCGTCATCTCATTAGTTCCTGGTGACTAAAATTCCTCACTTCATCCGATCGAGGCAGATGTACATATTATGACTTCTTTGATATGACCCAAAGTATATAATGACTGACTAATACCATATCCCAATTTCACAGCAGCTTTAGTCAGAAAATTCGAGCGACTGGAAGGAAATGGTCAACGCATTCGAGTGGGACACTCAATTCTACAGCTCTACATGAAGCGCCATATATCATCCGAATCTACCAAATCCTCATACAATACAATAGTTATGCTAGAATAACTCATCGCCAGCTCCAAAACGGCGAGTTTCAATGATATTGACAATATAGTTTCCTCTCCTTGTAAGATCACATGATTCTTTCTACGTGATAAATCAACGCCATAACCGTCCGAACCGAAAAAGAAGCTTTTCGCAAGGAGAAGCGACAAAATTAGCTCCGGAGATCAAAATGCCAAGAAAAATTAAACGATAAACCCTTTTCCAACCTTAGCTAGACTTGGTTGAAGTGAAATTCCTTTTACTGCTGGCTATTATCTGTGAATGACTTTAAATGGACATAGAGATTCTAGGAGTAGGTACCCCGTTATGCAAATACAGCTATTGAGGAAGATGATGACGTGATTAAGTATTCAAGGAATTTCTCCTGTCGTCTCTACTGAACCACCACCCTAGAATGCTCTTCTTAACTCCGCCAATATATATCATTAATCCAGCGTAGTTTTTCTTACCCAACTATAGAGCCTTCAAGTCAATACTCAAAGAGTACATACATGTCCATCTCAATCACATCATAACAATCATATCATTCACCACATTTTCACATTTTCACAATGATTTTCACAACAATTTTAATAATGCGAAGCGCAAGTATGTTTTGTTTTGTTTTGTTTAGTTTTTTAATATTTTAGTATTTTTTTTTAAGTATTTTGATTATTTCATAAAATCTCAACAAATGATGTATAATTACGCCACTCCGTTGAGACTCGCGAGGTAAAGATTGCCATCCTCATTAAAAAGATCGCTACCGCTATCTCCCTTTACAAAAGAAAGAAAGTCAGCCATTGGTCTTGAGCTCAAAAAGAATCATAACGCCAGGGATGACAAAAGAAATCGGGGGGTGACTTACTCCTTCCGCACGAGCTGACAACGAGCTTTTGTCCTCTGCTCCTTGATCGCCTTCTCCTCTTTGATCTTCGCCGCTCTGGCGCGTAGATCAAGTTTCGGGGCCTCGGCTTCCTTCGGAGGCGCCATGGAGGTGTGAGGGGTGCGAGCTTGGATAAAGAGCTCCTTGAGATCCGTAGGACGAGCAGCCGGTGGCGCTTGGTTCTTGATGAACTCATTGTACTCTCTCGCCGCATCTCGCGCTTTCCACTCCTTCCGGACTTTCTCCTCCCGAAACAACCGCGCTCTCTTATCCGCCGGCGACTCCCGTGCAAGACTATCCCTTAACCGTTCTTCCATGTCCCGTGCATGGTACTCTGCTGTGAGACGTTCCATGTTGGAATCCCGGTAGGGATTCCGGGAAGGAAGACCGGAGTTCAGGTCTGCGTCCGATTCAAACCCCCTTTCCGAGACCGGCGAGACTGGCGATACCGGTGATACCGGTCTTTGCGCAGCTACGGTGTTGTACCGTCTTAGTTGGCTGGGAATCGTTTGTGGTCGTTGTGCAGGTGGCAGAGGGTGGCCATGTCGGGGGCTCGTCTCCGATCGCGTAGGCGCCTGTGTTCTACGTTTCTCGGCGTCTCGTTGCGCCTTCTCTTCTTCCTCCCGTTGACAATACGGACACAACTCCAAGGAGGGTGTGCGGATTGTTTCGGTGATCGTGAGGGCTCGCTTGATACGCTTCATCATCGAGGGCTTCTTTGGAGCTTGAAAGCTCGGGTTGGGCAGCTCGTGACTGCAAGCGTACACAATCTTCCTGATAGTGACAGGCATGATTGCTTGGTGATTGTTGTAAGTTGGTTGGTTGGTTTGTAGGTTGATTAATTCTTCAATATCGTCAATTCAAAAACAGACTTCTTTGCGTGGTTTGTAAGGGTATGTAATTGAGTTGAAGATATCGATGAAGATAATAAAACAAGATCCCATCCGGGAATTCCTCGAATTTTATACCCCGAGAAAAGGATTGTTCTGCGACTCCATAGCATTGTTCTGAGAATCTCTGACCTGAATACCGAATTCGATGCATGTGACCTAATAATAAAGTCTAGGAACATCGAACAGATTTGAAATGGACTCCATCCTCGCTTTCCGTATCCGGGGATTCGAGTGTAATAGTTTTGGTGTGTTGTTGACGTTGAGTTACATTCGAATTGTACTTTATCACCTACGATGAGGATATAAGTACATTGTTGTGGACGAGTCCGAATTGATAACGTCAATGATAACTACCCAGAGAAAATAAGTCTTCTGGATAGTGAGCGAGGAGAGATAACCCCAACGCTGAAGAGGAAAGAAAAGTCATATCTAGGGATAAATCATGCGAAACCATATACAGATGTAGGCTCAAAGAAAGCAGATTACTTTCGAGACAGGCGCGTTTCAGCCAAGGACGGAAAGAAAATTGCGAATGTGGCGCTTGTTTTCTGGAATAGAATAGAAGATAGGGCTGAAATGATCTCATAAAGTTTCTCTTTGTGTTGCGACTTGTTCTGAGATGATTCTCATGTTGTTCCAGGATATTTTTGGGAACATGAGATATTTGAGCGCTCCAATAGGAGACTCCGCGTTGTTCCGACGATGAGACTAAATTGGAGGCTTGATCTATTTTGACAGAATTCTTAGAGACACAAGGAGTGAGACTCTTTTGTTTCAATTCTTTGTAAATTTAATGTTTGATAATAAAGAAGTCAATCCACGATAAAGAAAATCCATAATCTTTATCATAACCCTCAAGTTCGAACAATAGCCAGAAGAATCTACTTAATTCGGACAATAGCCATTGTAAATTCTGCAGCTCATCTTCTCAGAAACATCAAGTCCAGTCTTCGAATTATAAAGTTATACAACTTTGTATATCTTTATACTTTAATTAAACAAACAACACCACACAAACACAAATCCACTTCCAATATGTCTTCGAGAACATCATTCAAGCCAGTCGAGGTGCAGGTAGTGTATGGAGAGTGCAAACACGTTTTGAGAAAGACCCAGGTAATCCCCATTCAAGTCCCCACAGGCGGAGAGACGTCCAAGAATAAGAAACGCAGCGGCTCTACTTCATCTAACACATCTAAATCATCTCGTCGCAGCAGCTGGAAATCTTTCCTCTGCGCTGGCGCAGAACAAGCTGAGAGTGACTCTGACAATGAAGCAGATCTCGTATTTCAATGTGCAGGACTTGAACTCGTCGACCACATTGCTGGCTTGTGTCCAGAATGCACTACCCGACAAAGCCGCTTGATCGCCCAGCAACAAGCCCGAGGTGCCGAAATCATTCGCGCTCAAATTGCTCAAGAGCAAGATGATGAGCGTGAACGACAGCGTCGAAGCTATAGGCGCATGGAAGACAGACGTACCAAATTCAGGTGCGGCAAATGCATCACAGAAGATCGTCATTCAATCGACCGATCGGCAAATGATGGATTCTGCTGCGAATTTGGCCAATCGTTCTGGAATGCCAAGATACCTGATGCTGAACACTCTTCTGTCCCTACCGCGGAATTGAAGCGCATGACAATCGGAACAGCTGAAGCACGAAACGCCGCGACCAAGGCAGCCAATTCCTACGGATGGAAATCCCAACCTGATCAGCTCAACAGGATTGAACCAGAGGTTATTTCTCAATTCATCAGAATTCCAGGAACCCAGCCTGCGTCTTTACTCGCTCCAGTAGTCCCCAGATACGAGGACGCTAACCTAGATATGGATCGATGGAACTCCCAGGTACGAACTTATCGAGGTACTGTACCCGCACCGAATAAACCGCTCCCTCCAACCCCATTGACAAGAAAGCCTCGGGCTACGCCAGTGAGATTACAGCCATCTAATGGACCACAAGTAGCTAGCAAGGTAATTCCGCTCAGGACTAAGGACTCAGATGTATCGGTCATGACATCGCCATTGAAGAGTGGTGAGGTGTCGCCGGTTTCATCCACCAACAGTCATTGGCCATCAAGTCTCTCTAGACCAGAGACACAAGATGGGGAATACAACTTGAGAAGACAGATGTCAAATCTTGAACGGGAAATTGATGGTGCATTAGAGAGTTGGACTCAGCCACAAGCAGAACCAGAGCCACAACCACAGGAGAGAAGACGGAGAAGATAGTTTTCCTTTGTACAAGATAGAGCAGCTGTAAGAGAAGATACAGAAAACAATTACACTCATTAGTTTCATTTGTTACTTTTTTTTGTTGGCTTTTCCTAAAAGAATCACAGTCTCACTTTCCTTTGTAAAATTCTTTCATTTGTTTCGTGCCTTTCAGGAGTCAATGGCGGAGAGGGGTATCTAGATAAGCAAAAATCTATAATAATTTTAAAAAATAATTTTACAACACAAAACAGAATATATGAAGTAGTGATGAATGGATGTGAAATGAATGAAGAGTATAGGCTGTGAAATGATATAGGAGCACCAGTGTATTTGAATGAAATTCTAAGCAGTATATTTTTTGCCAAGAGCACACCATGACATTACACGGTGTAGATGTGTTTGCATGTTGTGTGCTTCTCTTACCCTTGATATTCTAATGTTTGGCCAGGTCAAGCAGTCAGTCTTGCTGACATTGGTCATGACGTATGTATGTAGTATAAATCCAGACACAATAATTTACCTAGGCATGCAGATGAGAGTGGACGAGTAGTATTCGAGGGACTAAACATGGTATTCTCTGCATATCAAAAACTCGCTTGCAAATGTACAATTGAACCAAGAAATTAGGAAACGCCTCGCACCTCAAAATTAACTCCACCCACCCATTGGGCTTATCCTTCCGGAAAGACTTCACTTCCTGCGAAAGATATTCCGAACTTTGCTACCAATCTAAGGCGAGCTCCGTTGACATTCCGAATAGATTGCCGCCTCTACCATTGCGCTCATGTCCACCTTTCTTTCCCTTGCTCTCAATGCGCTTCCCCCTGCGTTGCTTGTCTGTGATATATCTTGGTTCTATATCGGGATTTCAATTGGCTTTGCCGTTCTTAATGGTACCGTTCAATTGCTCAGCTTTGAATTTGGCAACCTCTTTTTCAACTGCAACATTGATCCTCTTTTGCAATTCCGGTCTGTACCCAAATATAAATAGCAACTCCATAAACACGAAGAATGGAGCGAGGACTAAAGCTTGCACGAGGTTGTCAAGTAATGCGGGGGCACGCTTTTCGAAAGCACCATGGCCGACAAATTGCATAATCCACGAGACAAAGAATACAGCACCAGCGATTTGATTTGCCAAAGTAGCATTTGAAGAAGTAGCGAGGATATGATTTGAGAATGCGGTCCATCCGATGATGAATGGGAGAAGGATACTGCCTGCGACCGGTTCGAGAAGGATGTAAAAACCGCCATAGCAAATTGATCCGATTGTGCTAAAGTTCAAAGGTAAATTCGGAACAGTAAGCCATGAAGGCAGAGGTATTAATGTGGGACTGTTGGAGCACTGTTATATATTGTCAGCATGCCTGTCGTCCTCATTCTTAAGATCGCGAGAACTTTGGGGCCATACAAGGAACAGACTGGTGGCCAGAATCAATGGCACACATATCATATGAATGAAAACATTTGTAGGATTGTGATGGTAGGCCCCGTACTATATTTAACATTAGCCTCTGTCCAGTCGAACCGCGATGTTTGCCCGGACTTACAAAGGTAAGCTGTTTCTCAAGGTTGAGGGACATTTTGAAGAAATGATCTGATGCGACAGGTTCAAAATCTTTGCGTATGTTTGCGATATTCAGAAATGAACAAGCAAATGTAATTCAGAGCTTGATTTGATGGTTCAAGGTTGAGGCGCAGTCATTAACTCATCGAAAATATAGGAATTCTCGGAATGAGTACAAGATAGAGAAATAGAGGGGGAGAGTGGGTAGGATATGATATGATGGAGAAGGTAAAGGGATTTAAGATAATCAATACATCAATTCAGCCAACTTTGCCGATTTAAGCTGGTCGCGCTGGAAAGGGTGGTTTGAATGGATGAGTATCAAAGTGAAGAAAGCATGTGGTTGAACAGTGAACCTCGGAATGAGCATATGAGGGTGGTGGGTTGGAACTTCGAAATCCTCGTAGAATGGAAAGTCATCGAGTGGCAGAGCAGAGTGGCATGTCATTTTCGTAATTAATATTAGTAATCAGTTGTATTAGTAATCAATCTTCAATTATATTCACCATACGAGCCATGCACGTGCCATGCTAGATAATCGAGAGAATGCATGCAGTGCAGTCAATACCTGCCTTATACCTTAATATACCCATGGACCAGCGCATATTTCATCCTTAACGTCGCGGAAAAGTCTCGAAACTCTCTAGATCGCGTAACCTTCAACGTCGGGGCAATTGAGCTCTCTCTTGCTTTCTCGACTCTTCCTGTCTTCAATAGTTATACATTTTTTCCCAATAATCACAATTCCAAACCACAGCATCGACAAACCTTTGCGCATTCTCTGTGATTTCTTTCAGGGATCTGCCAAAGTGTCACGTCTTTGCAATTTCATTCATTTTCAAACAATGTATGTTCAAAGTCAACTATTTCCGGCTTTGATGAAGTTTGACTCGAAAACAAAGAAGACTGACAGTTCACAGAACAGTAAGATTGACTCGGCACTTCCATCAAATTACGAACAACCTTTAGGCGGACTTTGCGATCCGAAAGAGATTCAACATTTATATGGGATTGGGTGAATAAGTTGGGGTTTAGAGCAGGCTGAATATTAAGAGTTCAAGAGGGAAGGCTCTCGGATTATCCACATTGTCTTAATAGACAAATATACTTAAGCTCCGCCTCCTTTCAATAATTTCAACTTCTCTACGACATTACAAGTTTCTACCAAGAAGGAGGATCGTTGTGTTGCAGCGCAATTTCAAAGCTACATTAACTCACCAGAAGGGGCATTGACTCTACAATCCTGAAATTCCATCCATTTCGCTATCTATTTCGCTCCTCACCATTAAAAATGTTTTTCCTCTACAATCTTGAGCGTCAGGTCACCCTGCACCCATCGTACTTTGGTCGCAACATGCATGAGTTGGTGACTGGCAAGTTGTTGAAAGATGTTGAAGGAACATGTACCGGTCTTTACTACATCATCACAATTATGGATACCTTCAACATTTCTGAGGGAAGAATTCTCCCAGGAAGTGGATTGGCTGAGTTCACTGTTGGATATCGTGCTGTAGTGTGGAGACCCTTCAAGGGTGAGACTGTAAGAACTCGATTTTGTGAATTCATTTAACGTGCATTTCTCATGAACATATGTAGGTCGATGCTATTGTAACCTCAGTCAATGCTGTCGGTTTTTTTGCGGATGCCGGTCCTCTGCCCCTCTTTGTATCTGCACATGTAAGTTTTGTTTATTGTTGTTGGTATGCGATCCATACTAATTATACTAATTCAATATAGCTGATTCCTCGTGACATCAAATTTGATGCAAATGCAACACCACCCCAATTTACAAACAATGAAGACTCTGTCATTGAGCCAGGTACTCATGTCCGAGTAAAGATTATTGGTACAAGACCTGAAGTTGGAGCCATGTTTGCTATTGGTAGTATCAAAGAGGATTATCTCGGGTGAGTTTCCCATCTCAGTTTGTTACATTGAACCATCCTAATTAACTTCATTTCTAGTTGCTTGCAAGCTTCATGATCCTTGATATAACTCGGCCCTAATTAAACCCTCAACACCTTTCAAGCATGTTCCAGTCACAACTTCAGGTTTTTATGATGCAAGACCTAAGCTCTCTTGAACCACACCACTATTGTCATTTCATGGAGATATGACCTACCCCAGCGTATTAGCTCAATTCTTTGAGCTCTGAGGTGTAATAAAGTCTACCAGCCTCACTATGACAGGAATTTGGGTGAACCCAATATTATAAACGGATAGATGAATGGATATCTATCTCACAAGTATTTCTGCTATTATTGTTTAGTGATTGATTCTGTGAAACACTTGCTAGGTATTTTCTTCTACTTGGTTTAGTGATCAGATAAAAATCTTACACGTTTTTTGGGCCAAATATACAATATCATGCATTTAAACTTTACTTCAACGACAGCACGATTTGCAGCCATTTATCTAAATTTATTGTTCGACTAATTCAAAGAACTATTGTTGTATTTTCTTGGGGCTCCAGCTGCTACTTCTTGTTGACAGTTCAACTCAGCATGGAGTCACGCCATTGTCATTCTTGGTTCTACCGTCACCAAGGGCCAATTTCGAAGCGTAGTTTGGGTACATGATTCTGAACAAATGACCAGTCCGTCTGTCAGCCTAGTCTAGCAAAATGAAATTGTGCTTGAAAATGCGAGTTTAAGAACTAGTGCGCTCACTTTAAAACGTCATCTATTCGTTGCAGTATGAATGATGTTCCGAAAATTGTATTTTTTTGGTGAATGTTAATACAACAATTAGCTTATTGGCGAGCAGACTTCCCCGTAGAGTTCCCAGTGCAATGGCATGTCGTTTCTCACATATATCTCCTACGCTCTTATACGAACCGTTTCCTACACCTAGGCTACTTGCTTACGGTTCGTAGGTAAACCTGCTCAATACGGCAGCTTTGTAACCTCATGTTTATACTGTTCTTTTTGGATATTACGGTCTTTTCAGCATCATATATTACTACATAGTCGGCACATCAGAATAACTATTTACTTCCTCATAATTTGCTAGATATTTAGTGAACTCTTTACCCATTTGACTACATCCAATAATCTACATTCGTCAAAAACCCGATTAGTCATTTTTCGAACTAGCGACAGTCACGACTTCAGCATGGCTAGCTTGCCAGTCAGCGAAAATAAATACTTGAGGCACATTGGGCAGCTAACCACCAACTGTAATTGCAAAGAAAATCACATCATATGTCACCACCGCAGTCTCATTGTCGCCTCTGCCGTTAAAAAGGCCAAGATAGTCGTGGAGCCGAAGGTTGGACGATGTAAATGCCTTGGTTTTGAGTCGACGATACCCGCACCGCAGCCCGAGACATATACTGGACATCTTGCCGTGCTTCGCAACCCCACTCACGGAGAGTGGAAATCGAGACCGCACAGGTATCTCTCACCCACGCTCTGCAATACCTCACCACATTATGTGCAGCGATTCGTTGAACCCCCAGTTCGGGAAATGCTTCTCGAGGGAAAATGGCCGGGGAAACGACATGAATTTACTCTGGGAAAGGCCCAGGAGGACGATATTAAGGCCATGCAAGATATAGAAGAATCACTCAGGAAGGAAAAGATTAAACGTGAAACAAAAAGGAAGAACTCATATAAATTCGAGCACAACATGGAGATTCTCATGATAAAGATACTAGAAGTTCGATGGAATCGAGATAAAGAAGAGGAGTCGTGCGAATACCTTGAAACACTTGTTGGTGTGAAGGAAAGTGAGGAGCAGCAGCGAGAATTTGAGGAACAGAAGAAGGAATATCTATTGGCACAGGAGAAGTTGAAAAAGAAGAGAGAAGGCTATGTTCAAAGTGCGCTAAGAATATTGAAAGAGGCGTATGCAGCTGAAGATCAAAGTTATAGATATGCTGAGTGGGTAGGACAGAAGAATGATTTGGTTTTGGGGGACTTGGGGGATTGTTTGGAGGAGCAGGATAAGAAGGAGTGGAGGGATCAGGAGAGGAAAAGGGAGGAAGAGTGGGAGAAACGGAAGAGAGAGGGAGGGGATGGTGTAAAGAAACAGAAAAAAGAGGGAGCGGATGGGGAGGTGGCGAAGGATGTTAAGACTGAGTGGGTTGATGAATCGCTGAGTCTTCATCTTGATATTTCTGGTGGTAAGAAAATCTCTTGAATCTTGACTATATGGAGATTCAGGGTGAATAGATCTTCATTTTGTTGGTTTGGGTTAGGTTTGGTTGGGTCATATATCTGTTCCACAAAGGACATGAACAATTACAAATTATACGAGCAAGTATGTGGGATACTTTCGGTAGCTATGGTTAATTGGAAATCATCTGAGAAGAGTTTGATACTTCAAGGGACTTTTTAAAATGTATATCATTCTGTGATGTGATTTAATTTCCTTTCTATCTTGAGAATATATATAAATCGAACCTCTACTTTGTGTGTAGACATAGACTTGACATCAATGGTGCATACCCTGACCTCACTTTTGTGAGAGCTCACCCGTAAAATCGAGATAATATATCTCATTATTCTAGACTTCGATCTGCTAGGATATTTTAAATTTTCCCTAGTACTCTGCTGAATAAATAGGTGAACAGTAATACAAGAACAAGACTCATGTTGTGTTTTGATATGTGGCATTTTTATTCATAGTACCTATAGTGTGATAAACTTTCTCACAAACCTACCTTGGAGTTCAATCACAAAGATCCTTCAATTTGTTGAGAATTTCTGATATGTAAGATCTTAAATGTATTTGTATAATTTCTAAGCTCTGAAGCTAAAATGAAGAAGGTGGCTCGGGTGGGTTGTAAAAAGCATATCTTGAATACTAGAACTGTTTACCTGTGACAGATTTGTTTGGGATCAACGAGTTTGTGAATTGGAATTTGTGTGGAAGTTTTGAATGTCCTTGCAGATTTATCTTGGGTTTTGATTTTGAACGAGATTGCTTATGTGTGGGTTTGGAATCAAATGTTTATGGTTCGGGATTTAAGTGATATAAGTCGGGGGTTGAAGTAGCTGTTTATTAAAGAATTTCCTAGGAATGACAAAAGACGAAACGGGTTTTACGATCAAGGGTTGAGCATCACATGTTGAGGATTTCTTTGGACACAAGTGTCGAGATTTGGAGAAGCATTCAGTAGGTTTGATGTCTACTAAGTAGGCACTGATGATCTCTTACCATTATATACTTCACTATCTTTGTCATAGAACCCCGAAATAGATTTACATTCAGAGTGCAAAGAAATACGGTACATTAATTTATCAAATTACAGAGTATACAAATGACTCAAATCGGAATATTCATCCCCAAAGAAAATAAAAACATTGGTTGCTTACTTCGAACAGTTATATTTTGAGTCCTACCTTTTTACTTGTGCTCTTCGTATCCTGGTTTCCTCCTCATTCCTTCGAAATGCTGGTATGGACTACCCCCGATGCCTTTTGCAAATGCCATGTGAGTTAAATGCACATATAAATACCTAGCCGGCTCACCATGCAAGGTAAGGAGAGCAGATTCCGGAGGGCCAAACATGAAATAGTTCTCCAGACCTTGGTGAGTCACAGCAAGTTGGAGTTGCCCATTTGTCATTCTCACCAGAGCGTTATTGAGCTGCTCTTCGTCATAATAATTTACCCTTCCCTGGTCCTCCGCTCTTGGAATCGTTTCAACCCAGTCTCTCAAAAAGCTCTCATTGGTCAAGCCTCGCGTCCATGGCTCGTTGGGATATTGGCTATGAAGAGATAGTACCACAGCTGCAGCACCACATGTACCAAACTTGCCAGAAATTACAGCTGTCGTATAGATCTTTTCCCATTCACTCCTAGCAAAATTCTTTATCCGCAATCTCTCGTAAATGGTGCCAATGTTGATACGTTCAAGCTCCTCTAGCCCAATCTTCGTGGGCTTAGGGTGAACAACTCGGAGCTCGAGACCGACGAACGATAATCCACGTTCTGCTGCTAGCCTGTTCTCTTCTTCCTTCAATAGGGCTAATGCAAAGCGCTCGTCTTCAGCTATCGTATGGTAATTTTGAGCTTCTATCGCATCACTTTCTTCGGTGTGTGTCTTTGCGTAATCTGGAAGCCACGATTGATGGCTATCTGAAAAGATAGAGACGGCCGCTGCTATAATTGCTTTATTCGCGTCATCAGTGTTGTGCAATTGCTCCATTGCTTCTCTACGGAGCGTTTCATCTTCCAGAAATTGGAAACTCTCGAGAATCTCGAGGACCCCATCGACTGTCAGTGACCCTGTAGGCTTAAAGGCACTAGATGGAGGAGAGATCTTCGGTTTTTTTGGATCGCTTTCGCCTGGTAAGACTCCACCTGGTGGTGGTCTTTTGCCCGAGGAAGGAACAGGTCCTACCAAAGGTGGAGGCTTAGGCTTAGGAGTGGGTTGGATTTTTGTATGATCTTCCGGGAGTTGAGGATAAATAACTTCCGTTGTTGTTCCAGTGACTGGTGGTTTCAGCGATGTAGTTGGCACATGATGGTAGCTACTTATAGGGACCTAATATCTGTCAGTAAAAGAGAATTACTCAAATGAAGGTTCTAGTCTACTTACAGTTGGGAATTTGGGTCCTACATTTGAAGCATGTGAAGTGCTAAGGCCACTAAACCAGCTAAGACCGTCCACCTTAGGAAGAATTTTGGGTACAGTTTGAGGTGGTGGGATCTTGACTTCGGTGGGTGCAGGTTTTGGAGGTTTAGATATTCCTGTGATCACACTTTCGTGATCGTCGTTGGTGTCATGTGGCGGCTTTTCTTCTTGTTCTACTTGCGTTTCGATTTTCGGCTCTGTGATTTTCGGTATTATTTTGAAAGGGGTTGGTGTATCTTGTTTAGGTACATAGACACCTGTATCTATATGCCAAGGTTCACCTGGTGGTCGTTCACTATATATACCAACGCCATGTATAATATCGTAATCTGGATCATAGGTTGGCTCTGCCCAAGGTTTGGGGGATTCAGGTTTCTCATTATCATCAGGCACGTAATCTGGATTATCTATGTCTGTGCCGTCTGACGGAATTTTAGGAGGGTGCACTTTACCACCTGCTCCTACATTTCCCGGCGTTGGCTTAAAGGTCACTGGAGGCTTCGGCTTCTGTGATGGTTGACTGGGTGGTGAACTTGGCACTGGCTGGAGTGCTGGATGAATTTTTGGCGGAGGCTGCGATGGTGGAGGTTTCGGAGGTTTTGGTTGTTGAGAATAAATTCGAAATGGCGTAGCCAGATCGCTGGTATTGGTATTGAAGTATGTAGCAAGTGATTCCATACCACTTTCTGCTGGGGGAATGCTGGATCCCCCACCGACGGCTACATCAAAATAAGGATTATTTCCGGCTCTCTCTTCCAATCTTTTTATCAATCTCGCTCTAGCTTCCGATACTACTTTCGGTTTTTCAGGCTTTGGAATTTTTCGTCTTGGGAGCTTCTTTATTTTTGGCTTCGGAGAGAAAAGTGGAGGTATTATCAATGGGGCTGGCTGCTGTACGGGTGACAGTCCCGGTAAAGTAGGATATGTCACCACACCTGCTTGACCACCTGGCGGTGGTGGAGGCATTCCTCCTGGTGGCGATCCTCCAGGTGGTTTAGGTGGCCCTCCAGGTGACCCTCCAGGTGGCTTAGGTGGTCCAGGGGGCTTTGGAGGCTTGGAAGGTATCTTCTTTTTGTCGGGAAGCTTTTCAGTGTCACTTCGGTTGTCCTCCTCTCTAAATCCCATGTACTTAGCAACTTTGCTTCTCCAAAAGTTTACACTCCTTTCACTCAGCTTCATGGCATCCATTAATCTAAATATATCAACCTCTTCTATGCCGTCACCCGTTTCATCAGGCCATTCTTGGATTCTGTCGTCCGGATTGGAAACATAATATTCTGCAAGCTGCACCAAGCTCAAGCAGAAATCGACCCATTGAGTGACATCCTTTACATTGAGGGAACCGCGAGCTTGTCGAAACTCAATAGTATGAGCCCGCGATGAGGTTCTCAATGATTGGAAATTCACTAGCCTGCTTGTGTGTGTCAGTGGAAACCCCATGTAGCCAGCGAGTTCCCTCTCATCCCTCAGTTGACCAACTTCATCGCGAATCTGCTGAATTGTTCTTCGTTTTTTGTACAGAGATGTGTCCGCTGGCTGATCCCAGATTTCTTGGACCGTTTCCTCATATGTGATATAATCCGCGCCCAGGAGCGTGTGCAAGCGATTACTAATGAGATTACCCCTTGCGACAGGATGACCCGGACGGCGACATCTAGGGTGTAGCCTTGAGATCTCCTCTTCGTATATCAGCAAAATGCACGCCAACTCCTTCAGTATAGGAAGATCAGGGGCCTCGACGTGCACATGTAGGGCACACTGATTTGTTATGAAGCCTTCATATAGTTCATCTCCGGTACCTTTGAGCGCTTTGACAATTTCTTCAAGCTCTGCCGTATCTCTACGATCGTCACTCTTGAGGACTCGAGATACCACTTCTATGCCATAGGAATCCCATCGTTTAGAACTTCTACCAGAGATACGTGGTATCCATTTATAGAGATTTGCGGAACCTTGGCCGACAACCGTAAAATCTGTCGAAATGATCCATTGATCGTAGGACCCTTTAATTTTATCCTTCCTTTTTCGTAGACCAGTGTGCTTGATATTACCTTTAAGCCATGCGGCCTTTTTGTTAAGTTTATTCAAAACTATTTCTTGTGGCTCGAGATTATATGGCCTTAGATTAGAAACATCCTTCTTCTCGTCCTCATTCTTGGCGTTATTTTTCCGAATGGCCCAACTATTGTAGATAAGGTTGGCAAGTCTTCCAAATAGCACGTTGACCGCTGGACTCCATGCTGGGTCGCGACGAATAGCTAATGGAACATTTTTCTCGATTCCATGGTTAGGGCCATGTCCCTCATGGTCCGTAAGATCGAGTTCTAGATCATGAAATGCCAACACGTATTCCAATTCGACACCATAGTTCAGACTATTTCGCTTAGATTTTGGTTTTTCCTCGGTTTGTAATTGCAATGGATTCGGAATGGGAAGTGTATAGATAAAAGGCGAGACAGCGCGATGAATCCAGTCGAAAATCATATTGCAGACCGTTGATCTTGTAGCTTGTCTTAGATTCTCTGCGTCACGTTGTTTGAGAAATGGAAACTGGGATATGAAGCTGACTGCTGTAAAAAAGGAAAATCATCCTTTGATAGTACGAAAACGGACTCGGACAAAGATGCACGTAATCAAGAAGGATGATAGTCCAGGTAAGAAAGAAGACAATCAAAATAAGAAAATCCTTTGTTCCAGCGAATGACACTACACAATTCAATTAAAGTGCTCTTGTTGCTCCCCTAGCTACACGGTGAGAAGACCGAGGTCAACTACCTCTGGATCCCTAATCAGCAAAAAATATTGCAAGCAAAAGTCAATCATTTCTAGGAAATTATCTGAGGATGCAGAAAGAGTTAATCATTCCGGTTCGCTCATTCAGGGGGGCTTCAACAAAACACTCGTCAAAGTTGACTTGTTCCACTCCATGTAATATTTCGCTGACAGGGGATTCCCATTACTCTACAAAAATTACAGACTACTCCTTTAAAAGAATCAATTTGTTCCTGATGAAATGATGATTATTAGGAATATTCCGAACAGTGCGACACGTGAGATAGCATGCTGGGTCGCCTGCCCCAGCACTTGACGCAAAACTATGTGATCAAAAAGGAATAAAAACGCTGTCAAGCCATGAAGGCAGGTAAACAAAAACGAAAAAGGAACTCGCTTTCCTCCATAAACAGATCCACTAGAGTCTCGAATATAATGCGTAGCTTGAAGAATAGGTTAAAAAGCTACTGCCATCCACCAGATCCTAATTCGCTTATTAGTCATATGGAATAGATGATTTTGAAGAGTAGACTATGAGAAGTAATGGATGAAACAGATGGCATTGCAATATCTAGCAGGAAGCAAATATAAATCCAACCAGTTCTAACTCCTCGTTCGAATCTGATTCCTCGTCTTCATTCTCCTCGGGTATCGCTTCCTCAATCTCAATCTTTCTGTAATCCCCTGTAGATCCTAATGATACAGATCAACCTCGGTGCACTTAAATATACGGATCAATATCAGGTCTCCAAGCCGTGGAAGTTGACGATTGCAAAGACTTCAAATTACATGTGAATTCTCCACGGGGGGTATTCAATCAGGAGAACGGCGCAGCGCTCCACGTTGAGTTATCAGGATTTTGTAGTATAGTGATTGTCTCGAAGGTGTGCCTCTCGTCAGGAATGGTAGCAGTTGGGACAATAGCTGGTTTGGATGCTTTCTCGGGTTCAGATTTGGTGGCATTAACTAACGTCTCTGTCGCCTTTTTCTTCAAATCTTTCGCTTTTTGTGCCGCTTCTTGAGTTGCTTGTCGCATAGCTAATGTAATAGTCGTTTCTGCAGCCCCAGAAGGTTTCGTATTGACAGATTTGGGTGTCGATGTGGGAGGAGCAGCAGGAGCCACAGCCGGCTTGTTATTCTCTTTTAAATTCGTTGGAGGTTTTGCTTGGATGGCTGGATTTGCCCCAGGTCCTGATACAGGTACAATCTTGATGTGTTGCTTCAATTCGCCGTATTCATTCCAATCCTCAATCTCAACGAGATCCTAAAATTGTTAGCCATGTTCTCTGTATCATTTGATCTCAACGTACACCAAGAACCAAACCTTCCTGGACTAAGCCTGGAATCTTTCTAGCACGTCCCGATTCATCTTTACCAGCTCTGCGACCCCATAGCATTCGTGCCTTTTCATCGGTCGCAATATCAAGCGCTTTGAATGGGATCCTGTTCGCTTTCAAGATGGTCTCTAGCCTCGATGTCGCAGTAACAATGTGCGATGAACCGGAAGTCAACGATGTGTACAGATAGAGAGCAGGATCGGTGGAATAAGAAGCAGAAGAAGAAGACGAAGCCATATCTGTTAACTTTGACGCCTGAAGTGTGGAATGTATAGTGCTGTGACTGATGTAGTTCGTCGACGACGGTAAAGGTGTTGAATAGGCAACTTGGTAATTTCTGGTTCTGAATTTTATAAATAAAACTCCGTGGAATGGAATTAAGTATTCATAAAAGCTTTATATATTTCGATATGGCATAAATCGGAGACGATTTGGCAGGAGTATTGAGGGACCGTGAATGTCATTTCCGCTGAGCGCATTGTTTCAGGGTCAAGCTTATCGGCACCAACCCATTGATAAGAGCTCTAAGTCCCGAGGGGAGCGAGCACCGAGCCAAGATCAATCCCTTCACACAACAAAATATGACAACTTCTAATGGTGCTCAATTAATAGCCCGCGCTCTCAAAGAACTGGGAGTGGAGGTCATATTTGGACTGGTTGGTATACCGGTAGTGCAAATCGCGGAGGAAGCAATTGCTGTAGGGATACGGTTCATTGCATTCCGAAATGAACAAGCTGCAAGCTATGCTGCCACAGCATATGGATACTTAACAGGACGGCCTGGAGTTTGCCTCGTTGTCGGTGGCCCAGGTGTGATTCATGCAATGGCAGGCATAGTCAACTCATCTGCCAATGCTTTTCCAATGCTTTTACTAGCAGGCTCGAGCGAAACTCATTTGATTACAAAAGGTGCTTTCCAAGAGCTTGATGCTATCTCTCTTTTGAGTCCGCATACGAAACTCGCAATTCGATCAGACCTCGACTCAATATCACATTCAATTACGTCAGCTTATAGAGCCTCATGGTATGGCAGGCCTGGAGCAGGTTTCGTTGACTTTCCAGCAGATATTATACAAGGAGAAGGAGAACGCACATCAACACAGATAGTGCCTGCTGCGCCACGAGCCGCAGGAGATCCGGAAAGTATCAAAAAAGTTGCACAGTTATTGAAGTCTGCAAAAGCACCCCTTGTTATTGTTGGAAAAGGTGCCGCATACGCGCAAGCCGAATCTGTAGTTCGACAATTGATCGACCAGACCAATATTCCTTTTCTACCAACTCCTATGGGAAAGGGGGTTTTGCCCGACTCTCATCCATCCAACACAGCAGCAGCTAGATCTGCAGCACTCAGAGGTGCCGATGTCGTTCTCGTTCTTGGTGCACGACTCAACTGGATACTTCATTATGGCGAAGCACCGAAATACAACGCGAATGTCAAGATAGTTCAGGTTGATATATCTGCCGAAGAAATTGGAAAGAACAACGGTGACGCCAGACTTGGAATAATTGGGGATATTAATGTGGTGGTCAAGCAACTAAGTGATTCTCTACAGGGCTGGAAATACGATACATCTTCAGTATACCTAAAGGAACTGAAAGCAAGTAGAAGCAAAAATGAAGCTACCGCTGCTAAAACTGCGAAAGTTGATAAATTACCAATGGCATACGGTCGAGCTTTTGATGTCATCAAGGAAACCATTCATAAATTATCTCCACCAAAAAGTGGTGGCGTAGTTTATGTATCTGAAGGAGCAAACACGATGGATATCTCACGTAGTGCATTTCCTGTAGAGCATCCACGATTGCGTCTTGACGCTGGAACTCATGCCACAATGGGCGTCGGTCTAGGATATGCCATTGCAGCTCATTGTGCGTATAATTTACCCTCACGAGAAGCGCGAAGCGGACCAGACTCTTCCCATAAGAAGATTATTTGTTTAGAAGGCGATTCTGCTTTCGGTTTCTCACTGGCAGAAGTTGAAACAATGGCGCGGTACAGTATGAATATTCTTATCTTTGTTATGAATAATGGTGGGGTGTATCAAGGTGATAGCGAAAGCTCAGATGAGTGGTTGAAACTGCAAAAGAACAGTGAAATGGGTTCCAAGGGAGGCTTACGTAGTACAAGTTTAGGGTGGGAAGTTGATTATCAAAAAGTTGCAGAAATGTGTGGCGGAAAAGGATTTCTAGTGCGAAGTCCTGAAGAGCTTGCAAAAGCTACTGAAGAGGGGTTTAAAGCAAGTGTACCTGTGGTCATTAATGTTATCATAGAAGCTGGAGCACAGAAGACTTTGGTAAGTATGTTCCCAATCAGTCATGGTTACTTGACTAACTTGTTGGCAGGAGTTCGCATGGCAGCAAGATTCGAAGAAGAATTCAAACAAAGCAAAGTTGTGAAGACGTTTGAGGATATTCTAATGAGACAGGGGTGGCCGGCTATGACTTTGAAGTCGCTACTTCGGCCAATCGGGAAGGTGCATGATTCGACTCAACATTCAACATTCAATAAAAGCAAAAGGCACGAGAAGTGATATCTCTGAATTTCTACTACTTCCACAAAGTTCCATTTTGTTCTATTGCTAGATTTCTATACAGGAGGCAAATCCATGTCCATGGGTGAACAATGTTTTTGACTTACATCTTCTGAAGGGGCCAGCCATCTGCAAAGCTGCAAGTTGGCTTGAACATTGAAACATGCAATGGAATATTGGTACATACTCACCTTTATGTAGGGAATTTAGTTTCATTATTGTTCTCCGCCTTTTCTTCTGCTTTGTATTGACGTCAGGGCTCTTAGAATGTATATTGGCGTTAGATATTTGTATAATGATTAGACCGTTCATAAATGTATCTTTAGTTACAATCTGATACCTTTACCACTTATTGTTTCTTGCTTCCCATATCGCACATCGAGATACCAGGTCGGTCGGCTCTATGAATCTCAGTACATAATACCCTCATCAACCCACCCAATGTGCTGGCCCGCTCTTTACTCCATTCGCAAAAAGAAAACCAAAGGCAAAATGTTTGACGGAGCCAAGTCTCCCAAAGATAAATACCAATCCGAACGTACTATCCGCGTTGACGCCATGCCTCCTCCTTATCGATCTACATACGTTGTCGAACCAACTCTTGTACCTGTTAATTCCTACCGCGAAAGCATGTACTATGCTCAAGAAAGAGAACGCGAGCGAGAGCGAGAACGCGAGAGAGTACTAGACTTTGAGCGGGAGAGAGAAAGAGATAGGGAAAGAGGTCGAAGACCGAGTTGTTCAGATCTCTTTCATAATATCGATGTGATACAACGTCTAGGCGAAAGATTCAAGGGGTTAAATACGACCTTTTCACCACCGGCGCCCTCGGTCGCCCATTCGAACTCAAGCGCAGCCTGTCATACTTCTTCAAGTGCTGGTAATAGTAACACACATGCTCGAACCCAACCCCAAATCCAAACTCAAACAAACGAGAGTTTTGCGAACACGGCGATATTGGCGGCGAGGATTAAAGAGCTAGAAAAGGAGAAAGAGTTAGCGAGGGAAAAAGAAATCGAAAAGCTGAGCGGTGGATTGAATAGTGTTCGGGGAGATATTAAGGGGCTGCAGATGAAATCTGAGAGAGAAGAAGGGAGAAGAGAAGGTAGAATAGAGGGGATGGGTATCAATATTTTGGGTACTGGGAATTTACCTCCATTTGGCGAGACCTGGATCAACACGAATGGAGAAATCAACCATTTCTCGCCATCTCGCGGCCAAGATCTAGAAGTCGAGACATCGAGACGAAGAAATGAGACGGAACAACAGAATACACGGGGTAAAGTGGATGAGGAAGCTATTTTTCGCAGGATAGATGATAAGTTTGCGGAGGGAAGGATTGATCGGTTGTCGGATGCGGAGAGAGAGTTTGGAGAGCGACAGCGGGAGATGGTTGCGGTGATGGGGAGAGGAAGGGATAATGAGAGTGCGGTTAGGATGAATAGGTTTGAGGATAGAGTTGAGGGGCGGGTGGAAAGAGTTGAGGATCGGGTTGAGAGGATTGTGGAGAGGGAGATGGGGAGGGGAAGAGTATTTGGCGAGGGCATTAGAGATAGAGATAGGGAAAGAGATAGGGAAAGAAGAGATAGAAGTGAGGTTGGGAGAGAAAGATATGCAAGACCTAGAATTATGAGAGAAAGGGAGAGGGAGAGAGATTGGGAGTATGGATATGAGAATAGAGCGGTACCTGGGGGGCCGAGATATCGGGGGTATATTTAGATGGGTTGACTGGATGCTATTTGTTACAGATACTTTTATTAGAGGTGATGGGCGGTGGGTGTTTGGACTTATTAGAATATTGCATTGAATCTCAATTTATTTGGTTATGATTAAAAGTGTAGAGACCTTGAGTCTAAGCGTTCTAGTGAATCGATCGCACTTTTTGTTTTTCTTAATAGCACGTCTGATCTTCTGTAGGGATGTAATCTGAATGCTCGAATTCCGAAACCCTACATGTCAGATAGTAAAAGCTATGATATTCTTACAATGTTGTCATTGATCTCACATTTCTTGATCTCAGCACAAAGCATTGCTGTTCGTCCAGAATGTACTGAACAGATCATTCCAGTATGTTGGAACATCTCAACATTGCTCAGATAATCGCATTTGGATATTTGCTCGCTACTCATTATCTCCCTTAGATCTTTACTAGACTTCGCACTTCACACTCAAATCATTTCCACTTTTGCGACAAATCCCAGTCAGACAGTTCATGAGAGCAAAGGTCTGAAGATATTCCCATTCAAATTCCCACGCAACATAGTGACCCATCTTCCAAGTTGCTCAATATAAATTACGGGAATTAACCGCAGTGACCCAAGGTTCACAAAACTGCTCCTCCAACCAAGTGGGCAAATCATCTATCTCACATGAAAATGAAGAATATCGCCTTAGCAGAACCAAACCACTCTTAAATCACGCACGTCGAAATTCCCGCTCGTCCAAATCCCCGCCCTTTTATGGTACTCCCATGAACTAGGTATCAAAATTCCAAGCGCATGGTATCTGTCTTTCAGGATTCTCGACCATATCCCAAAATTCCTTAACGGAGCCCTCATGTATACACTGAGGCTCAATAGTAAACCAGAACTGCCAGTCGCTTCTCTTTGGTCCATATGTAAAACTCAACAAACTCAAGACATGGTCGTTCTCTATACGAGGGAAGCTTTTACTTGTAGGTTGGACGGAACCACAAATTTGGTCGCTACCCAGTATCTCCTTTTCCCATTGACCGTATTCAACTAAATCGATCCCCTCCAACATTAGCTGATCGAGCCACGTCTTAATCGAATTTTGAAGATTTTTTTCAAGGCGATCAAACCTTGCACATGTTCTATGTCCAGGGCGGTTCGCAACACGTGAAGTCGCGCCCTTGAATAACTGGCGAAGAAAACTATGACTGTAGTCTTTAAATGTATCTTTTAAGTGGTAAAACTTCGAGCCAGCAAGGAAAAGACCATGTACCATGTTTAGATGATCCTTCAAATAATCTTCATGTGGTGCCATATAACTCCTTTTTTTCCGAACAACCCGATGATTTGCTACTATGAAACCTAAGCAGTGTATGATTCTTTCCAATAGCATGAAGAAGCGCGCTTTCTTTAAGTTCTGGACGCAAGTTTCCATATCCATATTGCCAAGAGTCAACCATACGAGTTCTTTCATGTGCATTAATTTGCATTCGGAGATTCTTAACACTAAAAGTGACCGTTCCTGTTGACTTCTTTCATGAATGGGGTTCTCGGTAGATCGAAGTATCCAATCAAATTCTTCAGGGGTGATCCAGGAGCAGTAATCTAGGAGGTCGCGTAAATCACTGATGATATCGTGATCGGTCTTGGAAACCAAGTATTGCAATATTGCAAATTCATCTTCATAATAACCGAACACTGCGAATGACGTTTCCCATGCTGTCCTAAACAGAATCGTAAATGCCTGTAATTGTGATACAATTTTGAACTAGTGAAGTATTATACTTACACACCAGTAAACTTCATTACATTTACATCTGTACCTTGATCTATTAAGAACTGGCATGCATTATACCTTTTTGCAAGAGCCGCTCTCTTTGTATTTCAGTTAAAACAGTTCAAATAAAACTGGGGAGAAAATTTCCTACATGGAGAAGGGTTCCTCCAAATTGATCTACATCAAACAGGTTTGCCTGCCGTGTTTGAAATAGTTGCTTGCATACCAGTCACATCTCCATCACAGGCCATTTCCATTATAGGCGCATAATATTCAACAACATTGTATGTTCTCAATGTGAAAGTCCATCCAGATACTGATTGTTGATAGGCACATAGCTCCCATACACTCGAGAAGAAAGGAAGTCGCAGCTTTGCATTGAGGATCTTCTGACGCTTTGATAGTGGTTTGATAGACCTGGAACATGAAGTAGTGTTCCCACTTGATGTACTCGAAGAAGTCGTTGTATTGAGAGATGTCTGTTGATGGGTAGTGACGATAGATGCAGCTGAATTAAAGCTATTCAAAGTGTTTCGTATTTCCACCATCTCTGAAAATTGTTGCGTGGCTAATCTCACTTGTTCATCGTGTCTCGATTTGCTTAAGCTCCTGGCATCAAGTCAGAATCTTCCAAGTCTAGAAGTAGAAATCATCAATACGCGATATAGTTCTGATGCGCCAGCATCATCAATGAATTTGCTCTCCCAAGTCTCTTTTCCATTTTCTCAAGCAATTCCTTTTTCATTACCATTTTGACTCCTCCCCATTTCTTTCTCCGTCGCATTTCATCTTCTAGCTCCCTAACGGCATTGTTCAATATATCCACACCTTTTTGGCATAGTCGAAGCGGTCTAGCGGCCGCAGGCGATATCGTTTGGCTACCAAGGCTGTCCTCGATTTCTGTGAGTAGCACATGCGTTATGTCCAATTCATCGAGGATATATAAGATCTCTTCTGGAGCGTCTTTAACGGCATGCCAAAATGATTTGAGTTTCAAGATGCCATCACCGAGTTGGACAGCTAAGGATATGATGCCAACTGCACTACCAGCGATGCCGAGTGCTTCCGCCATAATTATGCCAAAGCTCCCCAAGACCCTCGCATTAAGGTAATTGCTAAATTTGATAATATTCGCGAAATTATAGGAATGAAAAGAAACATAATGTCATGTAATGATGGAGAAACGAAACAGTGAAAAGAATAGATTAAGCAAGATAAGGGGGCTCAGAGCCTCGTCATGCATAGCTGACCCCAATGGGAAGGAGCATCTTCTGAAATGAGCCTAACACCAAATAAGAAGCGTCGCAATGCGCTTTATTGTGGCTGTACATCCCAGTGTAAAGTAAAGTATCTCATTGGAATAAAAAAAAGTTGACCGGTCAAATTCTTCTATTCAACGGATTGTCCCGGGAGTATAAATCTGAGGTCTATATATATCATTGGACACACAGTCTTGTGTAACATTAAAATATGGAACAAGGTATTGCATCAACAATTATACAATCCATCCAACCCTACAAGCACATGAACCATCCAAACTCTCTCCCTTTCACTTCTCATGATAATCCAACTTCTTCAAAAAATCCCAAGTTTTCTTCAATTTTCCCCCAACATCCACTCCATCTTCTCTTCCCCTCCCTCTTCTATCTCTCCCCCTGCCATTTCTTTCTCTTCCACTCCTCTCACCCCTTCCACCCTGTTTTCCTCCTCTCGATCTTTCCTTTCCTTTTCCACTTTCTTTTCTATTTCCACCTCTACTCTTATCACCCTCTCCCCGTCGTTTTCCCTCTTTCTTTTCCTGGACCGGAGATGGAGACGGAGGTGCTAAGCTTTCAGCATCACTCTCCATCTCTCCATCTTCATTCGCACCTGGATGATCCTCCTCTTCTCCTTCTTCCCCATCACTTTCTTCACCATCAGAACCAGAATCGGGCTCTGGATCTTCTTCCGGTCCAGAATCATCATCGCTACCATTCTCTCTATCACTATCGTGCTCTTCTCTCATTTGTTCGTGCTCATTTTCTTGCTCAAAGGGTGACTGTCTTGACGGGCTCGGACTCATTTCATCATCAGGCTCGAGATTTACTGATTCTGCCGGACTCATAGGTATAGGAGGTCGTTCCTTCTTGCGTGGTTTCTCCACACGAGGTTTCTCGACATGATGATTCTTCTCCTTTGATTTTTTGTCTCCGCGAACGTCTCTTTGGCTCTCTTCTACTCCCTTATGTGGCCGAGATTTTTGGGTCTCAGGCTTTTGTCTTCGAGATTGTTCTGGTATGTTAGCTGACGGCTGAGGTTGGTGTGGTGCACGAGGCGCCGGTTGTTTCTGATGTTGTTGATATTGTTGCTCGGGACCTCCATAAGGATTGTTGTACATATCATCCGGTCTATTATATTGATTATGTCCCGGAGCTTGTGGTGGCATATGAGGGTTATGTGGTATATCACCTGGCCTTTGATATGGATTATGCATTTGCATATGCACTGTAGGTGCTGGTCTAGGAATCTGAGGTTGCCTATTTTGATATCGATATTGATCCGGGGGCGTTTGCATTTGCATCTGATTTTGTCCGATGTAGGGATTTGACGCAGCATAGTTTGGGTTTGGTGCGCCATAATTTGGATTCGGTGCACCGTAATTGAATTCTGCTACTCCTCTAGCATCCATATAGGCTTGGGGTGGGGCTGCTATAGGTCCAGGGGCAGGAGCAGGCGGAGGAGGAGGAACTTGCATATTTCCCGTCCCCGCTCTAGGATCCATCCTAGTCGGACCTTGAGACCCCGGACCCCCAAAGTTCGATTGCATATCATCTTCTCTCGCAACCAAATCATCATCATAAGTTCCAAATCCACTATCAAGATCGCTGTCATCATCACTATCACTTTCGTCATCCATACCTCTTTGACGATTATATCCATGTTCATCATCACTTCCTGATTCGTCATCTGAATCTGAGTCTGATTCTGATTCCGAGTCCATGTCTGATCCAGATTCTGAATCACTTTCTGAATAGGATTGTCTGTGGCTTCTAGACGGTAGAGCCTTTTTTCTTGGATCCTGATGTCTTCGACTTGGATTTACGGATTTTGAATGTTTACCTCTCGGATCTTGACCTCCTCGCTTGCCATTCCCTTCCCTTGCACCTCTTCCATCCTTTCCAGAACTCACTCCAGCCCCATCTACACCTCTGGCAGAATTTAACGGCGGCGGAAAACTGGGTGGCCTCATTTCACTCCTAGCCGGTACTACAGGAGGTGGCGTACCCCTCATTTGTTGCTGATGTGGAGAAGGCTGACGCATAGCTTGCTCGTGGAATTGATTACCTCTTGTATCATATCTCTGAGCACCTGGGTAAGTAGGAAGCGGAGCTTGTGGAACTTGTGGCGCATAATTCATTCCGGATCGTAATTGCGGTTGAGCTTGAGCTTGAGCTTGGGATTGCGAAGAACCGAAATTCGCTTGTGGACCCTGTGATTGATAAGGGGGGAAATGTGTTTGTTGTTGTGGAGGAGCCCAAGAACTTTGAATCTGAGGCATGGGAGGATGTTGAAAAGGAGAAGGTGTTCTAGCACTTCCCATCGCTGAGAACGGCGAAAAAGCATTGTGAGGAGCAGTAGCCACACCAGGCGTCAAACTTGGTGGAAGAAAAAGTTCAGATTTCCCACGCGTGGTCGGCATGGGAGGGACTTCTAATTCTACAGGATCACGTTCGCACGCAAGTTCGAAGCGAGTAGAGCGAGGTCGTGAGAGTTGTTGAGGTGTTGAGGGTACGGGAGCATAGGGTGGTGGATTCGGCGGCTCACTATTGTCTGTTGCTAGTTCTGCTGCATCTTCGGGGATGGAGGGAAAGGCTGTTGCTGTGGATTTGGCGGAATGAGCGGCTGGGTATGCACTATCTAGCTCTTGAGGTGGCATATCACTTGGATTGGTTAGGTAACTATTTTGGGGTGCGTAATTGTGTTGACCCATGTAAGAGCGATCGTCATTGGGAAGATAGCTGTAAGAATCTTGTGGAGTTTCCATGTACTGGTTATTCGCAGAATAAGAATTCTCGTTTGCAGGGTAATTACTGTTTGGTGGATTTTGAGAATGATCATCAGCAGGCTCGCGAACAGAATCTTGATGATCAAGCTCAGAAGCTACTGCTGTAGATGAGCGCCTCGAACCTGCATCAGAAGAATCATCAGGTTCTATTTCATCCTCACTTCCCTGGTCAGATCCTGCATCAGAGTTTGAGCTAGCATCATCATCAGGTTCTTCTTGATCAGAACCATTTTCATCTTCGCTTTCGCCATCAGGATCATCGCCACTATTTTCCTCATCTGAACCAACCGCAGTGCTTTCATCATCCTGACCGTCTTCATGTCCATCTTGAAATGGGTCCTTTGTCGATGAAGGACTACCAGGCTCTGCACCGCTGGTGACTGATTTTGCATCTTCATCTTCTGGACCTTGATCTGGTTCGGATTTTTGTTTTCCATTATCTTTCTGATCTTCCATTTGAATCCATTCTTCTTGTCCAACACCATTCCACCAGTCTACAACACTTTTCCACCAAGCAGCAAAGCCATTCTCACAACACCCGCACCCATCATCATCACCCATACATGGCTCTTCATTATTAGCTCCACTTGAAGGTGGTTGTCTACCATTGGCAGGCCCTCTAGATTTTCCTTTTGGGCCTCTTCTTCTGACACCTCTACCACCGGGTCTAGACCTAGCTCCAGGACCAGAACTTCTGGGAGAGCCCGGCCCTGGAGAAAATCCGCCAGATTGAAGCCTTCCGCGAGGTGGAGGACTTAGCGATCGCGATCTTCCGGACATTGCAGGACTTGGGGGTCCACTGACCATTGGCGAGCGATATGAAGAGCCTCCCATTGGAGATCGTTCTTGAGGCGAACCGACATAAGATCCACTTGCCATAGAATCTCTCCGTGATCCTATCGGAGATCCCATTTGGGAACCCATTGGAGACCCCATTGGAGACCCCATTGGAGACTCTATTGGGGAGCCCGGGCGGCTACCTGGAGATTGAAGAGGTGATTCCACAGGGGATCCTCCAGGAGACTCTGGTAAGCCGCCTGGTGACTCAATAGGAGAACTTCCAGGTGATCCTCCGGGTGACATCCCTGGTGACTCACCTGCTATCGAACCTCCCGGTGACAGACTACCAGGAGATCCACGAGGTGAGCCACCACCAGACATCGGCGACGATGGACCCGGAGGTCTACCACCAGGAGGTCCTCTCGACATTGGCGATGAGCCACCTACAGGAGAACGACCACCCATAGGAGAGCGACCACCCATAGGAGAACGACCTCCACCCGGTGATCTACCCCCAGAGTATCCACCACCTGGAGGTCCTCTTGACATTGGCGACGAACCACCCATGGGTGATCGACCGCCACCTGGAGATCTATAACCAGAAGCATTTGATGGTGGCAAATGTCTTCTAGGAGAACTATCCCTACCAGACGGTCCCCTACCACCCGATGGCGGTGGCCCTCTCCCAGGGGGTCCTCTACCGCCTGATGATGGCAGCCCTCTGCCAGGAGGAGGTCCTCTACCATGAGAAGACGGCAGTGGCTGAGATCTGAATGGTGCACCACCTGAACCACCTCCCGGCGGTCTCGAATGGCCACCGGAAGGTGCAGGACGTCGTGGAGAGATGGAACGGCGATTATTTGATTTAGGATCAGATCGATCAGGAGTACCATATCCTGGGGGTCGCATTCGTCGACTATCATCTAAATTAGATTGAGGATGATCACGCCCATTTGAGCGAGATTGTGGTGGATAATTTGACATGGATCTGCGATCAGGTGCTTTTCCAGGTGGTCTACCGCCAGTGGCAGGATTCATTCTTCCATCACGTCCAGGTAATCCATTAGGTCGAGATCTGCCTGGTAAACTCGTCTCGGTGGACATTGAGCGGGGATCATGTCCTGCTCTGTCTAGTGGGCGTCCTCTGTCATCAATACCTGGCATGGAACGCCCATTGCTTAAATCTCCAGGACGACCGCGAATTTCATCAGGAGGAATACCACGTCTAGAAGTTCCATCGGTTGGATCGTCTCTTCGACCTATTGGAAGTGGAAAGTTTCTTGCATCATATGGCGCATCTCTTCCTTTCTGGCCGCGTCTTCCATGAAACGAGTCATTTTCTTCCCAATCTGAACCGTAAGCTTGTCCTCTATCGTTAAGTGCTCTATCAGGAGATTGAGGACGAGATCGAGAGTTTCCAGGTCGGTCAGCGTCTTTTCGTAGGTTATCATTTCTTCTAAGGGCGTCTTCTTTGCGTGATGATGTATTCTCCCGTGGGACTCCTGTATTGTTTCTATCCCGTTGCTTACCTCTATCCGAAGAATCACCCATCGGAATTGGAACCGGGACACCAGTACTGGAGGCTTTTGTGATATCGTCGCCATCCTTGCGATGATTCATATTTCGCTTAGTAGGTGAATGTGGTAACAAATTCATCCCCGGTCTATCTGTCCGTTCATCTCCTCCATCTCGTTCTGTATCTGCACGTGAGGATCCCATTGGCATTTCTCCTTCTTCTCTTCGTTTTGCAGGGTTGTCTCTCTCGTGGCGATCCTTGGTACCACGAAGTTGGTCCACTGTTAGAGGACCGCCTCTTCGTGGATGATCCTTAGCATCTTGTAACCGTCTGTTTTCTGCTTCCCTTGCTCTCGTTGGTAAATCTAGATCCTCCTCTAGTTCATCGGAACCATGAGACGACCCCTTTGGCTGTTGCCGTTTTGTATTTTCCGGCACATCAAGGTTACGTAAATTGGATCTTCTACTTGTAGCTTCCGAGCCATTGGGTACAGAACTAGAACCAAGTGCAGTCGAGGGTGCATAGCGTGTGTTGGATGCTGTTGGTGCCTTTGAGTGTGGTTTACTAGGCTCTCTATGTCCATGCGGTGGTTTTCGTGAGCTCTCATCTTCACCCCTACCTTTCCTTCTCCCGTGCTTATTACTTCTTCCATCTTTATCTTGCGGTGAGTCAAACAAGGAATCTTTGAAATTATCCATCAAATCTTGTATAGATTCTGGCTGTAGTTTCCCAATATCATTAACCTCCGAATTAGTATCCACGTTGAACATCTGTATATAATTAACCAACATGGGCGCATCGAATCGAGTATCCCTTGAAACATCGACTTGGAGGGGTTTAAATTTTACTCCCCTTATCGATGGAGGTTGGGTTGAGCTGGCATGAAGAAGCCCACATTCTGACAAGTCCAAGTCTTTTCTCAAGGGCGTCACTGAGAGGCATGTACAATGAGTTCCAATATCGTCCGGAGTTTCCTGGGCTTCCCTTATGATAAGAAAATTTTGATTCGATGATCCATCTTCATCTTCAAATGCTGTGCTGAATACTCGACCTTTTGTGAAGAATTTCTTGCTGTGAGTTCGATATTTATCCCCTCCGTTCTTTTTGTCTATATTTCTCGTTTGTTGATCTGCCATCCGTCCTATGTTCAATAATTTAGCTTGATTGTTTTTGCTTTCAAGTCGAGGAACCATACCATGACGATCACGACTTGGATTACCAACACCTGCAGGCAGCGATATATCACTCCTGGTCTTAGCTTGATCTGGAACCTCTCCTATAATTTTATCAGATATATTAATTGACAAGTTGAAATCTCAAGGCAACCATACTTCTGTTTTCAGCGGGTAATGGCCTTCCCCGTCCCCTAGATCGATCCATGATGAAGATCCTTGGAATGATATAAATAGCAAATGTACAAGAAAATCACTTATAAAGTACGGGAAGAAAAAGAAACAGAAATCTAACCTCACAGTTCATACTTACTCAACGTCGAGGAAACACAACACGAAAAACATTGGATAGAATGGGATACTCACTTACATGATTTCCTCCAAAGCGGAGACGTATGGAAAATTAAAATTACATGCCAACAAGAAGTTTGACCGCATCGCCTCAATATCAAGGTCGCGTTGAGGTCAAATCGAGGTCGGCTCTTGCGGCTCTAGCATTGGCGCGCGGTAAAGTTTTTTTTTCCGAGTTGGTGAAGCTCGCGATGACATGTTTGTTTATACTCATGAATGACTCTCAATTGAAGATTCAATGAATTGAGACATCGTCTTTAACATAGAACGAATGATATTTTTTCCAAAAATGACATTGAATTTCTTCGTCGCGTTCCCTCACGATCCGCGAATGACACTCGGTGCGGGCCGTACAGACGGCCACTTAGCCACGAGGAAACTGGGTCTGGACCATTTTCGCAGTCTATGGTAATTTCAGAATATTCCATTGCGTGAACTCAACCATTCTTTCGTGATAAAGTGGGTTGCGCAGTTGAAATTGTAGATGTTTCTATTATATGTTGTGTGTTTGTGTTATGAAGGACAAAAATTCTCGGTACGAGGTTTTCCCGCGCTCACAGCATAGCATTACTTAGGTACTCGCCTTGCTTGGATATCTGGAACCATCCACCAACTACTATCCAATTTATACATATAGATTGATTTGAGGCTCAGCGAAATAGCAAATGGAATCAAAAGATCAAATGACAGATCTCAAATTCAAAAATGTTTCGGGTTGAAAAATCCGTATGAAGTGCTATGACCTCCACACTCCCAATAATTTCCTCCCCTCCCTCCCAGAATCGAGAAGGTATGAATCAAGAATACTATATTATCCGGCGTACGATCTACCTATTTGCATGCATTACACTCTTCATCCTGTCTGAGAAATACTCGAATGTCTTATGAGGTATCCACTAGGCAGTCACCTACCTATCTACCTACCTAACTTTTTTCTTTTTCTCTCTTGACGAGGAATCTCGAGGAATTACACATACTGGGTAGTCAGTTTATGAAAAATGGTATATCCACCTATCCATCTACCTATCTATCTATCTACCATTTCTCCCCACACATCGCACATCACACTCACATCCCACAAACCCTCCAATATTTTCCCCAAGAATTTCACCAAGATTCAACTACAACTGCACATTCTCATATTCAAATTCCAATTTCAATCTTGATCTTGATCTAACTCTTACAGTGAATCACTGAGTTCCCCTTTTCTGAGATAACTGAAATCGACATATTACATATTACATATACAAAAACTAAAAATACCTCCTCCTCCCTCTTCGCCCCTCTTCCCGAACTTCAGAAAAAGGGATTTTATTCTCTTCTACCCTCTTCTCTTTCCTTCCATTATATTTATTTTCGCTTCTGTGTCTTGTTCTTCTAGTTCTATTTGATGTGCATATACACATTCTACTTTAGATGTCTAATATGAAAATGAAAATGAAAACGATACTAAAAGTAAACATACACAACACCTGTGACAAAAATAACTTTCAGAAGGAGGAGATCCCAAATTCCAAATCCCAAATTCTAAATTCCAAAGAGAGAAGAGATGAGAAAGCGAACGACATTAAAAAATCTCAAATATCGAAGTATATTTTAGGGATTTGGAGTAGGAGGCAAGGTTAAGCTTGATGTTGATGTTAATGATGATGTGCAAAAAATATGCATGATGTAGAAGAGGTAGGTAGATGTGAACTTATAGATTAAAGGGGTGATGTGGAGATTGAGGTGAGGTATGAGGTGTGAGATGTAAGATAGGAGTTGAGATAACGGTGATTTTGTGAATGAGGAGGAGGAAGATGCAGATTGATTGTGGGATTGGGTCTCGAGGAATGGGTTATGATTAATGATTTGAAAGGTTGAGAGAACATAATGGGTTTGTATGAGAGGCCATTTTAATGAATTGGGATTTGAAATAACGGTTCAATTTCGTTAATAGTGGAGAAGAGGTGTGATGGAATAATGATGAATGTTCAATTTGAGATTATTTTGAATATGTCACAGAACTGGACATAATTGGTCAAGTAAGTACTTAAGTTTCAAAACGAAGAAAGGCACATAAAAATAAAGGATTGTGTGTACAATCACGCGTGATATTTGCCTATCTATGTAATATTTAGCTACCTAGCCAAATATGTGTCTGCCCGAAACACAAAAATGTAAAAACGGTATCATGTAGAAAAAAGAAATGTATTATGTACAAAGAAAAAGATGAAGAATCCAAAGAATCGTCTCGCATCTCCGCACAGCGGAAAAGCTATCCTCTTAAAATGCCATCGTGGCCTTGGCTTTAGTCCAGTAGGCCAATCGCGCAGGATCAGCGGGATCAACTCCAACGCACGTCATATATGCTTGCCATCCTTCTACGGTACCTGTCTTAAGAGCTGTTCGAGCATCCGCACAGAATGTCTTCAAAAACCATGGTGCACTTCCCCATGTATACTCGTCAACCAAAACCAAAGCTCGGATCTCGTTCAACTTGTCGTCCGACAAGCCATCGATGGTGGTAGCGGTGGTGATCTTTGCGAGAGGGTCTTTGAGGGCGGGAATAGATTGCGCGTACTGGAGATTGTATTTCGCCATTTGCATGTTTTTTGTTCCTTGGCCTGGACGACCGGGGCTGTGGTTGATGTTGTATTGGAAATTCACGCTTTCAAACGACATAAGTGCAATCATGGCACCTATTTCTGCAGCGGTGAAATCTTCGTTTCCGAAAGCTATAATCATACCCTTTGCTGCTTGAGCAAGAGTTGCGCACTCATCTGGGAAAGGTGCAGTGCTGCAGTCAGTTAAGGCGCCGGAGATTCCACCAACTATGGTTTCGGCTTGAGTGGCACGTCCAAGGATGAGGTTGTTCGAGGCAATAGGCGACGCAATGGCGAGAGCCGAGAAAAAAATGATTTGGATTGTCTTGAACAACATAATGAATGATGATTTATCGAGGTAATCTGTTTGAGGTATGGGATTTGAGTTGGAGTATGGTTTCAAGAAGAGAAATAGATTAAGGTTAAGAGGATGTGATGCTTTATGTAGGTCTAGCAATGAGGATTGTTCTCGAATTTATCGACAATTGGCTTGAACAATGTAATTGTTTGTAAAATCTTTGTGATTGAACAAAGGAAGAAAGAAACCCTGAGAAAGTGATTGTTGACCCTTTTTGTTATTCTGAAAGAGAGAATGAAATGACTGCAAAAAGAGCCTTGAGTAGCAGAAAAGAAAGAAACGCTTATTTTCAGTCACAAAAAGAGCGAATTGACAAAGAATTCTTTGAATGACTCCATGGCAATAAATAAACGTATGATTCCCTCAATCCCATACTTCGGATGAAGAAACAAACACGGTCATACTTGACTGATATTCTGTTTGCAAAGGCAAATTACAGAGACATTTCAGTGGATGAGGCTCAAGGAGATCCCAAGTATGTTCAGGTGGCGGAGATGATGACAGCCAATACTTTGGATATCAATGCAAGAGTCTGATATCTGGATGTTTCATGTTTCAAGAAGAACGGAATAGTGCAGAACTCCTTGGTCAATGCTGTGTAGCCACGTGATCATACTTTTTGACCCTTAAAGGCCGTAACGTGAGAAGGAAGCTCTCTCCTCAAAATTGGAAGTCGAGTTGAGAAAGTATGGGTAATTGAAAATTGGACAATTGAATAATCGGAAGAACAAATCCACAATCACCTACAAATTTAATAATCTTTCTTTCTGAAAACTCGAATTGTCGTTACACGAAGATGTAGCGATGAGAACATCTCCTTACTACTACCTAGGTAGGTATGTCAATGCTATGAAGATCATTTACAAGCGGACTTTTAATCCCGCTGCTCATGGGCTTGCAAACGGTCCAAGCAATCAAATTCCGAATTACTGGATCGCATGAATTGTCATCGACACAGCATATTCGAACTGTTTGTTTTTTGAGACACATGTACATGTATGGTACACGTTAACGAGAGGAGAAGGGTTCACACATAATGAATTCATTGTACGAAGACTGGAAAGGAAAGCCTTACGAGGAACGAGCAGCGAGTGTGGAAGAACGGAACGTAACGATGCACTGTGTTGTCGAAGATTTGATTAGGCGATTGGCCAGCCTACGAGATGACATGCACTGTCGACCAACAAAAGTTTTCGGAAGGAGATAGCACGAATCATGAATTTGTTGCTCCAAAATTGGTATGTCGCGTGGGTGGTCCATACAAATATACGGAATTTTGAGGAACTATGGTGAGATTCAAGGAACCCAGAAAATGAACCGCCGTTCAATTTTGAGTCTTTACCTTGCAGGGCTGGAAAACGTATATTGAGGTACCTACTTCGAGATACTTTTCTTTTTGCTCGCTGCACAAGGGCACATGCTATGTATGAGCTTTACGAGGGCCTTACAAGGGCCTTACGAGTGCTTTACCATGGCTTCACAAGGGCACGGGAGGGCATGAAAAGGGCTTCAGGGCAGAGAGGGGAAAATCTTGATGGCAGCGCTGTGCCGTGCAGCCCATTATCATGACGAAGATATAATTCTGCAGCCCTGCGGCATGGAAAGTGTCTCGAGGGTATGACCAAAATTTTCGTCCCAATTATATTTTCCAATGCTATCGCATTTTGTGGACCAGCATTGACTCATCCTTGCAAAGGGGCCCTCCCGATTTGATGAAGATCAAGCTTTAAACTTTAAAGTTGCGGAGACGTGGTCAAATGGGAGTCATCGCCCGCCGCCGTCTCGATCGCTTGGGGAATTTGGGAAGAGGGCAAAATGCATGATCCGCACATCAGAATTTGGACACCTGATAAACTTTTGGATACTTCCGATGTCAAGGTGGAAGCTTACCAAGCACTTAGCACACTACGGAACTCAATTCATTAGATACCTAGGATCGATTGTCGACGCGTGTTGACACTGTTGACGCAGACACGAAGGTTCTCATATCCAAATAGGAAGTTGTTAACAGCGTACAATTATTGATACCTAGAGAATCTGACGATGGATATATTTGCAAACGTATTCAGACTCGTAAGTCGCCAAGCTTCGCTGACGACGAAGATACCATATGAAATTCAGGTACTCGGCCAAAAGGTGTCTATGGCAGCATCACATTCAAAGCAGCATTGAAAATTGATTCTGCGGGGAATGGCCAAATATGATGATTATGATAACCTTACATGACGGAAGGAGAAGAAATAAAAAAGAGATAAGATAGGTAGGTAGGTAGGTACGGAAATACATGGGATTTACCGGTCGTCGAAACTGCCACCGAAGTTCAACGAACATTGTTCTTTTATTGGCTCTCGATACGTACGTATATTTGACTCTCGAGGTCTTTGGAGCAGCGAGCGTGGCTTAGATTTGCGGTTTTTTCCAGACTTTCAATTTTCTACCGTGCAAAATTGAGGCTCTTTGACTACTCGGTGAGTTTAAAGTGGACTCGGAGTGATAATTCCCCCGTCTTACTTTGTTTGCTGCATCGTACCAAAACAATACTCCGTACCTGTCCTGTATCGTACCGCTTACTAAATTGAAAGGGGAAACAATTCATTCTTGTCAAACACCCCCAGTCCCTGATGACGGAAAGGGAAAGGACAAGCTTTGAGCCATGCACCTTATTTTCGAATATTTGACGCTCTTTTAGCTTCGATCAGGTGGATTTCCCGTTTCTTCCGTGGGAACGGGGCTCTTCGGGGTTCAATGGTCTCGAGAATGCAATACGGTACCGTCAGTGTGTGGACACTGGACAGACTCCAGAGCAGAGGTAATTAATATCTTATTCTTATCTTCGCTTTCGCTTGCAGTGATCGACAATCGTTTCAATGAATTGACATCAATTTCATACGATAATTTGGTTCGAGTGGAGTCCCCCTTCACACCAAGATGAGAAAGTCACATTGATCACACAATCTTTTTGGCATGGAGAATGAAAAGTTGGATACATAGTTGATGGGATGATTTTTTGCGTGAATATCCAGTACATCACATCCAAACGTACGATTGAATATTAACAAATAGACAACATCGCAGATTCACATTTAAAGGATCTTTTACGCTTAAATGTCGAAGGCTTGAGTGATGGAAATAGCATCGCCTCCTTACCAAACAGTTTAAGCGCGAGACGTCAACAAGGGTGCTTTGAAAGAGACAATCTGGCGGGGCCCCCCTTGTGAGTGATCATAATGGCGTTCCGTTCCCACGTTTATTTTGATTCTTGCAGTATCTTATTTTATAAATCCACCCGGCTGGTTACAACTTATCTTGGGGTGCTGCCACTTTTGGTTACAGATTGACGGACGACGTGGGTATGAATTGCTGGGCATACACTCGATGAGGATGAGAATGAGAAGATGTGTCTTCATATAGAACTTTCCCACTCTGAGTAAATTACCGATGGGTATGTGTGGCACATGGATTTTGACTCGATTGGATCCTTATGTGCTTCTGGATTTCCAGATATGTATTTTTAGCTGTGCGGTTGAATACTGCGGAGTGGTTGTTGGTTTCACTACCCATCTATGTATTCCGTGCATTGTGTAAATGTATGTAGATAACCTCACACAAAGGCAGCAGGGCTATTTATTGGCCGCCGAAATCACCACCCGACCGAAGGACCAGAGCAGAGTCCATATTAACTTCCGGGTCTGCATTGCGGGGAAGCAATGGACGGCGCCCATGTGCTCGTCGAATGGGAGAGATACGCGCGAGAATCAAGGGGGGGTTGAGATGTCGAATTTGGGATCGTGGTGAATCTGGATCGCGACTAAATATTCGGGAAGGGTCTTGATGCGTGGGTTGGCGTTGAGGTTAAGCATGTTTCATGATGGATTGAGTTTAGCTATAGAATAGATATCATAGATGGCGAGGGTATCAATTGAGATATTAATCACAGTGAGGTATTAATCAAATTGGGAGCTCAACAATATAACATGTATGATGTACAAGCGCGATAGGAAGAGAAGGGAAACGGAATCTCCCAGAAGCCGTTTCTCATTGATGTGTGGAAAGCGATCGGTAATTACGCTTTCCTATATGGGTAAATAGACGCCGTCGTGAAGATGTTCGAGATTGCACGGAAGGAAAATGGGATGTGATGAGTTTCCCAGTGTTAGAAGTTGTAAAGTTTGGGATTTTCATGTCGGTTTCGGGATCGTACGAGGGGGGCCGAAGAGGAAAATTGCTGGGGAGGATGAGGAGATGGATGTTTGTTGGATATTATGCTATAGTGTTTGAGTTTGAGTTTGGTAGACCTTTTCGGAGACCTTGACTTGGTTTATTGGTGTGATATGTATGGTATAGTGTGTTGAACATTGTTGAGCATCAAGCAGTGGTAGCAATATATCTAATTCTATGCAATATCTACGTAGTATCTAGTACCTAGGTATTCTTTCTATACGTGTGAGAAATTCATCCATCCTTCAATTGAAGCATATAAAAATAGAATAGTAGTGGTAAAGAGGGAAGGGAAGTGAAGGATGAAATAAAAGATGATATCAATTATTACAATTGCCACGCCCCTCAATCAATTACACTCACTCCTTCCCTTGTTGAAATGGGATTACCACGCTAACTTCATTTTAGCTCATCCTTGTTCATTCCTCATTGAGCTACAACTAACTTCACAAGTAACAAGCCCATTCTCACTGTTGCCTAGAAATCAATGGCCGCTTTAATCAATCGACGGACGAGGCGGATCTATGGGCTAATCAACCTCCAAATCTAAATTTCGTATCATCTTTCCTCTCACTCACTCAACTCTCACTTATTCTCTCTCCCTCTCTCCCTCTCTCCCTCTCTCAATACCAACTTACCTTACCTACCTACACGCCAAGTTTTAATCGACGTCTGACCAACCCAGTTCCCGTTTATTTAATTCCTCACCGGCCACGAATCTAACTAACGCGTTCAACCTCGACTTAACCCCAAACAATACACACGACCGGTGTCATTGTGGTTGTAGTTGTTTGATTCACGATTCCGTTTCTCTCTCCATCCCATACCTATCAAACTGATAAATCTTATACCTCATTCGTCAAATTCTTTCAACCCCTCTAGGCAACAACCTCACCTCCACACCTTAAACCTTAATCTTGACCCTCTTCTATCCCGACCGTTCGCGCTTCTCTCTTCCCTCTATCTGAGCACTGCCATCAAAAAAAAGATCTTTCATGAACCAGAGCTTCGACCGATCAAGGGAAAACAAACATCGCAAGACTAAATAGAAGTCGGAGTAGTCGACACGAACCTTATTGTCGTCTTTTCTGAGTTTCATTTGCTAGGTTGTTTTGAACCAACTTCGAGAAAGGCTCTCAGCCTCGAAAGTGATACTTGTGCCGCCAAACTACCTACCTACCGACCTACATATCTACTCATTTGTACGCTTTGATTCATTCTTTCCCCGTACTTTGATCTACTACCTACTTCTCCATCCACTTTTTCACTTCCAGAGCTTGATTGAGCAATTATTGGTCCGAAAGTCAATTCGTATGGATTGATCAATCAGCCATACATCTCTACCTTCTTTCCCACACCGAAGCTACTTTCTTTCACCTATTACATACCTTTTATCTCCGTTGATACCACACCCACACCCCGAAACGGATCGATTCATTCTCATTTGTGACTCACATTTCTTGCATGGAATAAAAGATTCCCAGGGCTAATCAATCTCACCCTAGTCTTCGAACAATTCGCAAGTTCACAAGACCTGACCACTCAGGATGTCGTTCACACATCCCCGAAGAACTACAAAGACCACATCCACTGCTGTGACTCTTCTTGCGAATACGTCAAGCCGGCCAACAGTTAATACAACTATGGCTTCCCTTCGCAAAGGTGCCACTTTCCACTCACCTTCTTCTCCCACACGCGAAGTTGATGGTGCATTCAATCTCTCGGCTCTCGAACGTTCATTGTCCAATCTTGAAGATTTCGCCGTCGAATCACACAAGCGTCGTGCTGCCGATGTCATAGAATCATTCGAGCTTACTGCTGCTGGCAATCAATCATCTTCCACTTCACGTCGTCGTTTCCGTGACGAGTCTGATCCTGTTCCTCGAGGTGTCGTCAACGTTGAGAACCCCTCCACCAAATCATACAATACCGAATTGATGGACGGAGTTATGCCATCAGAACAATCTTCCGTTCGACGATCAACACGTCCCCGTCGCACCACACCCAGATATGCAGACAGTGGTCTTGGATCATCCATCGGGTCATCATCATCAGACAAGAAGGTAATCACCGATGACAATGTCTCCAAATCTACCAAGCCATCCACTATAACTAGATCGGCTGCTGCTCCATCCACAACGATCAAAAGCCTTCCTAGACTTAGTGCTCGCACCACCGCTCGCATTCAAGAGCATATCTTGAAGCCACTCCTAGCAAAGGAGTCTTTCAAAGACTTGCATCCCCTCCTCCAAGACTGTCCCAGACGAATTCATCAGAAGGAAATCGTATCTCTCCGCGACCTGGAGAAGACTTTAATCTTTACCGCACCTGTAAGTGAAATCCATATTGATGTTGCTTGGGAGTTTACTCACTGGTTCTCGCAATTGAAGAAGTACACAAAGAGCGCCTCCTTGTACCTCGACTTTTGTCTGGAATCGATTCACTGCATCCAAGCTACCGTCGAACTTGTTAATGAACGCGAACAAACGCGACCAAACGATCGCCCATATACTAACGGATACTTCGTCGATCTCGTCGAACAGATTAAGCAATACGCTGAACAGGTCCGAGAAGCTAAGGAGAAGGAAGAGAAGGGAGAAACCATTAGCGAGATGGATGCTCACCCGTATGTCCCCCAGCTTTCTTCATACTCAAATGTGAAGTTTGAAAATTTGCTAATCGGTTGGCCATTTAGATCAGATGAGGTCAAGCTTCACGGTGGTCTGACCAGAAATGGTCGACCCGCTGAACTTGTCCGCATCAATAAGAAAACTGGCAAGGCCATTTCCATTGCCACCGGCCAACCGGTTGACATGGACGATGATGACAACAAGTCTATGAGATTTAAGCGCTCCTTGAGCGAAGAAGCTGAAGATGAAGAATCAGTGATGAGATCTATGGCACGTCGTAAGAAGGATGCTTCTGCCGCTGAGCTCGCCCCTAAATTTTGTCGCGAAAAGGGATGTGACAAGTCATTCAAGCGTCCATGTGACTTGACCAAACACGAGAAAACTCATTCCCGCCCCTGGAAATGTCCCGTCACTTCGTGCAAATACCATGAATATGGTTGGCCAACCGAGAAAGAGATGGACCGTCATCAAAATGACAAGCATTCCGCCGCTCCTCCACTATTCGAGTGTCACTTCAAGCCTTGCCCATACCGATCAAAGCGAAAGCGGAGTCAGAGCGCCAAAAATAAATAATTTGGGGTCCCCCGCGAAGACAACTCGAAAGACCCAATCCACCAATTCCGCGGCCTTCATGTATTCTATGAATCTGCGAGCGGCTTATTATTGATAATTCGGATCCGAAATCGTTTTGCCCCCGGTAGCATCTTTATTGAAGTCTTATATCAACCTCAATTCGAGGTTTCATCAGACCAAACAGTGACTCGAGGACCAGAACAATGTCTGCCTCTCTCCCAGGCAATCGAGAATTGCCCGCTTCTCAGTATGATCTCAGTACATACTGGGGACGGGTGATGCATTCTGCGGCCATTTCAGACCCTAGGTGAGGAGGAATTTGCTGTGTGTTTTCACCAAAAAGGTGCCCACACTTTCTTTCAGACGCTCCATCATGGCCGTTGTAAAGTATACAACATCATATACTGACGATTGAATAGAACATTGTTGGTCAACAGCGCCGGATTGGAGAATGCGAAAAGTCTCATTTCGAATTACAAACAGGGGAAGATCCATGAAATGACTCCGGAGTTATGGAATGCGAAAAAAATTGTTGATTCAACATTACATCCAGGTTTGTGAGATTCTGCGAAAGTACTGGACGGAAGGCTCACATTACTAGATACTGGCACTCCAGTTTTCCTTCCGTTTCGAATGTCATGCTTCGTTTTATCAAACTTGGTAGTCACAGCAGGAATGCTCACACCAGGATTGGGAGTAAGCTTTCTCAGAAGTTCTATAGAAATATCCCATTGCTGACAGCTGGCAGACGACAGGAACATTGTTATGGCAAATTACAAACCAATCTCTTAATGTGGCTATCAACAATGCCAATGCCAACAAATCCACCCCTCTCTCAACCTCAAAAATTGCACAATCTTACTTTCTCGCAGTTGGAGCTTCTTGCTCTGTTGCACTTGGTCTCAATGCTCTCGTTCCAAGATTAAAGAAAGTTAGCCCAGGCACCAAGATGATACTTGGAAGATTGGTACCATTCGCTGCCGTTGCAAGTGCTGGAGCATTGAACGTTTTCTTGATGCGAGGAGAAGAAATTAGAAAAGGCATTGATGTTTATCCAGTTCTCTCAGAATCGGATAAGGTAAAGCTTGCAGCAGAGGGCAAATCTGAGTCTGAGGTTGCTTCATTGGGCAAGAGCAAGAGAGCAGCCACTATTGCCGTCTCGGAGACAGCTATCAGTCGAGTTTTGAACAGTTCTCCAATTATGGTTATTCCAGCTTTAATTTTGGTGAGATTACAGAAGAAGCAGTTTCTCATCAGAAACCCTAGACTCACATTACCAATCAATCTGGGTCTCATTCTTGGTACTAGTCTGTTCGCCTTACCTCTAGCTCTAGCGGCCTTCCCTCAACGCCAAAGCGTAGATGCATCAACGTTAGAGGAGGAATTCTGGGGCAAGGGCGGAGAGGGTGGAAAAGTCGTTTTCAACAGAGGAATATGAAGACATCATTGAATGACTCGAATTTTATATTTCCAAGACACAATTCGGCCTTATTCAACCACTATTTTCAAGGTCCATCATGCGGCTCGAGTTCTATTCTAACCCCATTGAGAGATCTACTGGCGGGATATTGATTAAAGAAAGCACAGAGCACGGCGTTCATGGCTACACTGCACAGAATTCTGATACCAATAGAAGAAATTACCAATAACACATAGATAAAAATTCAGCTGAGCCTGTATAAAATTTCGCTTCTCATCCCTTCTTGAAATAAGTGTCTCTTGGCACGTGATTACCGACTCAAAGACCAACGGGATCCCCTTGTTCGTCGATCACACATCCCGCACGACCTTTAAATTGGTTCATGAGCACGGATTTTTATATCTATATCGCAGCAGTTCTTTCTGGAATTGTTTAGGACATTTGTTCGAAACTCAAACTCATGTGAGTACAGTAAGTAATCTTTTCTGTTCGCGTCTATAACGAGAAACAAGTTGCAATGATGATCCCTCCATACCTCGCCTATGACAATTGCCACTTGAGATAAAGAAGATCGAGGGGTTTTTTTTATCAAGCGGATGATTTTCGAAGTAGAACAATGGTTGGAAATTTCAGTGGCAACTGTACGGAAAAGTAAAAGATTGAACAAGTGTGGTACTTTGGATAGATTAAGAAATACTGCTGCAAAAATAACTTCTGTCACTATTATGGGCTTAAGGATTTTCCCGATCTAATATATATCCTAAAAATGATACAGTGCTGGCTTTACTTGGGCTGAGTTTTTCTGGGCAGTGGGTTTGTGAGGTTAGGTTGTTGTTTTTTTCTTTGTGAAGCATGATGACAGGACTTAGACTTGGATTGGATCATGCATTCATCAACTCAATCAATGTAAGAATAACGGGGGGTTGGTTACACTGATAAAGGATTGGCTCAAATGAATGAATGGGAAGGCTTTTGGATGAATTCCAGGGAGGGCCACCGGCTTTTCTCAGAAGTGTTTTAGGTGATGTGATGTGACTGACTAGATGTGATATGTGAATGGAAGGAAGGACTTTTTTTCAAAGAAAATGGCCTCGGGGTAAGATGGCTGGCTAGATGGGTAAGATTACTCGTGGCATGCAGAAAGGGCATGTAAGTTGCAGTCCATACCTAGTATCTCCCTAGGTATATTTGAGAATGGAGGGAGGTCGCTAGCTATCCTACATACTGACAGAACGTATGATACAGGGGAACTGGAGAATGACGAATAAAACATCTTCGTATTGACATGAGAGTCGGTTGGCATGAAAGTATAACTCTCTTGGGACAAGGGACACAAGCTTTTCGACTCTGGAGCATGTTAATGAGGGGAATGAATGATACCTAGGTAGTACTTGGTAATAAGTCGGTATGTGAGGAAGGTAATAAATGTACAAAGAGTGAATTGAATGATTGGGGAAAATATCACCTGCTTACATAGTGGATACGTAGATACCTAGGTAGGTTGATGGATATATTACCAGAGGTAGGTAGGTAGGTAGTTATTATTGTTGTTATTATAAGAGAGATCAATAGACTTCAACAATTCAATGATATGATGTGAATAAATAGATTCCAATCCAAAGACAATATATATCATGGTGCGACCCGTTTTTCTCTATGCCTAGGTAAGTATTATTCTATTCCTAAATTGAAATATCCTCAATCATGAGTGAGTGACTGAGTGGATGAATGAATGAATGAATGAGAGAGATACTTCCCTAGTCCGGAGCAGGTAAAATTTATCATTTGATATAGACTGACCATCAACAGACACTTTTCTTTGATCATTCATTGGGTAATTCATTGGGTCGATAACTCCATATATCATCATTTTTTATGATAAAAAAACGAGGAAAGAGATGATGAAGAAGGTGGAAAGGAATGAGAGGAAGAAATAGCTACTTACCTAGGTACATAGGTAGATTGAAGAAAAAAGAGAAAGAGATTGAACCAATGGTCAAACGGGCTCAAATGGTATCTCATGAATGAATCCAGTGAATGCAGTCGAGCAGTCCAGTCAAGCAGTCCAGTCAAGCAGTCCAGTTATTATAGTTTCCGAGTAGAGTAGTCCCAGTCTTAGTGGAACAAGCCAAAGAGAATTCATCACCCAATTCAATTCAATTCAATTCAATTCAATTCAATTCAATTCAATTACTTCCATTTACTTGAAAATCATAAATCATACTTGCTAGTCATAAGCGATCTTGAACCAACCCGCAAAACCCCAGTTCCATCAAGTTCAGAAAACTGCAAGAAGTTCCTTATTTCTAATCCTCTCAGAGCAACCACCCTTATTGAAGATATTTAACAATATTTTCTCGCACTTGGAAAATTAACACATCGAAATTACCTATCAAGTCAATATAATCAACTCTCTTTCGAGAAATGTCGCGTATTTGACATTTCGAACTCAGCGCGATACGGTCGGAAAGATAGAAAGAATTACCTTTGACCATCATCCATCATCCACTTCCAACGTCAACCGTCAACTCCTTCATACATCATCGCGCATTTATTCTACATTACAACAATCAACCCATACTCTACCATACATGACTCGATGATCTGGTCCTTTTGATCTCGAGAATTCATCTTAATCATCCAAACACTTCAAAAATTTGGACGTGATCAAGTCTGAGCCCACCCCAGGGTCGAAACGATTACTTCTTGCCATTGTGCCATGTCGACTCCATCGACTTTACCTCCCCATCATCCCAATTACGGATACTCACATCATCAGAATTATCAATCAAACCACCAATATCGAGCGAGCAACGGCCTGTTGAACGGAAATAGCCGTCTGGGCACCTCTTACACCCTTCCGACCAACTCGTCGAGCAATAGCACATCGTCGAGTGTAGCTCCTCTTGCAAAGTCGACTCAAATCCCCTCACACCCTGCGAAAGTCGAGTCTAAAAAGTCTCCAAAAAAGCCCGCAGCCATGGTTTCTACCTCGTCGCAAGCGCCTCCCCCGCACAAGAGACAAAGATCCAAGGAGAGACAACCAGACTGGGATAAATTCTACGAGAATGGTTTACCCAAAGAGGTAATTGTCATCGATAGTTCTGAATCCCCCGAACCATCGTTGGACGTTTCCTCACATATCCAATCCAATAATTCTGCCGTGGCAGCGAATAATGGCCATGCGGCGAAGAAGAGAAAACGCAATGATGCATATGATCCCGTATACCAACTCGACCCCTCGATCGATCCGAGTCCACACTACAAATCAGAATCGGGTTCTGGTTCCACGATATCCACCGATCGCACAACATCAGCAATTCATACAACAGCCGCTACGTCCCTTGGTTCACATTCATCCAATGGGCAAAATGGGTACGAGGCTGCGGAAGTCATAGGGCAGAAGAGGAAAAGGACCAATACTCGGTTGCAAATTGCGAATGAAGCGAAGAGGAAAGAACTAGAGATCAATGGGGATGCTTTCACCAACTACATACCACCCCCCAAGCCACCCATAAAATCTCGCGACGTCCCAGTACGACCGATTGCGGATGTAAGTTTTGATGCTTTCCATGGTACGATTGAAAGCTAACATGTGTGAAGAATTCTTATACTAAGAATACCAAAATCGATGATGACGACGGACATTATATCGTCGTTCCAGAAACGAATCTAACAACACAATGTAAGTTTCCATGGGTCCAATTAATTCCTTCTACAAACTAATAAGGAATTAGACCAGGTTCAGAAATTACTTGGCCAAGGAACCTTTGGAAAGGTTGTACAAGCTAAAGATCTTCACAATGATAAATGTGTTGCTATCAAGATCATTCGCTCTGTACAGAAATATCGGGATGCTTCGAAAATTGAGTTACGAGTCCTCTCAACGCTCAAAGCAAATGATCGTGAGAACCGGAACAGATGTATACATCTACGGGATTGTTTCGATTACAGAGGGCATATATGTATAGTCATGGACCTTTTGGGACAGAGCGTTTTCGATTTCTTGAAGGGCAATTCCTTCGTGCCCTTTCCCAACTCCCAGATTCAACATTTTGCGCGACAGTTATTTACGAGTGTTGCTTGTAAGTATCTTGCCATTAATAAGAAGCCACGAGCTAACATTGGACCAGTTCTCCACGACTTAAACTTAATTCACACAGATCTCAAGCCAGAGAATATCTTATTATGCAACAGTGCATATCAAGCTTTTACATACAGCCGCAAAATTCCTTCTTCTTCAAGCACAGTTACGCGACAAGCGGCACAGCGGAAAGTTCTTCTGGATACAGAAATTCGACTCATTGATTTTGGTTCCGCAACCTTTCAGGATGAATATCACTCATCTGTCGTATCTACACGTCATTACCGAGCTCCTGAAATTATTCTTGGTCTTGGTTGGTCTTTCCCTTGCGACATCTGGAGTATTGGATGCATACTTGTCGAATTCTTTACGGGTGACGCCCTTTTCCAAACACATGACAACCTGGAGCATCTGGCCATGATGGAAGCGGTAGTCGATAAGAAAATCGATAGCCATCTCGTTCAACAAGTCAACACGATGGCAAAGCGAAACGGAGGAAATCCAGCTCAAAAGTGAGTGCTCCAGAATCTTCCCGAGAGACTATATGCTGATGTAATTTCTCAGATATTTCAAGCGCTTAAGACTTGAGTACCCATCTGCTGACACCACAAGGGCTTCACGGCGATTTGTGAAGGCGATGAAACCCTTACATGTGAGTTGTTCCAAACATTATCTCGCAAACCTTACTAACAAAATCACAGGAAATCATTAAGGATCAGTCAAAATTTAGCAAGAATTTCCTGGATCTATTGAGAAAGATATTTGTCTATGATCCAAACGAACGCATTACAGCCAAGGAGGCGCTTCAACATCCGTGGTTTAAGGAAGCCGCAACTGCAGATGACGGTACAGAAGCGGCGAAAATCAGATTACAAAGGCAAAGCGGAACATTTGTGGCACCACAGAGGCATCATTGAGCGATTAATGAACTATGACGGCGTAAATGGCATGGGGCATGGGGAAATCTTTTTACTCTGCACTATTTGTTTAGTTTAGCAGCGGATCGCGGTGGTAATGACTTTTGTATTATTTTACATAAATATTCTGCTCCCGGAAACAATAATCTGGGCGTCTTGATTACTTTCAGAAAATAGACACAGGATGGAGTTCCAGCAAGTTAACGCTCAGCTTATTATAATGTTGAGAGCATCGTTGGTTTCAAAATGAATTTTATCACATAGGATCTTAATAAATACCTAGTACATAACACTATTTGGAGGTTCAATTTTATCAAATATTTTTGAGTGATGATTGGAGTGCGTGCTAGAGCCTGACTACCTACATACTAGGTATGTTTTTTATATTGATTGCTATATGATGCTGTCTTGGCTACCGTATAATTTTATGAAATCCGTCATAATTTTTTAAAAGTACCTACCTACCTATATTTATCTGATCGTGAATTCTGTAACTGCAACAAAAATATGATGTGAACATTTGCTTTCAGCTTAATGCAGAAATTCCCATCGATTACAAGATTGAATCTCAAATCTAGATTTCGAGGTCTTAGAAAATCACTTCACGAAGCACTGAAAACTTTCCCAAGAAAAGAGGGGTACAGTTTTCCTCCACATCCAGCAAGATTATCTCCCTTGCCTACTCAATATATTCTAGAGAATAACGACAATCTAAGAGTTTCTCCAGAATTATCTCACACGCTTCCGAATGCTTTGAATGGAAAGCGGTTTCTTATTCTCAAAGACAATCCGGGGAATGTATATCGCAGCGCAAAATACAGGAAACCATTGATCAATAGTAGAAATCGCCTTCATCGACCAGGAGATTTAACCAAAATGCGCAATTATATCCAATTCCTCACGACTCCCACGGTGGACACGCCTGGGACTTCTTTGCTTTTACATTTCGATAACAAGAGGTACTTGATTGGAAATATTGCAGAGGGAACTCAGAGAGCATGTGTGCAAGGCAAGGTCGGATTGATGAAAGTTGGGGAGGTTTTCATGACTGGAAAGGTGGATTGGGCTTCAACTGGAGGAATGCTAGGTATGATTTTGACGTTGGCAGATGCAACAAGTACTTCAAGAGAGGCACAGTTTCAGGTTGCCAACGCGAAATCGCAAAAGAAAGGAGGACGCGCTGAGAAGCCCGAAAAGGCCTTTTTAAATTTACATGGAGGAGAAAACTTGACTCATCTACTTGCGACGGCTAGGAGATTTGTTTTCAGAAATGGGATGCCGTTATATACAAACGAATATCGGCCGGATACAGAACAGAGAACCAATTGGGACCCTTCATGGAGTGATGAAAATATCAAGGTCTGGGCCATGGCTATCAAATCGGAGGGAGCTGCGAAGCGTCGTGGGAAGAGAAGTCACGATGAGTTTTCGGATGATTCTCTGGATGGTTCTCTTGCTGAGAAGAGCAAGGAGCTTGAGCTTAAGGAAGCCCAAGAACTCAGAGATAAAGAGGATAATGAGCATCAAATACGAAAGTCTGTCGTATCTTCTATGTTTGATTCTGATTGGAAGTTAGATACTCTGTACTCCATGAAGCTCAAGGATGTCAAAATGCCTGCCGCTATCTTTGTTAGAAACTCAGATGGCAAGATACAAAGATATCAAGGACCTAAACCCGGAGGAAATCAGGAAGTTCCCGATATTGAAGTCCTCACTCGGAAACCTTGGCCAGGGGCGCTGGTTGAATCTTTACCTCCGACTAAACCTTCTACCAGTTCAGTCTCATATATCATCAAAAACCATACTCAGCGTGGAAAGTTCAATCCCAAGGAAGCCGAGAGATTGAATGTCCAGAAAGGTGCTGATTATCGAACTTTGGCAGCGGGAAGAAGTGTGATTGCGACCGACGGTACCACTGTCACTCCAGAACAAGTTTTGGGAGTGAGCAAGGAGGGTACCGGAGTTGCAGTTCTTGAAATACCTGATGCCTCTTATATTAAAGGTATATTTGCACGTGAAGAATGGAAAGCAAAAGAGGTCATGGCAGGAGTTGAATCAATAATATGGATTTTGGGTCCTGGCGTTTTAGCTGACCCCAGGATACAAGAGTTCATGGAAGAGCGTAAAGAACTTGCTCACATCGTTTCCTCCCATGATAATTGCCCAAATTATCTCGCATTCAGCTCAGCCGCAGCGCAAGCTATTCGTCTGCATCTCCTCGATTCCGAACGTTTCCCAATTCCCGCATTCAGTAATGCATCCGAGCCACCATCCAAACCTGTACCATATTCAAAAGCAAAATTAGGAAAAACGATGTTACTCGAACCAAAATTCGAGATTCAAGATGACAAGTGCATTCCTTATCTTGACACAGAGCAGGTGGTAAAGGAAGGAGACCCTGAAGTTCTTGCTTTAGCAAACGAAGCTAGAAAAGAGATTATGAGTCCAGAGTATCAAGCAAAGCTTGATGAAGTTCAAAAAGACATACCATGCAAGGATGCAGAAGTTATTACTCTCGGAACTGGTTCGGCTTTACCTTCAAAGTATCGAAACGTTTCAGCTACCCTACTTCGAATTCCAGAATATGGCAATTACCTATTTGACGCTGGTGAGAATACACTGGGCCAATTGAAGAGAGTATTTGGCAAAGACCTACCAGGTGTACTCTCTAATCTCAAGGCAATTTGGATCAGTCATCTTCACGCCGATCATCACCTTGGTACTACTTCGGTCATCAAAGCGTGGCATGAAGAAACATCTAAGAATGAAGCAACAAGAAATAACAAACTTGCTGTAGCATCAGATCATGGTATGATTCATTGGTTAACTGAATACTCCGAGGTCGAGAATTATGGATTTGAGAGGCTTGAGCTCGTTGAAATGACACCGGCAGTCAATAACCTTTACGAAGAATTTACACCAGAAAAAACGGAAGCATTTGGTCTTTCGTCTATTGAAGCTTGCCAAGTGAGCCATTGCCATGGTGCTTTAGCTGTTGCATTGAATTTCCCCAATGGATTCAAGGTTGCTTACTCAGGTGATTGTCGACCCTCACAAGACTTTGTTAGGATTGGTAAAGGTGCAACGTTGTTGATTCACGAGGCTACATTTGATGACGAACTTCAAGGTGATGCTATTGCCAAGAAACATTCCACCACTTCGGAAGCAATGAATATTGGCAAGGGTATGGGAGCAAGACGAATTCTACTTACCCACTTTTCTCAGAGATATCAAAAGATACCAGTCATGGACAGTGAAGTTACAGATCAAGTTGCCATTGTTGCATTTGATTATATGAGGGTTAAGATATCCGATTTTTCGAAAATAGCGGCATTTAGACCGGCGTTGCTGAAGCTTTATGAAGAGAAAGAATAGATTAAGGGATTGAAATGATTACGATTTCATAGTTGCAAAGGACGCCAGGAGAAGCATGGTTTAGGACCGGTTATCACTTAAATAAGGTCTTAGGCAGGGTGTATAAGGAAATGTGTTTATATTGTATAGTATTGACAAAGGAAATTCTCGCGAGTGGATTTTTAACAAAAGAAATTTTTACAAAAGAAATTCTATGTTGTGAGAAGGATATCACTCCTCTCTTGTTTCGTCCGCAAAATCTCTACTCTCTACTCTCTTTGCTCTAGATCATGAAATCGCTAACTCGAGTTTCCCGATCACCGCGCTTACCCTCAGGGCGAGCAACATGTGATTTTCGTGTGAAAGGATTTTCTTGTGGGTCAGGACGTCGATGATGCGGTGCGTGCTTTTGTTTGGGTTTATTCTCGTTCTCGTGTCTCGTAGTACGAGGAGAAGGCGGCGAAGGTGATGCTCGTGGATTCTCATAATGGCTTCCGCGATAGGCAGGTCGATTGTTTCTCGCTGGCGGATCTGCAAATGGATTTGTGAAACGAGGTTTGTCTTCTTCGGATTCGGATTGAGCGGCGGCATTCTCTGGGGTTCCGACGAGTTGTCGATAGGCGCTGGCGCGCTCTTCGGCTTCGACTCCGGAGTAGGAAAGTTGAGAAGTGTTGTATACGCTGCGGGAATAGAGCGTTGGACTTCTTTCCTTGATAGGTCTAGAAGCGTTGTGAAAGAAGCCGTCTGAGAAGACTACGGTATCGCGGAAAGCGGCGTGGACTCCTTCTGCCGGATGTGATTCTTGACTTGATGCGTTTGCGAGAGATGTTCTCGACATCATGTTTGCATAGAAATCTATAATTTCGTTCTCAATATCTCCGTCTTCGTCTTTATCATCTTCAGCAAAATCGTGTCCAAGAAGTGTTTGGGCCTCGCTATCTCTGTCGAAAGGATTATGATTTCCAGCCAAGCGTTCTCGTCGAGCGTCTCTTCGAAGTGTCTGAAGATGTTTGCGACATCGAGTGATTTCTCTTCCCAGACCTTGAGATTCATGCGTTAAGCCTTCAGAATCTCCTTGCCATGATGCCCATGCACGGACTACATCGATCCAGCCACCCATTTGCTTGTTCTTCTTTCTGCGGCCCCAGATCGAGGCAAAGAGATCGCGGATGATGTATCGATCGCCTCCGATGGTGGCGAGAATACAGGCTTCGCAACTGGATGTTACGCGTTCGTAGCGTGGGTCGCACGGCTGCACTTGATATGCTTGACGATAGAATTCGGGCTGCATCCAGATGCTATTAAGCATTTTCATTCGAAGAACGAATTCTTGAACATTGACCGGCAATTGTTCGAGAGGGACGTCGGCAGTAAGTCGTCGGAGACGAGTGGTGCATTCTGCGGTTAGCTCTAAAAAGATCTTGCGGATGAGATACGGGTTTAGAGGTTTGTGGACGTCGCATAGCACGGCTTTGGTTTCGCCTAGACGAAGCGAAGATAGGGATGCGGCGACGCGGGAGATGAGGCCGCTGGATTTGGGGTGCAGGAGAGGTGGGGGGAAGGTTTGTATGAGGACTGCTTGGTTGCGGAGCCAGGAGTCGGTGGGGAGAGTACCGGGGAGTCGGGCCAAGAGTTGCGTGAGGAGATCGAGGGATGTGGCGGAAAACTCGTGCAGAGAACCGCTTGGGGAAGGGATGTTGATTTTTCCCTGCATGGTGGTGCGCGGTTGCGGGAGGAGGGGGTCGAGAAACTTCTGCATGGCTGCGAGGGTTTCGGGGTGGGTTGTTTGGCGGCTCGGTTTTCGGTGTTTGAATGGTGATGGTGATTGAATTGTAAACTGGGTGTGGATGGTGGGTAGTTCGGTCTGCTGAATCTCCTCTTCCATTCTGGAATTGGAATCGTCTTTGTAGTTTGATAATAGCATTGTTTTGCATTTCTTCTAGAAGATTACATCTTCTTTGTCTTGCTTGTTTGATTCATGTAACCCCTTTTTCCTTTGTTGGAGAAATTGTTTGGAGGGGAGATTCTCTGGGTGCTGAGCATTGTTTCCTCCTGCTTTCTTTGTATGTTTCAAGATTCTTTGTGCTGAGAATATAAGAGAACATTGTTTAAATTAATTTATTTGAATCTCTTGTGATGAGAGAATCCTATTGTATCTGTTCTTTCATAAAACAGATGATGGACAATCCATACAAAGAACCTCGATTTCCTTGTTCTCGGCATATAAAAACCTCCTCTCCCCATCTCCCTCTCAATCTCCATTCCCTCAAGCACAGCACAGCACAGCACAGCACAGCTTCCAATCTCCAACATCGACAACCCCCTCCGACGAAAAGAACCATGCCCTTCCACATCCCCCCCCTCCGCACCCTCTCCCTCTCATCCCTCTCATCCAAGCGATCTAAGCGATCCAAGCGATCCAAGCGATCCCAACGCACCAAACCCCCCTCCCTCACCCGCAAACAAACCCGCACCATCGGCACCCAAACTACTCTCACCCGCACGCACAGCTCGCGCTGGACACAAACACCTCACAGATACATTTCGTTTCATGAGGAGCATGGGGTGCGGCCGCCAAAGAAGAGCAGATTCGTGTGGCCGGCTTGGTATGCGGTACTTGGGGGAGTGGTGCTCGGGTGGTTTTGTACGAGGGAGTGGGTTTGGTGGTGGTGAGGAGAGGGTTGGTGAAGTGGTGAGGTGGTGAGTATTTTTTTCTCTTTTCTTTGGTTGGGTTGAGTTTTGAAGGTTGAGTGTTGATTTGATTTGATTTGATTTGATTTTTGGAGGTGTGAAAGATCACATTGCATTAATCACCTCTTTCTTTCTTTCTTTTCCCTTTCCGTTCTCTCTCTTTTCTCCCTAAGAAATGGATACGAGACATCCCCCCAAAAATCAAAAATCAAGAAATCTGTTCCTTCAGAGATATAATATAAGTTTGTAAGTTTTCTTTCCGTCCCCTGTCTTTGCTAATCGTTTTGTAGGTATGTTTTTTTTCTTTCGTTTCTTTCGTTTTGGTTCTGTTTTTTTTTGGTACATAGGTAAATTTTCCCTTGCTCTCCCTTTTCTGCTAATCGTGTATATAGTGGTCATTATTTTTTAAGTTCGTTTTATTATTATTTATTGGTTCGAAAGGTTAGGTAGGTTAATTTGTTCTCCCTATTTTCGCCGATTTTGTATAGGTAAGTCATTCTTCTCAAATCAGAAATAGCAAATTTAGGTAAGTAATTCTTCTCCCGTTGTTAGCTAATCGAGTATAGGTATTTTTACTCTCATATTCTGGAATTCAAAGATTCAGGTAAGTCGCTCTCCCGGTATTGCTAATTGTATATATAGTCATCCCCTCCCACTGCTCGCTAATCGAGTATGGGTATCCTCACTCTCTTCACATATTCCTAACTACGACTTGAAGATACAGGTAAGTCACTTCCTCTCCCTTTGTTCGCTAATCGAGTATATATTTCCTTTTTCTTTTCCATTTTTCCTCTATTAAAATTTCAGGTAAGTCACTCCCAACCCCATTTTTCTAATTTTGTATTGGCAGTATAATCACGATTTCATTCTTTCAATCCTGATACAGACAAAAACACAGGTAAGTCACTCTTTTTCCCCGTCTTGCTAATCGAACTTGTTGGTATAGTATAGCATTACACTTTTCAAATATCCAACTCAGTTATACACTGCCATCTAGCTTTAAGGGATGAATTCTAGGTAAGTCTTTCTCCCTTTCCCATTTTCGCTAATCAAATCTGTAGGGTTTTATTTTATTATTATTTTTTTCTATTCTTAGAATACAGAGATACGGGTACGTCACTTCTTTTCCTTCTGTTTGCTAATCAGAGATATAGGCACACTGCGCAGTTATGAGATAACACTTCAGGCACGTCACTCCCTCCTCCCTTTATCGCTGATTGGGCTTATAGTTGTATCGTCTTTCCAGTCTACAAGCAATCCGAATGGCAAATTTATCTCCGATTTAGATTAAATCAAGCAAGTCATTCCTCCCCCTTTTAGCTAATTGTTTAGCTAAATTCAACCTTTTCTCTTAACATACGAAGACTCATTATATAAGAGACATTCAGATGAGTTGCTTCGCTTATCTCCGTGGGTTTTAATAATCACGCATATTAGGCTACTTGTTCAAATGTTGCATACACCAGTGGGTGATTGTATCATCTCCTACCCACCTGCATCTCACTGCGCTAATCGACAATACAGGTAAACTCAATCTTATCTGCTTCAAACTCCCTCATGTTCTAGTACTCATACTCGGCAGAGACAAGTCCGAGAATAAAGTTGCTATACAGGCAAGTTCACCTCCACCTTTTTCATATTTTTCGCTAACCAATAATTTTAGGTAGGTAAGCGAAATATCCTTCTTCACAGTCCCTCATACTTAACAACTCATAAGTATGATCCTACAGGTAAGTCATTCCCTCCCTTTCAACCAACTAACTACCTAACTTCACAGATAGACCCATCTTCTTTTCTTTTAACTTTCGATTTCTCAAATCGGAATTAGAATGTCGATAATAAAATACATTTCAAAACTAAAAACAAATTCTTGTGTGCTGTTAGGTGAAGTAGATGTACCCGTGAAGTCATCATTAATATGAAAATAATATCACTATAAATTGGAAGTTTCATGGTTCCTCAAAATCAAAGGGATATAGTTTGTGAGTTGAGTTGATATTTGGTTACCACATAAGCAGAAAGTGAACACTATCCACCAAGTAAAGCGAAGTGATTGGAGTCAACCATACACCCACCCCTTATATCTCAATCTCCTCCATCTACATCCCCCAAATCTCAATTTCCAAGATTCTTATCTCTTACCCAGGCATGTAACGAATCCTGGATGATCCCCCCTAATCCACACTAAAATCATGCTAAACAAGAAAGCGAGCTTAAAAAGCGTAATTTAAGCTTCTAGATCCTTTCTTCTCAATTCACCTACTAGATATCTTGTTTCTTCTCTTATATCCTTATCTCTTATCCAGATTTGCAACAAACACTACAACAAT